TCCATCCACGGGGCTCAGGTCAACGATGCGCTTGACCTTCCGCTTTCTCTTCCCCGCAACAGCACCTGTTAGCAGAGGAGAACCATGAGACGGCGACGAGGGTCCAGATCGCGGAGTGCCCATAGCATCATACGTCACCGTCGAAGAGGGTGCCATCGCCTTCGGACTGCCTACTGGTACGACAGGTGGGGAGGGGAGAGTCTCAACCGTGTTTACTGACAACGGCTGGTCAGACAGTGATGCACTGAGACTGCGTTTTTCATAAAACCCTGGTGATGCCCCATCAAGCTTAATGTTCTTGTCCTCCTTGAGGAAGAGATCAAAGCACGCGGTGCGATAGTTGTCCTCGTACTCGGTGAGCGGGTTTCCTTCAATCCATACCTCCGCGATGTTAGGCAATGTAGCCAATCGCCCAATCTCAGCGCTCTCTTCTATGTGGTTGGAGCGCAAGTCGACGCGCTCCAGCGCCATTAGACGCTCTAAGCCACAAATAGATTCAAGCCGATTGCGGGAGAGATTGATGTTGAGAACTTGGCCAAGGTGCGTGTAAATACCAAGAACTGAATCAATCATGTTATCGGAGAGGTTGAGGGAGACGAGGTTGTGGAGTGTGGCAATACCGTGCGGCACAGACACGAGGAGGTTAGACGATAGGTCGAGATAGCTAAGTGAGGTGAGGTATGGTAATGGGTCGGTGGGAAGAAAAGTAAGAGCATTATCTGCTAGCGACAAGTGCTTCAATAATGACCATTTATAGGGAGAGAGGGGAGCGGCAGGTGAAGGCACGGGAGGCGTTAAATCGTCTTCATCGTCCTCGGGAACGGACTCAGGTAGGCGAGTACTCTGGAAAGAGCGTTGTGAATGAGGTATGCGTCTGCTTCTCGAGTCGCTCGTGGTACCATCTCTCCGAGCCTGGTCATCCAACACGGCACCAATGAAGATATCAGTGACGTCCTCCAGGCCACTGCGCTGGACTGTTAGACTCCGCAGACTTTCTGCCAGCCTATCCCACCCAAGCAATGTCCGTGGGTCTATGTCGATGCACTCCAAGGTCTGAATATTCTTGAATGCATCAAGTGGGAGTGCATTCTGATTGGGTGGTTCATCTGCGAGCTCGGCGATGACTTTCGGACCCGGTGCCCTAATAGATAGAGCAGGGAGCTTTGTAAAAGAACTATAAATATACTTGAGCTCTTCGTCGATAGTTTGCGGTCCCTGTCTTCCCCACCACCCTACTCCAAGTGACAAACCAGATACGGCTGAAAGGGACGAGCGAAATGACGCGAGAGACAGCGAGTCGGAATTGTCGGAATTAGGATACAAATCGATGTGTGTATAATGCATCGGCTTTGAGGGATTGTCGACCCTCACGTCTAATGTGCCAATGTCAATTCCGAGCGCCTCTAAGCGCATAAGGATGTAAAATAGCCTATGGGTGTCAATAGTGAATGTGACAGGTTTCGGAGGAGGAACAGGTGGTGGCGTTTGTGAATCATAAGAAAACCAACCAGCGAGATTGAAGACAGAGGTGTTATTGGTAGAGTGCCGATGCTGTATACGTCTTCGTCGGACGAAACCAGCTTCTGCTAGTCCCATCTCATTGTCTCTGATGAATGTCGCGATTCCGCGCAGATAATCATCACCTGGCTGTGGTTCCATGATGATGGGGCAGTGAATAGAGAAAATAGGCCTGCAGGCAGCCAGGCAGCCCAAGCTGTCCTAACCACAAGGGAAACCTCCAGTAGGACCTCGCACACCCCATTCTGTGACATAACGTCGTGACAACATATCATCACGAGGCGTGACAAGATTAAAACGCGTCAGTTCCGCTCTTCAAGCTCAGATCACCATCGGTAAGACATCGACAAGCTCAAAGACCAAATCGTGATCATAGTCGTATCAGATTATTGCCCATAATGAAGTTAACGATAAAGACACTCCAGCAGAAGATGTTCCAGGTGTGTAACATTACCTATTGTTTTCAACAATCCCTTATGCGAGTAAAAGCTCGAAGCCGAGGGGTCAGAGACCATCGCAGATTTGAAGCAGAAGATATCCAACACACAGGGTCATTCTGTAGAAAGCCAAAAGCTCATATTTTCCGGTACGGCCTTACAGTCATTTTACAGTATCATAGTGTTCATCCGGTATCGTAGGCAAGATTCTTACAGATGACAAAACGGTTGCATCGTGCGAGATCAAGGAAAAGGACTTTTTGGTGTTGATGGTATCAAAGGTTTGCAGTGATATCAATCTGTCTTAGATGTCAAGTTCACCGTGATCTTCAGTCTAAACCTACGCCATCTCAACCACCCCCGGTAATTGCCTCGACATCGACGCCACAGCCCGAGGCTGCCGCTCCCGCCCCAGTACCGGTACCCGCAGCACCTCAAGTTCTAGCACCAGCTCCTGCAGCACCAGCACCAGTTCCTGTTGCGCCATCTACCCCTTCTGCTGCCCCCGCAGCAGCACCTATAACAGCTGACGGCAGCTTTTTGACTGGAGAAGCGCTCCAGTCAACAATCAATAATATGGTTGAGATGGGCTTTGAACGCGAACAAGTCACTCGCGCTCTGAGAGCCAGTTTTAACAACCCTGATCGTGCCGTCGAATACTTGATGACGGTAGTTTAATGTCACTCATTTTATTTGTCTGATACTAATTTAAACCACAGGGCATTCCTGCGCACCTCATGCATGAGGCAGCAGGTCCTGCTGCGCGACCAGCGCAGACGGGGGGTGTAGCACCTACTACTCCCGCCGCACCCGCACCCGCATCTGCTGCACCTGCAGCCCAGCCCGCCCCAGTTGCCTCGACTGGCCAGCCCCAGAATTTGTTTCAAGTTAGTGCCCTGATATCTTTTTCAATCAAGTTCTCATTACAGTCAGCGTAGCTTGCACAGCAACAGCAACAGCAACAGCCTGGTGGTAGAGGTACGGCAACCGCCGGTGCGGGAGCTGGAGTTGGTGAAATTGATCTAGAAGCCCTTCGAAACCACCCCCAGTTTCAGCAATTGCGCCAGCTGGTCCAAACCAACCCAAATCTGCTTGCGCCGTTGGTTCAGCAAATTATGGAGCAAAATCCACACCTTGGACAACTATTTGAAAGTAACCCTGAAGCATTAATGCAATTACTCAATGGGGGTGAGGATATTGAAGGCGATGGCGCTATGCCACCCGGCGCACAAGTAATACATATTACGCCGGAGGAGCAGGCTGCGATTGGTCGGGTAAGTTCGTCCACTTGCATTCTGGACTTACGCTTATTGTACGTGGCTATAGTTGGAGGCTTTGGGTTTTTCGCGCCAGAAAGCTGCTGAGGCATATCTGGCGTGCGATAAGAATGAGGAACTCGCAGCCAATTACTTGTTTGAGACTGGTTTTGATGACGAGGAGGACCAATGATGTGTTTGTGAAGCTCTTTGCATTATTGTGGTTCATGTATATACTCAAGACTGGGTAAAGCTACCTAAGTTACGACTGGATGGAGTTGTAACCCTGCACCAAAGTCTAGATCCAAGATTAATTTGTGATTTATTTATTATTGAAGTTCATACGGAATGCTCCACGTCCTGAGTTGACTCATTTTATCTCACAGGATCCCTGAGGGGTGATCGGAGTCATATGTCTTGATCAATAGGCGTTTCTCGTATATACCCTAGCCTTGCCTGTTAAACCTCAGTGAGAACATTATAGAACTACATTGCCTCTGAGCTACTAGTCAGCCCGCGGAGTCTACCAAATTTGAATGCAAACATTGACCGCGTGCGTTTTACCGCGTGTGAACCTGGATGATAACGTACAAGCAAGTCTGACAGTATCCGCATGTTGTTGTGGTGTGTTGCTTGGTCTTCTTCCTCGTCCTTCATCCTTCCTCTCTTTCCTTTTCCCCAGCATACATACCCAAAAGCTTCTTCAATACCGCAAGCATCATTACTGTTATTCGGTTTGAAAAGTTACCAATTATTTTTACAGCTTGTTCTAGCTCTCCATCCCATGGCATCCCAAGACTCGCCACCAGCGGACGACAAGGACGTTCAGACGCGCGAGCAGGCGTCTCAAATAGCTTCTCAGACGCAAGCCATCGGGAATGGCTCTACAAGCGTGGACACTAGTGCGCAAGCGCACGAACAGTCACCCACATCGTCTTCGGAAGCGGACAAGGATGTCAACCCAAACCCTTCTAACACCGTTTCCACCTTCGTTTTACCAGGCGAACGCGAAAACGTAAAGCCTAGCGAGAAAGACAAGGACAAGGGTTCTTTAGCCACAACAACCCAGACTCAGCCAAACACAAATTCTACCAGCGCTACCTCTAGCACCGCTCGTCGATTTTCCAGAAAGGTCAAACCTGCGTCAAAAACCACTAAATCTTTAACTGCTTCGTCTAGCTCTGCACAAGGAAAGACTGTTTCCAATAATCACTCTAGAGACGAAAACAAGTCTGTCGGAGGTTCTCAGAGGAAGGAATCATTCATCGTCAAACTCGTGCGCAAACTTGTGCCATGTGTCGCTCCCAGCGATCGTACACATGCGATTGATGTCGATGTCGACGACGCCACGCGACACAAGGCCACTGACACGGCCAACGGCGTTTCGGCACCCGTAGCTGATACTAGTGTGCCCAGCGAAAAGCAGGTTGAAGTTAAGGAACAGGAACGAGAAAAGCCAAACCTTGTGGTAGAGGTATCCCCTGCTGCAATGGAACCCGACCCCGCAGAAATTGAGGTTATTGTGCCCCCCACGCCAACCAAAGCTCTCCTCCCAATATCCGAAACAGAGGGGATGACCAGCGGAGCAGTCCAACCTCCAGGATCGACTGGTGCAGATATTTTCTCCCCCCCACTATCAACTCCCGTAGATGTATCGCACACACCATCTGCGGGTACCCCATCACATGCTGGAGACACCTCGCGTACAGCAACCGATTCAGAAGGTAGCTTCACGGACGAGGAGGGTCATGGAGAATCGGAGGAACCCGAAGTAGAGGAAGGGGAACCGATGGAGGAAGACGACGAAGATGCTCTGATTCTCAATGGAGGTGCAGGTATTCCGATAGGGCCCGTGAGTTTTTTTGGGACCTTTTGGTGACACTAACCACTGATTCGGTTTCAAAATAAGGATGGCGAACTGCGCCCGCTCTTGCCACCGATGGCGCCCCACCACGTGGGGCGCAAGTGTCTCGTGCTCGACTTGGACGAGACTCTTGTGCACAGCAGTTTCAAGGTGGAGTTCTTCGGCTTCTCGATCTAGTGCCGCTTCTGACACGTTTTTTCGGCCGCTCTATAGTCCATTCAACACGCGGATTACGTTGTTCCAGTGGAAATTGAGTACCATTGGCACAATGTATACGTGATCAAGCGCCCAGGGGTCGACAATTTCCTGAAGAAGATGGGCGAAATTTACGAGGTGGTGGTCTTTACCGCTAGCTTAAGCAAGGTCCGAGGGTGTTATTTTTATCTCCCGGGATGTTGTTGACGGTTTTTTATCGTGTGCAGTATGCAGACCCAGTTCTAGATAAACTGGACATTCATCAAGTCGTGTCGCATCGACTATTCAGAGAGAGTTGTTATAACCACAAGGGAAACTATGTAAAGGTAATGGGAGCGTCTTTTCTGCATGTTTCATCGCTAACTTGCTCCATATAGGATCTCTCCCAATTGGGTCGTCCTATTGCAGATACCATCATTCTGGATAACTCTCCAGCATCATACATCTTTCATCCCAATAATGCGGTCCCTGTTTCATCGTGGTTCAATGACCCACATGACACAGAGCTCACCGATCTTTGTCCTTTCCTGGCGGACCTTGCTGAAGTGGGAGATGTTCGGGGCGTCTTGGATGGCGGTCTGTAGGGGTAGTGGGTACATGGGATACGAGGAAGAGGAACGTTACAGGAGAGCTGTAGGCTCGCGAGCACAAATTCTCTGAGTGTTGTGATGCTGGTCAAGCTCTCCTGTTTTTCTATTACAGGTTAATGCAACGCACTTCATATCCCAATGTTGTGCACTACCCCACAAGTTCTATCGCATCCTTATTCTACGTCTCGATGGCGCCTTTGGCCGATTATGCGATTTGTCTCTTTCCGCCCTCTCCGCATTGCCCTCATTATGACCCCTTCACCCATTCTGCATCTGTTACACTTTCCCATGCCCGATATACCCCACATATCTAACATGACTTTCAACGCCCAAGTGTATTGGCAAAACTTTGATGACGATACCCCTTTGTCCTCCATCTCACTCCACGTATGTTCCTGCATCGAAACTCTTCTACGTAATCGCTTCTGTGTTACAATTTGACATTATTGCCTCGTTCTATTACTTCTTGCTTTAGTGTGGCTAGTTCTATATGAAGCAGCTACTTTCGCATTTCCTTTCCATCCATTCCTCCGCGGTATGGTCGCATGCCTTCATGGTGCGTCTATTTATTGATCTCAGTCTTCGACCAAGTATATCTGAGCATCTCCAGGCAGTTTTTCTCCCATTCATGGATGCATTCATACACGTCGATCGTCACTGGCAATCTCCATCTTGCTACTAGAAGTATTGCGACACATACACCTCATTTTTCTTACTCGCGTCGCTGTAGCTTAGCATTTTCCTTGTTTTATTGATTGTTTATTGCACTCGGCGACGCACTACCTTCCTTCCTCTTCTTTCTTTTCTCTTTCGAGCTTTCATTCTATCCCCCTTGCACACAAAATCACGATATCATGACGAACTTCTATGATGATGTTACATATTCACGATTATATATTATATTCCCTCTGCTCTGTTGAAGTTGTGGGACGCGACTGGTTTTTATCACGTGAGGACTCGCGACGCGTTTGTTGATCATTGATCGTCGATCGATCATCGCTAAAGCGCTAACCCTGGAGAGTCGATGACGATTTGAATCAAACTGTGGCAAGCCGCAAGGTCTACGCCACCGAGCTCGCTCCCTATCCCGAATACCGACTTTGACGACGACACCCCTATAATTCCTGAAGAACGGAGCTCAAGTACGACATGGTTCAGGTTTGACGCTCACTGTTAAACAGGTTTCAGAACAGGGCTCTCTACTAGAACAATTCACCTCTAATACAATCGCAGATGGAGATCTTTCCTTGAAGACGCAGATCACGACAAGTACTTGGTCAAGACCTACCAAAACCCTCATAGTGAAGGATCCAGCGTAGTTGGTCTGTAGGATCAGTTCCCAACTTGAATGCAGATCACCTCGACATGTTTATGGACCCAGCGCAAAACCTGATCTTGCCACCACATAGCCACTAATTGAAATATTCAGTCGGGTTAGTAGAGGCCAAACAGCTGGCACGAGAATAAACGGTTCACCTGGATTGGTAGTTTTACATCGGCCCATCTTCATCAAAAGTGCACATCTAAAACGGCCGGTGGCAACTTTGGACTAGTGAAAGTACGCCTCCCGCTAGAGCATTTGTGAACTTAAGGCTAGATATTTTATTTTATTTTATTTTAATTCAATTTTTATGTCCTATGGAGAGTTATACTCTAAGGAGGACAATACTGTCTAGTCTAAGGGACACCTGTGTCCCTAGCGCACCTCTAGGTTCGCGAATGCCCTGATGTGAGGTGTACCCCCATCAGTCCGCTGTTCCAGATGACTTTGTGAGTACGAAACTATGTGTGGTCTGTCGAGAGGTGAAGACGAGAATGCGTACTCAGCCGCTTGTGCGGACAGGTACAGGAGTCAGATTGGATGCAGTAGGTAAAATATAGTGAAGGCCCAGGGTTGACAGGAGGGTCCTACTCTTTCCATCTGGCTGATACCTTTGAGGGTCTTTGGCGACTCCATGTAGGCGAGTATATGGTGGTGTTACATGGTGGTGAGGGGGTACAGTGTTATACAATTTGAGTTTTTTGATGTAGGTAGATGCAGGCAAGGAGTCTTCGGTGTTCAATCTATCGAGGGTGTCATCAGTTCAGGAGGGTGTGAGGAAGTGGAATTTCACCGAGAATGGCTCTCAATCTACTGGTGGCATTTACGAAGCTGACAAGGTGTGGGATAGCACTCAGGTCAGTCAGGAGGAATTGAGTAGACGTGGCTTTGTGTCCTAGAGCCGTGATGAGGCTGTGCCATGCTCGTTGATAGTGACAACAGGTTATCAGATAATGGTGCATGGTTTCTTCAATGCCCGGACAATGAGCGCAGAACAGGCTGTCTGACTTGTGGATGTGGTGGAGATGCTTGTTGAGAGGCACATGACCAGTATGTAGGAACATATAGAGGCTGGTGAGTCATTTTGGGAAGTTGGCGGTAAGTTTCACAAATGAGCATTTCAATAGCTGTGGGTCAAGCTGATTAATTCGATGGAAGTGGGGGGATTTGTGCCACATTTGCTTCCAGCGCTCATTAGTGTCCTTATTGTGTGTTTCTTTCAACATGGATACACTTAAGGGCAGAGGGTGGTGGTGAAGATAGTGGGGAAGGTGGTTGTTGGGACTGTTGTGATGTTGGCCCTCCACAGCCGTTTTGGCATGCTTGTCAGCTTCTTTGTTGCCATGGACATTGGAATGCCCTGGGACCCAGCGCACTGTTACCCCAAAATCAATGTGGTCCTTAGCAATTCTCCTCATTAACCTGCGGAAGTGGTCTGCTAGATATGAACCTGGGTGCGAATGGAAACTCTCACTGGCTTGAATCATTGCTTGGTTGTCTACTGAGATGGACAGAGGGAAGGTGAGATCTTGTTCTGTAGCTATGAGCTGAGCTGCAAGGGTGAGTCCTACTTCTTCTGCCTCGAAGACAGTGTGTTCCTCCTCAGTTCTGAGGTGATAACAAAGGGTCCTGGGCGTCCTGCCTGCCTGAAAGAGGACTGCTGCAGCTCCTATGCATCCTTTGTGACCTGAACTGTCACTGTAGACCTGGATGAGGTCCACAAGTTGCTCGTGTTCTGCTATGGCTTGGTTCCTGTTGGGGGCAATATGAGTGGTCCACGGGTTTCTGGAGGATGGTTTGCAGTGTGCAGGAGTGAGGGTCTCCACAGTCTTGGGGGAGAGGGAAAAGTGGTGAGTAAGATGATGAAGAGAGGTGTGGTGTGCTCCAACATAATGAGTAGCTGCTTTGAGGATGGGGGTATAGAGAGGGTGTGAGGCGGGGAGGGAGATGAGATGCAGGATGGACTGGTGGCATGCATTTTGGAGGAGGAGCAGTGTGGGAAGGAGGTTGGCGTGTACTTCCAGGATGTCTGTAGCTGTTGTCTTCATGGCACCTGTAATGGCAATAGCCACTAAACGTTGTATGGAGGAGAGGCACTTCACAACTCCAATCAATCCTCGTTGAAGCGTGTCTGTTCCCTGGCAGAAGATGGGAGAGAACCACAGATCGGCTGCATATAACATTTTCGGTACAGCTACTGCCTGGTATAATTGACACATCAGGCATAGTGGTATGCCATTAGCAGAGGTGGAAAGACAACGTAGCTGGAGAACTGTTAAGAACCATGCTCAAAGGAGAGAGAGACTGACTCAGAGGGGCTTGGCCTCAGCTCATATGCTGTGCCCCTTACCCGAGTATGTGCCCTTCATTTCAGAGGAAGTCCGATGATGGTCTGATGAAGTCCGGAGGACTTCTGGAGGCTGGCTACTCTGGTGGAGAGTGCAGGAGGACTTCTGGAGGAGCGCGGGAAACGTCCGGAGGAGCGCGGGAGAGTTCCGGAGGGATGCAGGAAATGCTCAGGAGAGTTCCCACTGCAAGGTAATACTTCTACAGGAAAACAGGATGGAAGGATAGGAGGTCTGGAGGTGTGGAGGATGGAATGTCTGAAGGTACGGAGGGTGGAACGTCTGAAGGACAGGATGCCTGGAGGTATGAGGGACAGGACATCCAGAGGTACAGAAGACAGGAGGTCCGGAGGTCCGGAAGGAATAGGGGCTACATCGGACGAAGTCCAATGCAGAAGCAAGCAGAGGTAGACTACCCTAAGGTAGAGTCAGAGGGACAGGAAGTGGACCTAAGTCTGGAAAGAGGGTAAGTGCTGGAAAGGCAAGACTCTAGCCTAGGGAAGCAATCCCTAGACTTGGGACAGAGACATAGGGGACAAATCCGAAGGTCTGGAATTCCGGCCTAGGGAATCCTTCCCTAGGCCTTATGGAAAAGGATGAGACTCAGATGGACTGAAGTCTGGAAGATGATTGGCAAGTAGAACAGGATCTAAGATGATGAACAGGAACTAAGATGATATTCAGACTGAGGACTCTACAGGAATTGTACAGGGGTTATATACTAGAGGATATCTGAGAGGATCAGTAAGCAACAGAGTAAGGCTATGTACGAGCATGTGGAAACACATTGGTAAGTAAGATGGAACATAAGTAAATGAACTTGGAGATGAAACTAGTACAAGGATCAATCAGCAAGACGGAAACAGAGATAACCAAGAACCGGAAAGGAGGAGATGCCTAAATGGGGATAGGCGCAGGATCTCGGATGGAGGGCGGGAATAGGTCCAGAGATAGTACAGTTAATATCCGGAGGTCCGGAGATCTGGGGATCTGGAAGGCAGGGTGGAAACAGGACTGAGATATGTGAGGTGGTGGATGTAGTCCAGAATCCGAGAGGAGGTAAAGTCCGGATGTCTTGCTGGACGGAATGTGCATAGGGTGGACAGGATAGGGGATCCAGGAATGAGTCGGATATGGGGTCTGGAAATAGGTCTGGAAAGCATGGGAATATGATGGGGTCTATGTCTGGCATACAGGATATGACAAGAACATAAGACATCCCTCAAGCAACAGCATTGTCAACTTGAGCCCTCCAACGTAGTTCTTGGTCAAGAATGATGCCGAGGAAGCGGTGAGTCGGGGATGGGTGGATGGTAGATCCTTGGATGTGCATATTGGGGTGGGCCTTGCATCTGTTCATAGAGAAGTCCATTAGTGCGAATTTGTTAGTTTCAAAACAGGAGTTATGGTCTCTTGACCAATTGTAACTGCCACCTGGGCGTTCGAGCATGTCCGAGAGGATGGCATGGGTTTCGGTAAAGGTTTTTGTGATGGCCACAAAGGCAGTGTCATCTACAAATGCCAGGGTTAGTTCTTTCAGGGCTTCACACCCTATGCGGGGTCTGGCCACGTCAGCCAGGTCAGAGCTATAAATAATGTAAAGTATCATAGAGAGAGGGTCACCCTGTCCTATCCTGTTCAAAACCGGGAACCAGTCAGATGTATAACCATTGAATTTCAGCTGGGTTTGATGGTTTGTTAGAACCTGTTTGGTGAAATGCACAAGGTCAGCTGGGATGTGTCTCATTCTCATGTTGTGGAGCAGCCACTTCATCACCATGTTGGGAAAGGCTCCCTCTATGTCCAGAAACAACACTGATGCTACTTTGTGTGACCACCACACATTTTTGATGGTCCCTTCCAGGAGATGCAGTGAGTCCATGGTGGATCGCCCTGGCCGGCCTCCAAAATGTGTGTTTGGTAGCAGCTGGTGGTGTTCTAGGGTGTGAGTGAGCTGATCAGCGACTACTGCAGTCAACAGTTTGCCAATAGTGTTGAGTAAGGCAATAGGACAGTACACCTTGGGGACTGAGTAGTTTGGCTTGCCTGGTTTGCGCAGAACGACAGTGGTGAATTCATGCCAAGGCTGGTAGAATGTTTGGTAGGTTAGGGTGGCGTTAAATAGGTGGAGAAGGTAGGGGGCGAGGAGGTTGGAGCATTCTTTGAAGACTATATTACAGATCCCATCAGGACCTGGAGCCTTATACCTGCTGAGGTTGCTAACAGCGCAGGTGATTTGGTCAGTGGTAATGCGGGGCATACGAGCGACAGGGTCAGGGTATAACATGTCTTGGGGCACAGAATCAGTAACCGGGGGAGAAGGGAAGAAGGATGTAGCTAAAATTCAGCTCTTTTCATGGTTAGTGTTAAGAACCATGCTCAAGGGAGAGAGAGACTGACTCAGAGGGGCTTGGCCTCAGCTTGTACGCTGTGCCCCTTACCTGAGTATGTGCCCTTCATTTCAGAGGAAGTCCAATGATGGTCTGACGAAGTCCAGAGGACTTCTGGAGGCTGGCTACTCTGCTGGAGAGTGTGGGAGGACTTCTGGAGGAGTGCGGGAAACGTCCGGAGGAGCGCAGGAGAGTTCTGGAGGGATGCAGGAAATGCTCAGGAGAGTTCCTGCTACAAGGTAATACTTCTACAGGAAAACAGGATGGAAGGATAGGAGGTCCAGAGTATGGAGGACAGGAGGTCCGGAGGTATGGAGGACAGAACGTCCGAAGGACAGGATGCCTGGAGGTATGAGGGACAGGACGTCCAGAGGTACAGAAGACAGGAGGTCCGGAGGTCCGGAAGGAATAGGGGCTACATCGGATGAAGTCCAATGCAGAAGCAAACAGAGGTAGACTACCCTAAGGTAGAGTTGGAGGGACAGGAAGTGGACCTAAGTCCGGAAAGAGGGTAAGTGCCAGAAAGGCAAGACTCCAGCCTAGGGAAGCAATCCCTAGACTTGGGACAGAGACATAGGGGACAAATCCGAAGGTCCAGAATTCCAGCCTAGGGAATCCATCCCTAGGCCTTATGGAAAAGGACAAACTCAGATGGACTGAAGTCCGGAAAATGATTGGCAAGTGGAACAGGATCTAAGATGATATTCAGACTGAGGACTCTACTGTAGTTGTACAAGGGTTATATACTAGAGGCTATCTGAGAGGATCAGTAAGCAAAGGAGTAAGGCTATGTATGAGCATGCGGAAACACATTGGTAAGTAAGACGGAACATAAGTAAATGAACTCGGAGATGAAACTAGTACAAGGATCAATCAGCAAGATGGAAACAGAGATAACCAAGAACTGGAAAGGGGGAGATGCCTAAATGGGGATAGGTGCAGGATCTTGGATAGAGGGCGGGAGTAGGTCCAGAGATAGTACAGTTAATATCTGGAGGTCTGGAGATCTGGGGATCTGGAAGGCAGGGCGGAAACAGGACTGAGATATGTGAGGTGGTGGATGTAGTCTGGAATCTGAGAGGAGGTAAAGTCTGGATGTCTTGCTGGATGGAATGTGCATAGGGTGGACAGGATAGGGGATCCAGGAATGAGTCAGATATGGGGTCCGGAAACAGGTCCGGAAAGCGTGGGAATATGATGGGATCTATGTCTGGCATATGGGATATGACAGTTAGTGATTGCTTCACTGATGGAACCATCCGGGTTGGTGGTGATGAGGGTGGGTACTCGGGTTTTGCCGCTGTCACTAGGTTCTGAAGATATGTACTTGTTAGCTGTCCAAAGGTCATTACCTTCAATGTCACCCAGCCAATCCAGCCAATGTTGCTTCTTTGTGGTATTAATCTCATTCACATACTGTTCCTTGATGGCTTTGAGTTCTTCGTGGCTAGGGTGAAGGGGGAGGCCGCACATTTGGTAGGTGATCTTACTGAGGTCCTTGATGCGGGTCCAGAGAATAGAGAGATGCTTTGTCCACCAGTGTTTGGAATGGGGGCAGGGTTTCGAATGTGGAACACAGATCTCCATGGTGGACATGATCAACTGGGTGAGGTGTTGAGCTGCCTCCTGGAATTCCTCTACCAAGGTGAGGGGAAGAGCAGGTCTGGTGGAGATGGTTTGCTTGAGATGCTTATTGAAGGTGTCCCAGTCTATGCCATGCCAATTCCTGCACGGTTCTTCATTGGTCCTTGGGGATTCAAGTTCTAAGGTGATCAAGATGGGAAGGTGATCAGTCTTAGGCCCTCGCAATTCAGGAGCAGTTTTGCAGGATACGATGGTGTTGAGTAGAAATTCCATTCCAAACACATTATCTGGCTTGGTCCAGTTGCCCGTGCTGGTGGACTGCAGTGTGGGGATACCGACTGGGAGGAGTTGCAGCATTCCATATTCAGCTATAAGATCAATAAGGGGGTTAGCAGCGGTATAATTGAAGAGATGATGGTTACAGATGTCCTCCCAAAGAGGATGGTGGCGGTTAAAGTTGCCTAGCCAGATCATGTGGTCATTATTGGAGGACTTAATTGATGCGATGTTGGTGATGATGTGCATCCAGGCAGCCTCAGTAGGGAAATATGGCATCTTATTCTCTGGGAACTTCTCGTCCAGAAATTCACATCTATGAGTGAATTCTGGGCATTTCCTGCTCCAACTGGTATGGTTGTTGCTGCGGCAGTTTACACAATGTGTAGTCTGGTATGCATTGCAAAGGCTGGTACAGTGCTGCTCCCCACAGGATCCACATATGTCAGACTCACTGGAACAACTGCGTGTGATATGGCCATAGTGTTGGCATTTCGCACAGCATATGGGTTCCTTCTTATCTTTCCTGACCATAATCCATTCATTGTTGATGCATAGACCATCATGTAGTATGTTGTTCGCTGTGGAAGCATTAGCAACTTGAAGAAGGGCAAAAGCTTTCCTTTGTTCCTGAGAATGACAGTTGGGTGGCTTGATCCAGCAAATGGACATTAGTGAGTCAGGGGAGAGTTGATTTTCGTTCATTACGTGGTCGAGGAAAATTTCATCTTCTATCTGCTGTCATATCTGCATATCCGGATCTCAGATCCGACCCTTATCTCATCTCAGATCCACATCTTATCTCCGATCCTATCCACATCTTATCTCCCTCCAACATCTCATCATCCAATCTGTTCCACTCGTCCAGTCTGGCCCACAACTCATCCGAATCCACAACCAGCGCTCGTCTCCTTTCGGTAACCCCCTAACTCCGGTATTTCGGTTATCTGTATATCTGTCCTGCTCCCTTATCTGCTACCTATGTTTCATTTCCATTTCATGATTTGTGATCCATTTCTACTTACCAATAGACTATCCACATGCTTCATACATAGCCTCGGACTCTGCTGATTGATCATTCCATTAGATACCTATAGTATATAACCTCCTGTAACTTTCTGTAGTACCTCAGTTCGAATATCATCTTAGTTCTACTCATTCCTGTCCTCTGGACTTGAGTACCTCTACTCTCATCACCCTCCAAGACTTAGGATTGATTCCTATAGTCTATCCATATCCACCTCTGTCTCTGACAGTCCATTACCGTTAGTTTCTAGTCTGGACTCGTCCAGATTAGCCTTACAATACTTATCCCTCATCTGGAAGTCATCCGGATCCATTACACTACTTGTCCGACCTTCTGGACGTGCTAGTCTTGCCTTCCTGAAATAAGGGGCAATACTTGGGTAAGGGGCACAGTGCATGAGCTGAGGCTGAAGCCCTTTGGATCCAGTTACCCTTTGAGTACGACCTTAACAATGGTCAACACCTCTCTCATGGACACAGTTTGAGTCAAGCATCATACTCTAGCAACATCATCACTGAAAACCGGTTAACCCAGTATGACAATATTGACCTTATAAGGTAGTGAAATCTGTGTTGCCCTTATATGCCAATATATCGGCCTACCTATCAAGTATCATATTCTTGATCTGTAAGCTTGTTTTTCATCTGCTTTTGTGTTCAACAAATCAATCTATGAGTATATCAAGTTGTGAGCTAGTGTTCAAAGTTATACATTATGTATCTCAAACACAAATCATACTACTGAGCTTTTGCCTTTTCATCTTATATTTTCCACCTCGATAAGTCATTATCATCTCATGTCGAATTCTAAGCTAGTGGTCTAATTTTTGCATCTATGCATCAAAAGTGCTCAATACTATATATCAGTGCAGAATGGTAGGACATCGAGATTACATGTTACTGTAGGCATACACCCAACCATCCACACACCCAGTAGGATGACAGCAAAAAACTATATTTGTTATCTACAAAATACATATGTAAAGTAATCCGTTATTATAAAAATTGTTAGCTTGACTGAGGGAACACTGAGCGAGTAGGACAGAATTGGGGTCCGGATGACTAATACATCTATTTGATGAATGCAAGTCCTTTCAGGCTAACATCTAACACAACTGACATGCCAAATAACAACAGACAGAATAACAACGAAAATGCTGTAAGTGAATCGCATCTATACATTTGATTGATTACTTACATAGACACAGAGAGCACCTGTTAAGGTCACGTGCTCAAGGGGGTCGGATCACAAGGGCTTGGCCTCAGCTCGTACACTACACCCCTTTCCTGAGTATGTGCCCTTAATTTCTGGGGGCTAGAACAGTCGTCTGGAGTTTCTGGGATTTGACTAGGGTGGATAGTGGACACCCGGATCTGAGATGTGAGATAAATCCGACAGACATCCGGATGTTACCTGGGCAAGCGGATAAGACTAATCCGGACAAAGTCTGGACTAGAAACTAACAGAGGATGGACTACCCTTAAGGTAGAGTCAGAAATGTAGTCTAGGATGCAATCCTAAGACTCGGAATATGACAAGAGACTTATCTCGAGTCCAGAGGACACAGGAATGAGCAGGAACTAAGATGATATTCGAACTGGAGTATTTCTGAGAGTTACAGGAGGTTTATATACTGTAGGTATCATATAGGAATCAGTCAGCAAACATAAAGGCTATGTACAAAGCATATGCAGAGTCTATTAGTAAGTAGGACGGATCACAAATAATGAACACCAGAAATGAAATGTATGTAACAGATCAATAATCAAAAGGGAAACATGGTTAACCGGAGTCCGGAGACAGGGGCAGTCTAAATGGAGTTGGGCGCTGATATAGGGTTTGGATTCCGGAAGGGAGATAAAGATAGATCAGATCATTTGAGATCCGGATCTCAGATCTGGATATCCAGAGAAGCGGATTTAGAGTTGAGAGTCTGGAATGGCATATGACAGCACTGGTGGCCCAAATTACAAGGGCGCACAGTTTCAAAATACCGGATTACTTACTGGTATGTTTGTAAGCACACTGGCTTACCTGAGTTCCCATAATCAGTACATATACTGTCGCTGATGCTGAAAGCTAAGCTTTCAGTATTTCACCTTTTGGTGTAATGGTTATGTGGGTGGCAGTCTGACCATGTTACAATGTTTCATCGACATCCCTCGAATGTGATGCATTGAACTTATTAGGCCGCAATCTGGGCAACGATGCCCATTGTGTGCACAAGAGCCAATGAGGCGTTACAGAACAACATGCAACTGCTTGGTCTGGTTGAGCCTCTGGTTTGGACAGACAAGGAAAAAGCATTCCTGGTGCTCTGGATCTCAAGAGAGAGGAGGATTTTGGAGATGGTGTTGACACATTTGGAGGTTTCACTGGGCTTGAGGAGTCCGTCCTAGAGAATTTTCAGCTTTTGTATGACTGCACATAATCCCATCCCAATCTAAATGCATTGATGCTCTTACCTTTGGGCATTTCATCCTTCAGGGCACTAAACTTAACATAGACAAAACCTTTCGGCCTTCCTGATTCATGATCCATTGGAATGCCTTTAGTGTCGTTGTGCTCACCAAAGACTTTGCCCGCAGTGACTTGTAAGATGCTGTTTCAATTCTCCAAAGTCCGAGCAGAAGATTTGGCATCCTGGAAGCTCAAGGTGTAATCTGCACCATCTGGTTCTGTCCAGACAATCAATGTATCTGGTGGTTGCATGAGTGGGTATCAGCAGATCCTTGTAAATACCAAACGGACCTTGTTGGCATTGATAGACATCAGTGGTGCGAATTTGAGTAGTCAGGATGAGTTTGTTGAAATGGACTTCTGAATGAGCAATAAGGAAAGCCTCATTGGTCTCGTTCTCAAATTGTCCATAACAAAAAGCAGTCCCTTGGTCAGCCCATTGTGAGCCAATAAGTTTGTAAACCTTTGTAGAATGTGGCAAACATTGGTCAGAGTTGGCCCTTAATGAACGCATGAAAACAAGACAGGGAGAAGGAGGAGGAGGAGGGAGGAGGAAGAGGAAGAGGAAGAGGAAGAGGAAGAGGAAGAGGAAGAGGAAGAGGAAGAGGAAGAGGAAGAGGAAGAGGAAGAGGAAGAGGAAGAGGAAGAGGAAGAGGAAGAGGAAGAGGAAGAGGAAGAGGAAGAGGAAGAGAAGAGGAAGAGGAAGAGGAAGAGGAAGAGAAGAGGAAGAGGAAGAGGAAGAGGGAGGAGGGGGAGGGTGACAAGGGGGAGGGTGACAAGGGGGAGGGTGACAAGGGGGAGGGTGACAAGAGGGGGACAAGGGTGACGAGAGGGGGAGGAGGGGGATGAGAAGGTGAGGAGGGGAGGAGGGAGGATGTCATATCCTGTATGCCAGATATAGATCCCATCATATTCCCACGCTTTCCGGACCTATTTCCAGACCCCATATCCGACTCATTCCTGGATCCCCTATCCTGTCCACCCTATGCACATTCCATCCAGCAAGACATCCAGACTTTACCTCCTCTTGGATTCCGGACTACATCCACCACCTCACATATCTCAGTCCTGTTTCTGCCCTACCTTCTGGATCCCCAGATCTCCGGACCTCCGGATATTAACTGTTACTATCTCCAGACCTATTCCTGCCCTCTATCCGAGATCCTGCACCTATCCCCATTTAGGCATCTCCCCCTTTCTGGTTCTTGGTTATCTCTGTTTCCGTCCTGCTGATTGATCCTTGTACTAGTTTCATCTCCGAGTTCATTTACTTATGTTCCGTCTTACTTACCAATGTGTTTCCACATGCTCGTACATAGCCTTACTCCTTTGCTTACTGATCCTCTCAGATAGCCTCTAGTATATAACCCCTGTACAACTACAGTAGAGTCCTCAGTCTGAATATCATCTTAGATCCTGTTCTACTTGCCAATCATCTTCTGGACTTCAGTCCATCTGAGTCTCGTCCTTTTCCATAAGGCCTAGGGAAGGATTCCCTAGGCTGGAATTCCAGACCTTCGGATTTGTCCCCTATGTCTCTGTCCCAAGTCTAGGGATTGCTTCCCTAGGCTGGAGTCTTGCCTTTCTGGCACTTACCTTCTTTCTGGACTTAGGTCTACTTCCTGTCCCTCATACCTCTGGGCATCCTGTCCTTTGGACGTTCTGTCCTCTGAACCTCCAGACATCCTGTCCTCCTGTCCTCCAGACCTCCTATCCTTCCATCCTATTTTCCTGTAGAAGTATTACCTTGTAGCAGGAACTCTCCTGAGCATTTCCTGCATTCCTCCGGAACTCTCCCACGCTCCTCCGGAAGTCCTCCCACACTCTCCAGCAGAGTAGCCAGCCTCCGGAAGTCCTCCGGACTTCATCAGACCATCATCAGACTTTCTTTGAAATGAAGGGCACATACTCAGGTAAGGGGCACAGCGTACAAGCTGAGGCCAAGCCCCTCTGAGTCAGTCTCTCTCTCCTTTGAGCATGGTTCTTAACAGAGGAGGGGGAGGGTGACAAGAGGGGGATGAGAGGGGGATGAGGGGGATGAGAAGGTGAGGAGGGGGAGGAGGAAGAAGAAGAGGAGGAGGGAGGAGGGGGAGGGTGACGAGAGGGGGATGAGAGGGGGATGAGGGGGACGAGAAGGTGAGGAGGGGGAGGGTGACAAGAGGGGGATGAGGGTGACAAGAGGGGGAGGAGGGGGATGAGAAGGTGAGGAGGGGGAGGAGGAAGAAGAGGAGGAGGAGGGAGGAGGGGGAGGGTGACAAGAGGGGATGAGGGGGACGAGAAGGTGAGGAGGGGGAGGAGGGGGAGGGGGAATGCGGCTGAAGAGAGTCAACCTTAAAATTTATATTCCAGTCCTTCATCTTCAGAGTCTTTGTATTCCTCCAAGTCACTGCCTTCACCAGATATGTGGACATCCTCATCTTTGTCATCCTATGCGTCATTATCTTCATCATCATCATCATCTTCTTCATTATCCTCATCATCATCATTTTCTTTGCCTCAAGTTTGATTCCAACAGTCTCCAGCATTGGTGTTGCTCATGACAATGTCCAATTCATCATCACAGCTTCCTGGTCCATGTTCACACTCAGTGTCCTTTGACATGTTATACTGAACCACATGGCCAACACCTATGCCTGCGAAACAAGTGAACATATCATGATCTGCAAAACTATATATCCCAAACTGTTATTGATCAGGACATCAACAAAGTCGACTTACTCACATATTAACATAGAAGGCAGCCCAATCATTTACTTCTCCGAATGGTCGCACAACAGTTGGGCCATGCCAAAGAAGAGCATCCATGCAGCCATCAGCAAAGCAGGGATAAGATGACAGGCTCTAAGAACAACAGAGGGATCAAGGAAACCAAATGCAGAGGGTGAGTCCGGTATGAATCCAACTTTCGGAAGATGACCCTCCCTGATGCTCCAGTGGTAACATGGGACTACACCAAACCATCGAACCCACAAGAATTCCATGGACTGAGGTGAGTGATTATGAACATCAGGGCCAACATGGAGCACCTGTATGGTAAAAGCACCTAAAACTTGGGCATACCAAAATGGATGAGTGTCACCATCATGTTCTCTCGACAAAGTCATTACAACACCACCATACCCTGGTTTCAGGGTATCTTGATCACGATGGACATCATAGATCGTGTAGTTGATTTGGAGGCACTTGGCTTGGGAGACCTTGTTCAGGTTGTTGATGAAGCATACACTGTTTCGTTCCACATCAGTGAAAACCCTCTCATCACCATCATAATCCAAGCTGAGCAGTCATGAAAGAAGATGGTCTTTCAGATTAGGAATGAAGCCCTTTTGGTTTCTGTTAGCAGTGAAGTTTTAGTAGACTAACATCTTACCTTGATAGCTGGATCACCCTCGTGTTCACTCAGGTAATGGGCTAGATTCAGGAAGTTGGATGTATTGGACATAAAGTGGTGAGCCTCGATCAGTAGGTCACTGGTATGTATATCCTGGAGGGGGGCTGTAGATTGCCGCTGCCGGTGGATGCGAGTACATCTTCTTTCCTGTTTAGCAAGTTGCTTCGAGACATCTTGCTTATTTGTATTTTGATACAGCATTTTTATGAGACAGTGGGAAAGCTCGCCCTGTAAAATGCAGAATGTTAAGATGGTCAGATACTTGAACATCAACTACAACTACGTACAATCTGAGTCATATATGAATCTGTTGTTCCAAATAGTCTAATGGAGCCCACGTAATCACCAAGCGCATGCAATTTGTACGTTGAGAGATTGAAAGTCCTGGGATGAGCACCCAATGATCTTGTTCCCCCATTGGTGGACTTTAGATTAGCTTCATGCCTCCTCTGATGTGCAGCAACTTCATGTGGAAGTTCTACAGTCTGAAAAGCCAAGCATGTAAACTGCTGGAATTTTCGAAGTTGCTTTCCTAAACCTTCCAGTGCCTGATCGAGTCGAGCTAGCGAATCATCCGTGTGAAGCTGAAGCTTGGCCAAGGCATGCCATTCAGCCAGTTGAAAAAGAAGAAGACAGACAACATTGTCATGCTGTGCAGGGAATAACCCTTTGAATGCAGGGATTGTGCACTGCTCAGAAATGGGAAGTCAGTGTTTGGAAAATGGCAAAGTTCACAGACCAACTAACCTGTAAAATGTCCTCGAAGTGCCATGCAGCACTATGCCGCACATCTGACACACTGGATGGAAAATGCTGAATTGCACCCCTGCCAAAGGAAAGGATTGAGCGGAAGCTGTGGTAAGAAAGAGTCCATGTCAGAAATAAAATCAGTAGTCTTTAAACAAACCAAATGTCTTTACCATTCATTCAGGACAGTTATTGTTTCGGGATTTATGGCATAAAGGAGCCTGATGAGATGCTTAAAAATGGACTTGAATACGCCCAGTTTGAACTCATGTAAAAGGTCGACAATGAGCATTGGGAAAAAATTAAAACCAAGGAAGCCTAGCCGATCCGCAAAGGCATTCTAAAGATGCAATGTAAATAAATAGCTAACTATCAAGACGAAATGGGCTCACAAAGGTAGGAACAAGGGAGAACTCTTTTAGAAGACACTCTACAGCAGCACCTTTGATAGGGAGGCCTAAGTTGTAGATGGCATCACATGCAATGGTGATTTTGTCTCCAAGATATTGTTGTACTCTTAAAACTCTTGCTGACATATCAGCGATGAGCCCAATGTGCCAAAAATATGATTTTGTGAGGAGACATCGTGGGCATGGGCAAATTCCCTTATCACGAATGGTTGCAATAAGAACTCTGTTGGCGGCATCTTGGTTAGTAAAAGGGAAGTCAGAAGGATATAGTTTGCTTACTTTTCTGGGTAGTCTGCAGAATAGGTAAATATCCTAGGAAATACTCTGCGGTATACCCCATCATAGCACTTGACGACAATGCCATTTTTGTATGCTTCGACAAAATCATCATCTATCAGAATACACCAGATAGCGTGAAACAGCTCTCGCTTGCAATGAGCTAGAACATCGTCATAACTCTTCCTTTTAACTAGGGTAATCTGTGCAATAAATCAATTGATCACTTCTGGTAGCTATAAAACACAACTGTTAGTATAACCACCTAGTAGCAGGTAGTGTTTGGGAGCACTTACAGTAGGAATGAATGCTACAGGATGGCATGCACTGGAGGTAGGGCAGGCGCACATGTACTTGGACTGGTTTCTGAAAAATAGATAAACCGGCCATGCTGAAGCATTCCAAAACTGTGCTAAGTGTGTCAAATCCAACCAAAACATAAGCCCAGCAATGACTCTCTCCAAGGTACAACCATCACTTCTCTTCTCCTTCTGCAAATTGTCATGTGCTTTAATCCATGCATCTGACGTATAGAGCTCATCATAGAGATGCTGCTCTTGACCAGTTACAGGGGACGTCCAAAAGTGCTTGAAGGGAGTGAAGTGAAACCATTTCGATGCTGCCTTGGAGAAAGCAGCACAAATCACGGCTGTGAGCAGATGGTACTGGAACCCTGGAACAGTAAACGGCTGTCCATTCCCACTTGGATTTCTCTCCCTAGTTGGCACCAGAATCTCTGCAGCTGTCTCTTTCCAACCATCCCTTCAGAAGATATTGTTGTCATCAAGACTGGCTTCAGATGAATCAAAATGCCCCATTTCTGTATGGGTGTCGAAGCCATTCAGATCCTGTACACTGAAATCTTCCACTGATAGGACTTCCTTGACTAGTCGAGTTACCTTAGCTTCGGACAATTGGTTGCTTCCTGTCATCATCCAAGTCATGAGGCACCAGATGCTCATGTTTCACCAAGGCCAAGGAGGTGGCTTTGGGGAAGACGCTACCCTGGTATTGGATGGTTCAGGGTTCGAATCTGGACGAAAGTTGGATAGCTGGTCTGCAGAGACAAATGCATCTGGGTCGTGTGTCGGTCGATGATGGTACTCCCTTCCAATACCAAATAGATTTACGGATGTTGTTAAGAACCATGTTGCTCAAGGGGGAGAGAGACTGACTCAGAGGGGCTTGGCCTCAGCTTGTACACTGTGCCCCTTACCTGAGTATGTGCCCTTCATTTCAGATGAGGTCCAATGATGGTCTGACGAAGTCCAGAGGACTTCCAGAGGCTGGCTACTCTGCTGGAGAGCACTAGAGGACTTCCGGAGGAGCGTGGGAAATGTCCGGAGGAGCGTGGGAGAGTTCCCACTGCAAGGTAATACTTCTACAGGAAACAGGATGGAGGGATAGGAGGTCCAAAGGTCCAGAGGACAGGGTGACGGAGGACAGAGGGACAGGATGTCCAGAGGTACAAAGGACAGGAGGATAGGATGTCCGAGGGTTAGGAGGACAGAACATCCAAAGGTACGGAGGGCGGAACGTCCAAAGGACAGGATGCCTGGAGGTACGAGGGACAGGAGGTCCGGAGGTCTGGAAGGAATAGGGGCTGCATTGGACAAAGTCCAATGTAGAAACAAACAGAGGTAGACTACCCTAAGATAGAGTTGGAGAGACAGGGATTGGACCTAAGTCCGGAAAGAGGGTAAGTGCCGGAAAGGCAGAGCTCCGGCCTAGGGAATCAGTCCCTAGGCCTGATGGGTAGGACAGACTTAGGTGGACCAAAGTCTGAGAGAGGATTGGGCAAGTCTAAGTTGATATTCAGACTGAGGAACTACAGGAGTATCTACAGGGGTTATATACTGAACAATATCTGAGGGGATCAGTAAGCAAAGGAGCAGGGCTATGTACAAGCATGTGGAAACACATTAGTAAGTAAGTTGGAACATAAGTAAATGAACTCGGAGATGAGGACTCATACAAGGATCAATAAGCAAGATGGAACAAGAGGTAACCGAAAGCCGGAAGGCAGAGAATGCCTAAATGGGGATAGGCGCAGGATATCGGACAGAGGGTGGGAATAGGTCCGGAGTTAATATCCGGAGGTTTGGAGACCTGGGGATCTGGAAGACAAGGTGGATACAGGACTGGAATACAAGAAAGTGAATATAGTCTGGAATCCGAGATGAGGTGAAGTCTGGATGTCTTGTTGGATGGAGTGCATATAGGGTGGACAGGATAGGGTTGTATGGATCAGGCTAGCAGTGAGGATCTGGAGGTCCAGAGCTCAGGGGTAAATCAGGAGCATAGTCAATCCTGCTGAGGTATGGAGCACAGCGGAAGGGGATCTGGGAATGAGCTGGATATGAAGTGGAGTCTGGATGTAGGCTTGGAAGGCGTGGGAATATGATGGAACATGGGTCCGGATTGTGGGATATGACAGATGTCCATAAAGAGTCAAAAACATGGAGAATTACTCAGCAAATGGCTGGTGGTGGTGGTGGTTGGACAGGGGGAGGTGGCACAGGAGGCTCATCTCTAAATTGTGCAGGTAACCAGTGAGTCCGAGTGTGCCTTCAGGAGTAGGAGTTAATATAGGTGGCTCAGACTGCACCTCTTGTGGGATGCTAGGTAGTCTAGGCTCCGTTGATAGTTGAGGTGAGAGAGGGTAATGCTGAGGGGTTGTATCACATGATACAATGGTATCACTGCTGCTAGGGGGTGTGGTCATAACACTGCACAAAGACCCAGCTGCAGCAAGCTAGTCTCATCAAATGAAGCTTGGGGTAGGATGAAGCAGAAGACTCACTTGAGTAGTGCTGAGCTTTATTTTCTTTGACATAGACTCCTCTTGCATGACTTCCGCAGCTCATTTGAAATGTAGTGACTGGAGTGTCAGCTGCTGTTGCCAATGGGAGCAACTTTTCTGGTGGTGTGTTAACCCACTTGGCGATGAAAATGACTGGCTGCAGGTTGAATGGCACTTGAAGTAGTGGCTCATCAGGACAATGAGAAGAGAGAATGTAGCTAGGAGCAAAATAAAGTAAGTGAGGACTCTAGATCTGGCCCTCATGTGCACTCAGCAGTATGATCTGGCTTGAAAGTTGCATCAAACAAAATCTTCAGCTTGCATGGGAAATGGCAATTGGCGACATACTTTAGTACAGCCTTGAATGGCATGACTCGGCTACTCCAAGTCAGAGCTGAAGCATGAACTTCAGTTCAATCTACTCAACAAAAACTGAAGTCGCTGCAAGGTCTCATCGAAACATTGGGTATCCTGGCACTAGCACTCTGACCCAAAATGGCATGCGGCACTGTATCTTGGAACTCACCAGTTCAAGTCACACACATCAAGCACACTGTGACTGCGATGCTCCCAACAGAACTCAAGAGACAGATATTCATTCTGGCCACTGACTCCACACAAAGAGCATTCTCTTCCTCATTTTTATTTCCTTTCCCTGACTTGGATTTTGGCCTTTCCTCTGCTCTTAACTCACTGCAAAAGTGAAATTATTCTTTGACCATGGACAACCGTTCTCTGGCTGGAGGCACTTGGCCTTATCAATGCGCTCAGCAGTGCTGTCCCCACCCTTCCGCTGGACATGCAGAGATTTATCCAACTCTTTGGTGGCCTCATCTTGCCCTTCACACCACATCTTTATGTATCAGCATCACCGTTTCTTACCTGCCTTCACATTCTCGCATGACCTTTTCTTGCCCGCCTTTGCATTCTCACCCACCCGACTCTCCTTGTGTCCTTGTCACTGGCCAGTCATGGCCCACACAGTCCCTGCCCTTCTGCTCAGATGCACCACTTCCTGTCTTCTAGAAAGTTGAAATGGGAGCCATATGTTGTGGTGGTGAGAGGCAGGGAATGAGTCACAGAGTAAGTTCATCGCAGAGGGTATGTATGCTTTTACACTCTGAATGTTCTACCAGATACTAGTCTTCGAATTCTATGCTTTTCACTGCATTGCAGATCTGCTGAAGAACTGTTGTCTGTTTCTCAATGGCTTCTGCAACCTTCATGAGGACTTTAAGGGACTGTACTGAACCCCCCATGCCTTCAACTCCCCTTCCTAGCTTCCTACGTTTCCGTAGCAGGATTTCAGTGGCAGGCATTGGTGCTGTGCACTGTGCATTTGTAATATCAAGTCCAAAACTCCTCTGATCCTGCATGCAACTGCAGGTAAGTATTTTGAAGCAGTGGTATTGCCGATATTGAGCTGGCACTCACAGAGTCTTGATTGGAGTCGAGTGTTTTTCACTTTGAATGTGACAGCAGCTCATGAGCCTTTTTGCTCACGGTCTCCCCCTCCTGGAATCAGAACTGTTAGAACAGTCATGTTCAATCTGGAGGTCACATACATCTTGATGTTGCTCCAGGTCTGAAGGAGGTTCAGGCGACTTGTAACACCCACATGTGTATGCAGGTGCACCTTGCCCATACCCTGTGGGCCCTGGGCAAACTGCCTTATGACTTTCAGGTGTAGTGCCCCACGAGTACACATCTATGACACATTCATCCGGGTTATCTGCTGCTCCATCATGGTAGTTGGGGTGATGGGAGGTGACACTGTCTTGATGAGGGTCAGACAACATTTTTACACTACTATGTATCCTCAAGGGTGACAATATTTAAACTCTCACAAACCTATAACTAATGCCCTGACAGCCTTCCTACATCCTGGAGCATGTGCCCATGGCCAGTGTCACCTTCAATTTTCTGACTCAGGGCTAGGCCGCTGTGGGAAACACAACAAGAAGAGAACTGGAAAGTAGACTTCTAATGTTGGGCTAAATGTGCTATGCCTAGCTGCTATTCAACCCTAAAGGGTTTCTGGACTAAGCTCAGTGCTCAGAGAGGATAGGAAATCATGCTAATAACTCTCAGTCTCAGACTGGTACTGGTAGGTGGTGAAAACTATGATGATTACATAAGCACCAAAAGTGCGAACATAACACTAAGTAATATCTGCCTATACAAGCCCACAGAATATGAAATCCCTACACTGCTACAGTGCATGGAGCAGTGCTGGGGGATAAAAATGCTGGTGTGTCCCATCTGGCTCTCCGTTGCTGACTTAACTTAGTCACAGATGTATTAATGGTGCATATGGCAAGTTGCCCTAGTTCCGGGATATGGAAATTTTCAAGTTGTATCCGAAGTATTTATCCCCATTCTCTTTAGTTTTTCAATGTTCATCTATGATTTAGTTCCAAACAGCCCACTGACACATAAATCAGCAAGATCTTATACGCGGTATGAATCAGCATAGGATCAAACTTGAATGTGCACTGATTCCTTTATATTACACAGGCTAATGAAATTTTCTTGTTCCTCCACTCCACGCCTTTCAAACACAAGGTCTATTTCAGATGTCACAAACTCCTCTCTCATACAATAACTTACCTGTTGATATTGTAGCTTCCTTGAAGAGACAAATTGATGTTCTTCAGGCGCAAAATGAAGAGCTCCGCAAGGAACCTTGCAAAGAGAAAAGGTGTGTCCGACCTTCAAACACATGTCCATGCTATTGATTTAACTGCAGTAACCGCTACCATCTTGAGGGTAGAGCGATTCAACAGCTAGTTTGTCTGACTGGTTATATTGGACAATTAGTTGCAGAACATGATCAATGTATGGTACTTGGTGCTGTCAGCAAATCTGATGCAGACAAGTTCGACTCTGAGGATCCCAAGTAAGTCATTTTCCATTGCCAGTGACAAAAGTTAACAGTTAAATTTTATTAGTGATAATAGATGGCACAGATCATTCAAGAAACTTCTTGTATCATGCCCATCTGTAGGTAAACTAACAAAGTCATTGGTCGAGGACCATGACCTGGCATTTGCATACAGCCAGGTGAGACATCGCAATGAGTAGGCCTTGCTTCACTAACTCTCTATTCTAGCTGATTAAAGGAGCTGATTCAGCTAGGGCAGATGATACAACAAAACTCAAGGTGCTTGTCATTTCTTGGTTATCAGAGTGTACCCCGCCACCAGACCCCATTCTTTACCCTTATGACAAGACTGGCCATGGTTTCTACAACGATGCAACAGGAAGGCTTCTATGTCCTGTGGATCACAACTGGAACAACTCTGAGTAAGTTTTATTTGTTGGGCAACACCTTTGTTGACCAATTTAACAGTGTTTGATGATATATTAGGGACTACCACCCTGATTATAGGGTGATGGCTTACTCTTGGCCAACATTCTTGTATGATGGACATTACAATGCTAGGAATCATAGAGATGGCCTGTTTAAAGGGAAGTTGCTATTAAAGGTATGATTCGCTGTGCAGATGATCAGCACTTTCCTGAAACGAGCTACAGACGTTTAAAGCCACATTTACATCTCCCACCTCTGCAGAGCTTGATGACCCAGAGCAGACTGGTTCTGATGAGGTTTCTGCACATGGACATTCAAAGTGCCAAAGAACCCAGACAAGTGGTGAGCGGCACACACACTGTGATGTTGCAGGGCTACTCAACATGAAATCCACTTAACCGCAGGCAATTGCATATGCCACTGTCCAGGTATGAAGTATGACTTCTGATTGGCACCTTGCATTGTTAACATGGTGGCTTAGCTTTGCTTTGCTTTGTCCAGTGCTAGCTCGTGGTGGATCATGGATGATGACTTCAACAGCGAAGTTTTCTATAACCATATTGTTGATTTCTTTGAGCTTCCCCCAACACAAGACGCAGCAAATGAAGTAGATGATATTTTACTATGGTGGAACCAGTGAGTAGCCTGCTGCTGCTCTTTGCTGTCCATCTCATTATATTGTATATCAGCAAAGTTTTCGGTCGCAAGTATGTGTCTGTTTATCACCCCCAAAGGGTTGAACAGTTATCAGTTGCTTGGACATGGGCTTGACAAGCCTAACTTGCTTCTCCCTCCCTTCACTATCACCCTCCTTCTGTTGTCTCTGTCACCCTCCTTCTGCTGTCTCTGTCACCCTCTTTCCACTATCTCCGTCCTTCTACCATGTCTCTCTTTCTGTTGTCTCTGTCTCCCTCCTTCTACCATCTCTCTCATTCTACCATCTTCCTCTCTCTGTTGTCTTCATCTCCCTCCCTCTGCTGTCTCCCTTCCACTGCCATCTCCCTTCCTCTATCATCTCCCTTCCTCTATCATCTCCCTTCCTCTATCGTCTCCCTTCCTCTGCTGTCTCCCCCCTTACACCATCTCCCCCCTTCTGCCTTCTGCCTCCTTTTGCTGTTTCCTTCCCTCTACTATCTCCATCTCCCTCCCTTTTCCATCTCCTTCCCTCTACTGTCTCCCTCCCTCAGCTACCATCTCTGTCTCCCTCCCCTTCTGCCATCTCCCCATCAATGACACTGTTGCTACGGTTCCTACATATAATACTTGCTACTTGTATAAGTAGTACATACCATCTGATTTGTATGTGTCCCATGGGTGAAGCTACACAAACAATAGCATTGTGATTTGTTTCTGGTTTATCATGATTTATGTGCACTATATTTTGTACATTGCAATGGAAATTCGGCATTGTATAGTTGAGGATACAATACCTGTTTGTCATTCATTAGCTGGTTCTCAATAAATTGTTTGCACTGGGACATCAAAACTGTATTGCTCTCATGAAGCAATTGCCCATATATGTTGCATATAGCAAAACATAACATATCTTTTACATTAGTAAATGAAGACTCATGGTGTCAGAAACTTTGTATAAGATAATTTATGTCTGGTATTTTTCGTCAGTCTACACATGGAACAACTTTACTTACTTCGTCTGCCAGACACATGAGAACCATACCTAGATTCATCCGATTAGTGCTAAATATAGGTCATCACGATTGTCATTACTCAAGGAGGATAACAATGTAGATGTATATATAACCTGATGTGACTGGCAGGTCTGTCTAAATATGATATAAATTAATCACAAATCAAGCATCCGTAAATAAGCTGCACGACCGGCAACAATGCTCTGAAGCACGGAAACTGCATACTATAAACATATCAAGCATGTTTATCAATCTGTTTTAGTTTTTACACAGCCAAATTCATTTGACTGATGCCAGATACAGGTTATCATGATAAAGATTGGTCACAAGGGATAATAATATATACCTATACAAGACTATAGCTTCTGCAGCGCCATATTTTATCCGATTATAGACATTGTTGGGTTTATATTGTGTATACAAGGGTTTATCATAGATCTTGGGTTTCAGTGATGCCATCATGGAAGCCCAGCTTTCCTTGTGTATCTTAATCAATCTTCCGAATCAGCTATTATCATAGAGTAAAACCTTCGGCATACCCAAGTCCATTCTACCAACCCCCTGGGATAGGAAATGAACAATGGAAGGAGGAGTGTGAAAGATGCATGTAAACAAAAGTATGGGAACTACAGGCGCTTAGTAAGGTGTATAGATTAGTGCGAATTCTGGAATTATTTGTAGCAAGAAAGAAGGGAGGTGCAGTGAAATTAAGAGCTTGATATGGAGAAATTCGCAACGAAAATAATCACAAACCGGAGGGTATCCTAAGAAATAAACAATTCACGGCCTGGGCTTCCTCCAATCTACGTTTGAAGTGTGCGTCGACCGCCCGAAAGGTGGGGCGCACCAGATCTCTGCTGATTGAGTCTGCTCATCCCACAATTTTGGCAACATCTGTGGCTGTTTTTCGCGCTGGAGAGCTGCAATAATTTTAAGTATGATGTGCAGACAAGTCGAATTTAACCTACCGCGAGAGCAGGCGCCGTGGAATTCCGACGTGCCATCACTGTTCGAGAAATACCGGTGATTTGTAACTCTGTGGAATCCATACCGTAATATGGCAAGGGGATTGAGCAACTATCATGGCACAGGTAAGTGATAGCGTTATGACACGAACAATACAAAGCTTACACCTACAACTAAATCAGCCATAAGTGAATCAAGCTGGTGAAACGCAGGAAACAAGTCGAATGTCCCGCGATGCTTGGAGTGCCAAGAAACATACTCCATTATGGCGTCCTCCGAATCGAAGAGCTCCTGATGGGGTGATATCAGTAAGATGGCGACCAAGCGGGACGCAATACGTGCCTGATGGTCCGGTGAAATAAGCTCGTACAGGACACATCCGAACGCCCACCAGTCCACGGGCGTCCCGTACCTCATAGAATCTGGGTTTTTCTTGTTGCGCAGGATTTCAGGTGCCATACAATAGATAGTTCCCTTTACATCTGATGCATAATCCTGCCATGAAGTCAGGAGCTTTGGCTCCTCGTCGATATAGCTGAGCCCGAAGTCAGCAATACGCACGTTCTGTCGCATATCGATTAGAACGTTTTCTGCCTTTATATCGCGATGGATGATGCCCATATTATGCAGAGCGTTGATACCAAGCGCCTTCAAAGTCGGAGCGGTGAGGCATCGAAGACCAGGAATGACACCTACTTACCAGCTGTGCGCTCCACCTGCGAGCATTCTGGACACAGTATGCTGACTGATTCTCCATATAATGCAGTAAATCATTCGTCATTAAATCCTAGGGATTCCCAATGGATTCAAACAGCTCAAATGACACAGGGGAGAAGTGCGTACCATAACGAAACAAATTTTTTTCTTCGTCTGAAAAGACATCTCTAATTCCATCAGGAATGTCGTTGCAGGACAATACTCCCTCGAGGACGCAAGACGCTTGTACACCTTCAACTCATTCAGAAGACCCTCTTCTGTTTTATTGTGCTTAAGTCGGTCCTTGCTGAAAACCTTGAGACACAACAAGCGACCTGATGCTATATCTTCAGCTCCCATAGCCCTGGCAAAACCTCCCGTTGATAGTTGGCGCCAAACGCGGAAGGGACCGTTCACGTATGACAGCAAAGGGATTCGCGGGGTAGACCCCTCTGTTGTACCTGGAAGCGTGAAGGCGTGAATGGGGGCTGGAGGGTCGTCCAGCTCCATGTGAGAAGGGCACAGAAAATCAGGGAGTTTCGAATTCAGATCCACCGTGTTGATATCCCCCGTGATCTTAGGGATGGGGATGGGGAGAGGCATGATGTCGGGCACGTCGGACGAAGCACTCGATAATTGGGGTGGCGATAGAGATGAAGGAGTGATCAACTTCAGAGTGACCTTTGGGCCTAGCCGAGGGTGATCAAGAGGCAACATGGTGATAACCAGTTATGAGGAGAAGGAGGAAACAGATGCGAAGGAGAGATTGGGTGGACGTACTACTTAAGAGTTATCTGGTAGGGCCACAACGCATCTTTAAAAAATGAGCTGTGGACGCGTCAATGTCTGATTGTCTCAAAGCACCCACAACGTAATCGCGGTGATAAAATTGTGCCACCACATCTGTGTATCAATTACGAGGGTGGCTAGCATAGGGGGAAGCATACGATCAAAGCACGTTGCAACCACAGTTAGATGTCAATTGCCAGCACATTGATGAATAGATCACTACCCCGACTAAGTATCAGCGTATTGTGACAGCAAATTGGCACACCACACCTGCTGCAAAGCATCCCGCTATATCAAAACAATATGATGCTGCGGAAACCTGCATATCCGAAAGAATGTAAACACTCCCAGTACCGACAGCACAACCATCTGGTCAAGTGCTGATTGTTGTAAGGCGTGGCAATCGTTAAAAGTGTTTGGCTTCTTCATTCGTACCGTGGGCCTTTCAGAATGGGCGCTCTTGTCATACGGGGCGTGCAGTAAGTGATGGCGATGGTCCTCGGTGACTCCCAATCTGTATACGAGTTCGTATATCGCTCGAGGTGCAAGTTCTAACTTCTCCCGCCGCTGTCTTTACAGGATCAAGTGCAATGTGCCCGATAATGACTCGAAGGACACGAAAGAAAAGAGAAAATTCAACGAGATACAAGCAAACTCTTAGGGAGGCTGATATCGGCGGCGAGCGAATGGAAATTCATGTGGAAATAAACTCGCTTGAAGATGTTTCATAGCTTTACTATAAGTATGCTTGTGAAATAATGTTCAGACTTTGTTCCGCCTAAGTGAGTAACATCATTAGGACCAGGACCTTGTTGAACAATGGGGTCAAAACGCACTTTAATTTTGAGAACGAGTATTACATCCCAATTTCCTTGCAGTTGTCACCATAGGTCACTATGTTGGTTTACCTGTTTTGGCACAGGCAAACGCAATGATGAGGACTCAGGATAGCGGGAAGGAGAAACCTTACACGTACTAGTAGGCACCGCTAGTACGCCAGCCACCATCGATTTATTAAAGTCCAGAACGTTCGAGGTGCATCCGCTATTTCTTCCCTCTTTTTTCCATACAAGGCTCCAAGCCGCTGTTGTCGGCGCAGAGTAAGGGCTCGTGTCTTCGGAAGGTCCTATGGAGTCATTTTTGTATCCTCACTGGCATATCTCACTAATTTCAAACTGATGTCCTAGCTGTAAAGTCGGCTGTTGGAGATAGTCTCCGCGGTTTATCTCGGGGAAGTTTGTAATTTATGTTAAGCAGAAGGTTGCTTCACGTTGATCAGATGGTGATGCAACTAGTATACACCTTCGAGCGGGCGACAGCATAACGGAATGACAGCGTTAAAGGGGCAACAGCCACTGGCAGAACATAATAAAGTGCGTGATGGCCCATAAATGATTGATATGCAAACAGCACTTGTGAATTAACATAGATGTGGATAAGTTCAATAGATCACCAGTACCGTGACTAGTTTGCAGCGCTGACTCATCAATGACCCTGTGGCTAAAGACAGAATCTAATGATCTGTCTCTTGGACCGTGCCAGTGCAGGTTCGAGACGTGCCGCTGAGGAAAAGGGTTTTTTCTATAGGAACATGCACTCATGGATGGTTTCCTTGGAGGTCCGTCTTAACTAGTCTTATAGCCAAGTGGTTTCCACAACTGCCGACAAGGTTTTTTTTCCCTATTGGAACAAACTTCGACAAATATTCACTCATGTATGGTTTCGTCGGATGTTCATCTTGACTGGTCTTAGTTAAGTGGCTACCACAACAGAATCAAAATCTGTTTCTCTTCCAAATATTGTGTAGGTTCGAAACCTGCCGAATGACAGGTCTTTTTCTATCGGAACGCACCTTGACATTGATTATGGATGGTTTCCTCAGAGGAGCTTCTAACTGGTCTTAGCCAAGTGGTTACCACAGCAGAATCGAAATCTGTTTGTCTTGGAGTTGGTTCGAAACCTACTGATAACATTTTTGCGATGTATAGATCTTCGGAGGTCCATCTTAACTAGGCCCAAGCCGCCCAGACTCATGTTACGATCACCATTAAACATGCACTGCCTAAGCTTTGCAGTTCACTAAAATGATGTAAACTTGGCAGTAGCCCTTCATCGGACAAACCTCTCAAGGGAAAGCAATGTCATGGTGCTCAAGCATCTTCCGACTACTGGCAAATCCAACCCTCCAAGTTGTGCTTTCTGAAAGTTATATCCATCTCAATCATTTGGCAGAACCTGTCTATTGAAATGCGCTCATTCTCATCGCACATGTAGCATATTGTCCGACAGCGAATTTTCCACAGCTTTCGTCGATTGTTGCCCTGGCTCGCTACTTTCCAAAGGATACCGCTGATGATGTACAACTAGTATACCTTTGATGCATTCTCCAAATGATAGCACGCTACATTAGTACTTTCGCAACAAGGTTGCTGCCGGTGAAGCTCGGCCTTCGTCTAGTTCAATTGATCATAACGTGAATTTGTCTACGAAGTTTGTATGACAGCATCGAGTTGCTGAGAATATATCTATGGCATTAGTGTGACTCCGGAGTATATAATGACAATAGTACTAGTGATAGCAGTCTGAGTCCAATATAATAGTCACCAATGTCCCGTAGTGCAACATGAAGTATAGTATATGATGTAGGAAAAGATGTGCAGTGACAATTTCAGCTGCAATCTGACAGCCGAGATTATGCCAGGGGATCATGTTATCGACATTCGACGCGTCAATTCCAACGAGCGAGTATCGTAATACCTCCAAGGTTCGTCATCCTCTCGAAGCTCGTCGACACGAGAATACCTAGACTTGCGTGCTCTCCTCTTCCGCCACCAGAAACTACATGCAACCACTGAGTCATCACGTTCAGATAGCTGTATGATCACTCACATGAAACCGACGATCCCTGCAATAAGTACTATGACGGCAACGATGTAACCTGCCAATGCACCCTTATTGTCTCTTAACCATCGTTCCAATTTCTGCAGACCACCCGGATCAGGATCCACGAATATAAACTGTCTGCCTGGGAGTTCCGATTCGCTTGGGGGATTGTTTGGATTGTAACAATACTGCGTAAAGCATTGCGAGCAGAAATCTGATCGTAGAGTAACTGCGCGATCGATTGCGGCACACTGCAAGCATTGTCCCCAGTGTGGATCCGAAGAAGTTGTGTTTGGTTTGAAACCACCTAACGTATTCCAGAACGCTTGGTTTATGAATACAGCTGTGAACATGGATGTGTAGGAAAATTGTGTATCACCAGTGCTGCAAAATCATATTAGCACTATCTCTGGACTGCGCAAGGTACGTGGCATACTTCGTAGCTGGCGCGCTTCCATCCAGTGGAGGCGCATTAGGAAGATATATGATGATGGGGTAAGTTGGTTGACCCTGAGTGAGATTACAGCCAAAAAACGTTGGGCGCATATTGACGCCTGTGGAAACAAATTGGGCAGCAGTTCCAGGTATGGGCGGCATCGGTTGATGCGAAGATGAGAGCACTGATGATATCCGCTCGAAAGTAGTCAGCAGTGATGTACCACTAGCAGGAATTAGTATTTATTAATCGTAGATTGCCGACAGGTACTTACTTTGGCCAATAGTTTTGATCATCCGCACTACCATCAATGACAACCACTACATCTAGTCCTCTAGCTTTAACAAGCAAGCTGCTAAGGGGGGTTTTCTCGAGGTTTGAACCTCCGTCAAGGAGTTGGAGCTGGTCTGCAGACGAGTCTTGAAAAGTCATAGGATTGATACCTTTGAATGGCTGTAGATACTATCAGGTGGGTGCTGTGACTCAAAATGATAATACGAACGTTAGGCCAATTGGCCGCATTCATGATATTGGACGGCGTATGCGACAATAACTGATTGAAAATAAAGTTCATGCCGCCTTCATCTCCATCGGAGGTATCGAACCCAAAGTTCCCGTCGGTAACATTCAAGACCGCCTGCAACAGTAAGTCAGGTCGAGGCCAGAGAAATTCTCAAGTAATAACATGACACACGTTGAAAAAACTGGAACTTGTACCCATAACAAAGCTCGCCTGATCGAATCCAGTGATGCAAGCTGATTGGTTAGCCGGCAGGCCGTTTGTCAAATAAGTCCCAGCAAACTTCAGTGGTAGCATCGCTGCAAGGCCTGGGTCCCACGACCCAAACTCAAAAGGTGTAATCTACACCATTTATATCTAGATGCGTTCCTGTGCTTATAAGGTAAGTACTGACCTCATAAACAGTTGAATTCAGAGACACAGTCGTGGGTATCCCTGAGCCCGCTGGCTGCGAGTCAGCGGTTACTATCGGGAATGGTATTGTGTGATTTTGAAAACTCGGCAGGAGAGACATTTGGGACCATAGTTGACCAGCGCCGTGGCTAGTCTGACTGGTATAGAAGTTGTCTTGCGTTGTTTCGTTCAAGAAGTGATATGAAATCATCCGACCCCATAGGTCAGTCACACTGATAGGACTGAAAAGGCAGAAAGGTCAGCTTGACAATGGATGCGCAATGCTCCCAGGACGAAACGTACAGTCCATTATTTGCCTTTGATCCAACACTCGCCAGGATACTACCCCAATACTCTTGGTTATCGCTATTGCTGACTGATGCCGACGATGGCACAATTAAGTCAAGGTTTAACATCCATGACGAAAGATCTCCTCCATTCCCATAAACCAGTTCTTTAATTGACGGCCAATCGTTCATCAAAAGTGACCCGAGTAGCCATGAACCACCTGAGATACCCGTGGTCAGCATCATTAAAGCTTATAACGAGCATTGATCCGATATCACACTTACCAGACGAAGCTGAGAGGTAAGACGCGACTTGCAGCAGTCCTCCAGTGCCCTTCTCTCTGGCGGTGGTGTTTCTCCAATCCAACCCTGACAATACTGCTGCGCCATATTGTGCCGTGCGGTATCCCTCGCCTCCGATCGCAATGCCAATTCTGGGAAATTTACCCTCCAAATTTTCGAAGTTGTATCCAATATTTGACGCATTGCCAAGCCAGTTGGACCATGCAGTTGAGATTACATATGACTCCCTAGACCCAATATACTCCGTTTCTGATGTGTTCAGGACCTGATTCTGCAACGTGAAGGTTCGCACGAGCAAGTCAGGTGTCTCTGGACAATTCACATTGACTGTCGGAGCATACGCATCGACTGGGTTCTGCGCGACAGCGAAACTGAGGATACAGGATAATATAATATGGAGAGCGATCTGGAGGGAGATGAATATGTCAGGGTAAATCATGGAGGTGCACACTGCATCACCGTTGTCGAGGAAGATTGAAGTTATTTGAAAGAGAGCTGTGTGATGACCGGCTGTGTTTGACTATGTTTCATAACGTACTCAAAGCGATCATCTCACAGCGCACATGTCGATACTCCGACTTGACTCCGACCGTAAATAACGGGGGGAAAATGTCTCGAAAACCCTGTTGGCCAGCTCACTCAAGCTACATATATGTAATATTTTCCAGGCGCGAAACTAGAGGCATCAAAGTCTCGCACAGTGCCAGAACGGCACGATTCGAATCCCACGCAACTCCGAGTCGGCAACGCCCAGCAGCACTCCGCATGGTAGCGGAACATCGTCCTCTGCAGCATGCTCCCACTGCTCAAAAGTTCCGGCACTCACACGTCTGCATGGAGTCATCGTCACCACTACCGGACTCAGTCAGCGAACCCGAGCGATCCTTTAGTCAATCACAGGACCCTTCCCTTATTATCTTCACTGCATTCAGTTCGATTAGCCTACCTAGGTCGAGTACGCGTTCTACAGTCCATCTGACAGTCACACATATCGCACGCATAGAAGTCTAGAGTCGTTTCACCTTCGATGAATCGGCATCTAAAACGGCAGGCGGGAACGGCGGACTGATGAGGTCAGGGCATTCGCGGATTCAGAGGCGCAGCCAGGGACCAGGCCCAGGGTACTGAGGGCCCTTAGACTAGATCGTATTGTCCCCCGTAGAGTATACTCTCAATAGGACATTAATCGGAATCAAAAAAGTTCCAACAGTTCATGGATCGGAGCTCTACCTACACCGACCGTCTCCAGAATTTTCCGTTTGCGTCCCGCCCCAGAATGGACTCTTCGACCTCTGCGGCCTCGCCCGCCAGACGCGCTTCCTCTGCTTTTGGCAATGCATGGTAAGCCTTCAATTTCACCAACTCTAGTAACTAAGTAGACTAGTAACTAGAATACTTTGAAGCCGTTTCTGTGGGGTGCTGATTGCACCGGAAGGGATAATAGTATATATACATTCGATGTCGTGCAAAAAAAAAAGATTGTATACAACACTAGTACTCGTAGCTTGGCCAGGCGAAAGTTGCTGCCGGGGATGGTAGACTCGCAAACAGTCTGGGCTATCCTCAGGCAACAGAACACGCAAAGCTGAAACGTCACTGCAACAATATCAAGCTTAACTGGAGTACACAGTAGGATGGGAGCCTACCCTCGAAATGTCATCGTTCAAGTCGCTGGGAAGGAGCGTAGCAGTAAACCGGGCAATGAGCCGACTTTTGCTCCGAGTAGGCTCGGAGGATAATCCAGTCTCTCGACTACTTATATTGCAAGCTCTCCTCGACGATCGTGTTCCGAACTTCCATCATCGTGGCAACATACCAACCTCACCGGATGACCTTCGTTCAACTTATTGGATACGGTGTGCTTACCCTTGTAGTATGGAAATTCGTTCAGAGACGCGTCTCCAGAAAGGCAAACGCCCTAGATGTTGCAGGCCCAGAAAAGGAACACTGGTGGAAAGGTCAGCTTTCTCTGGCGGTCAGTCCAGTGACATTGGATATTCACGTTCATCGATGCAGGCAACATGGTGTCGATGTGTGTGGACGGTTTCCAACGTTGCTTAGATGTTGCCGCAGATTATGGTGGAGCTGTTAAGATCCATGCATTGTTTGGTGTGCGTGCTATGCATTACTCTGCATAAGGCATGATTATTGATGTGAAGCCCCCAGGAGGAATGGCTGTATGTATCAGACCCACGCGCGCTCCATCATATTCTTGTCAAGGAACAGCATACTTTTGAGGAAAATGACGGCTTTTTATTGTAAGTGTCAAGTATTGCTCGAACGTTCTTCGTTGACCCTCCTCGAGTTGCAATAAGCTCATCTTCGGAGATGGTCTTATTTCGACGCTAGGTAAATCCTGTTGGTAATCGTCATAGATTTTTTTTATTGCTGTACAGGGGAACAGCACCGAAAGCAGCGCAAAATGCTAAACCCAGTGTTCTCCACTTCTAATATGCGGGAGCTCCTGCCCGTTATTCAAACCATTTCCCATCAGCTAAAATCCATCCTCGTGTCAAATCTTTCTGCCTGTAGTGAGCCTGATCACGCACGATACAGAGAGTTCGTAGAAGTCGATGTGTTGCCCTGGCTCTCTCGCAGTTCTCTGGATTGTATTTGTGAGGGCGTGCTGGGCTACCATTCAGCTGCACTAGACACAGGAAATGAGGACGTATACACAGATGCTCTACGAATGTTAAGGTGTGTAAGCTAATCTACTAGTGAAATCACCCCTTGACATGCTCTGTCTCACAGTTCATCCATCACTAAAACCATGATATTTCGACCTTGCGTTCCAATAGTCATGCGCAATTGCTCTCTTTACTGGGGCAGAAAGATAGTAGACTGGCTCACGATAAGTTGGCTGCCGACGCAAACCATGAAGAATTTTAGGGAGCTACGTCACATAGTCGAAATCATGGACTCGGGCAGTAAAGCCATCTTGCAAGAGAAAAAGGCTGCGCTGCAGCTACCCCCTCCCCTATTACAGACCCACGACACGTCGGGAGAAACAAGGGGAAAAGATATGATGTCTATCATGCGTGCGTAATTATTCGCAATAGAGTATCCATTCTTACGTCGGACACGTACAGTCAAGGCAAACGCCTCATCTTCCGAGGCAGATAGACTAAACGATGCTGAGCTTTTGGGACAAATGAAGTCGGTTCTAATTACTCTCCTGCGGCTAAGCTTAATTTTTCAATCGAACAGCGTTATGATTTTTGCCGGTCTCGAGACGACGTCGGTAGCAGTGGCTCGCGCACTGTACATGCTTGCCAAGCACCCTCATATCCAGAAACAACTGAGGACGGAAATTTGTGGTGCCTTGGCTGCATATCAAATTCCTGACATAGACCCTTCGCACGCCAAAGATGACAGTGGTGCCAGACTGTCATACGATATATTGATGAATCTTCCTTTACTAAATGCAGTTGTTCGAGAGACATTAAGGCTCTATCCATCGTTACCTATTCTCACTCGAAGGTTAGTTTATTGACGAAAGACGACGCCTGCTGACCCCTTCGAAGAACTACAGAAGCAGCATCAGTCCCATTACAATACCCTGTTCTGTCTGCATCTGGCGAAGAGATCGATGTAGTCCATGTGGCTAAAAACCAAAGACTGGTCATATCCATCCTTGCTGCGAATCATAATCAAGCTGTCTGGGGCGAAGATGCATCAGAATGGAAGCCCGATAGATGGCTCAAATCTTCTCAAGGTTACATTTTGTGCATGCCACAAGATGTAGTTATTCACCAAGATTCTTTTAGGGGTCATACCTGGGGACAAGGACGCAGTAAAATATCCGGGTGTCTATTCATCTATGTGTGTCGCAAGAAGTCGTTTTGTCACATGCAACTCACTAAATGACCTTCAGGATGACCTTCCTTGCAGGCAATCGTTCTTGCATGTATGATGCCAATTCTCCTGGACCTGAATATGTTCTCACTATACGCTGACCCCCACAGAGGCTTCAAGTTTGCTGAAATGGAAATAAGTGAGATATCTGACTTATCGGTCGTTAGATCTTTGCACTAAAGAGCTTGCGTTTCAGAGGACGTATTGGCCACTCTCCTGCCAGCCATTCACTTTGCCCTGCCGTCGGAACCCGACGACAACGGGATGTGAAGGAGATACACTGGAAAATGAGTGGTTTCCACACACCGGTAGTTAAGGCACCTGCAGGAGATGGTGAAACTCCTCGCCTGCCTTTGAGCATGCGGCTCGTCTGAGAATAATGATTTGAATAGTTGGTTTCATATGAGTGGTCTGGACATCGTGGCTCAGCGCATGGCAGGTCTTGGTGGCGAAAGAGGAGACGTAAGGCTAAGCATCCTTGCGTCCATGTGATTATTACTGATGATGAGCAAAGACTATTATATTCGAGTATGACAAGTACTGTATATCTTGCTGCACTACATACTCTACATACTGGCCTGTTGTGAATAAGTCTACTGCGGGAGTTGCTGGATGAATACTTAATGGGCTTGAGACGAGCATTCATCAGTCTCGCTTATATACATATGGTAGATAGATTACATGGTGCAAACATATCTTGTACTCTCATATCAGTTCATCCAAAGTCATATCTCCTGGTATGTGTTCTAGAACGGTTGCTTTAATCAATGCATCTGACGAAACACAAGGCGGGATGGGAGTCACTGCCACAATATTTATGCTCTGGCTCGTGAGGGGAGGTCGTGTCACACGGGTTAAATTCGTCCGAGGCTTGTTGTCTTCTGGTATCGCGACGGACTTGTACATCATGATTTCATGCAGTAAATCTTCGTTCACTGCAGATATGGCGTCCCGGTCGCGGGTACACACGAGTAGTTTCTGGTAGCTGTGAGTAAAGGAAGAGCTGAGGTGATGAAGATGCTTACTTGTTTGACCTCGGAGAGCTCCCGACGAATCCTGTCCACGTATAGAATTCTCTGCACAGGATTGTTATGGCCAAGGATCTCAGCATTAAATTTGCTGAGATTTTCGGCCTCTTCCTCTGCGAGGTTGTTTCTCGCAACTAGTGCTTCAGTCTCATCCACCAAGTTATAGTATGCTTCCTGGAAGCGTGACAAATCTGCCAACTCTGCCTGCAGCCTGTGTATGTTTCCTGGGTCAGTTGTCCGTGGTTTAGGTATAGGCGGCGGGATACATACTGCTCGATATCAGCCTTGAGAGCGTCCTCGGCTGTTTTGCTGACGTGGAGTGCAACAGACAACTTCTGAGAAGTGTCGCGCTCCCCCCGCAAAGCTTGTTTGTGACTCGCTGCTGTGTCTCGTATATTATTCTCAAATTCTTCCAATCGACGCTGCAACATATGTTGTTCTGCACGACCTTCCGTTAAAGAAATTTGGGCATCAGCCAGAGCACGTTGTCCAGTAGTGATTTCAATCTGTGCTTTGGTGAGCTCGGCCCGTAGAGCATCCCGTTCGGTTGAGTTACGACCAAGTTGGTCGATGAGTGCACGGCCAATTTCATGCTGCTTCTCGAGGATGCCATGAAGGCGAGAATACTCTGGAAGTAGCTCGTCATTGTGAGAGCGATAGAAGTCGGACATAGTCCTAGTGCACACCAAAGCACTTTCCTGGACCACCATAGTTTCTCTAGATATGTCTCTTTCGTCCTGGTGGATGTCTCCCTCCAGACAAAGGAGTTCATGAAGCTCGGTGTGGTACGAACAACTATCGAAGGCAGCTTGGTTCTTCTGCAAGGTTTGCAAGTGGAAAGCCGCTTCTTCCCGAGCGTCGCGTAGTTCTTGACACAAAAGTGTATTCTCTTCCTGAGTGTGGCGGACAAGGTTTGCAAGCTCAACGACTTGGCCTTCTGAGTTTGCCAGCTTTCGTTCCAATCGGAATGAACGTAATTGAAGTGCGGTATGGTCCTTCACGAGTGTGGCATGGTTAGATGCAGCGACGGTTGTTGTAGCCAAGCGGCCATACTCCTCCGCAACACGTGAAAGGACAGAACGGCATTGGTCTAGTCGCGCTGCAAAATTGCTCTCTTGGTTCTCGGCTCGCCCTCGTAGAGATGTAAGCGCTTGGCGTGTATCTTGGGAATCCTTGTTAGCTGCGTCAAGCTTTCCTTGGATTGTCGTCATCATGTCGCGTGATTTCCGTGCTTCTTCACCCGTCTTCCCTTTCAACTCGTTGACATAGCTTTCCAGCAAATCACTCTTCTTCCTCTCTGCAGATGCCGCCTTTTCTAATTCTGCGATCTTCCTCTCACGTTCCCGAACTTCGTCTTTCCTCCTTGCCTCAAGACTTTGCAGTGCTTTCTTCGTCTCGCTGCTCTCCCCCAGCTTGCTGACGAGCTGTGTGCGCTCATGTTCGGACATGCGAAGTTTGACACGTAGCTCCTTCAGCTCGCTTTGATCAGCAGTATTGGTCTTCTTGTACTCTTGAATTCGCGATTCGAGTATTTCGTTATGTTTCTTGAGCTTGTCCAATCTCTCACCCTGCTCCAAGTTGCTCTTCGAAAGACGAGCGACTTCGAACTTATAGCGCTCGATTTCGATTTGATGCTGCGTAACACGGCTTGAGTTCTAGAGTTTGGAAAGCGATAAAAATTATCTTACCGCCTTCTTACCATCAGCATGCACTTTTTCCAAGTCTTCTAGTTTCTTCAATAGTGTTGCGTATCGATCGTCGCTTGCATGTTTAGCGGCGAATGTTTTCTGCACAGCTCTCGGCACAGGGTTGCATGAACCTTGTCCTGTAAATATATTAGCGCTGTACTGCTACTACAAAACCGTCAAGCCTACCTGGGACATTCAAGTTGGATACCTTTTCCTTTGAGAAACGATCGGTTTTCTCCAATGAACCTCGTTTGTTTGCATCTAGCTGGTCTTATCGTACCATTGACGTTAGAGAAATGATACAAATGCGTTATGCCACGCACCTTCTGGCAGGCTGTAGATATTTGGTCCCGGAACATTGGAAACTGCGAGAGTTGGAATGATGAACTGCACGCCGTTACAAGGACCCAAGCAACGCACTTTTCTCTGCCGCAAAACGTGAACCCTTTTGGAATGACATATCTCGTCGACTTGATGGTACAGCTGCTATGAGACGTTTAGTCCTCGTGCAAAAGCGAGGTATGTCGCGGTGATCACTATGAATAGTAGTTCAGTTCAATATCGCGGTTCAAACATAGATCAACAAACGCGTCGCGAGTCTATGATACTCACGTGATGAAAAACAGTTGCGTCCCGCAAGACGGAGGAAAAGCAATATATAGCAGGTACAGTCGTGAGTAAGTAACATTATCATTATGATAGTTCGTCAGATATCGTGATTTTGTGCGGACAAGAGTTGAAGAGGCATCGCCTGTGTGAGATGAAAACAGAAATAAAGATTTAATAAAATAAGGAAGGAAAATGTTACAATACTAGTTATGCAAGTAGAAATTAAATCGCAATATGGTTAGTTCCCTCTTGATGGCAAGAATTGCTGGTGACGATCAACGTTGTACGAATGCACCCAAGACTGGAAAAGTCATAGCCCAAACTAGATGTCAATATGATATTTCAGAGAATATCACATTGAAAAATCGCGAGGCCAAAGTAATCGCAGCTTGCAGCTCTCTTGGTCTCTTCTTCCTTAAATCCAATACGCCATCACCCATACAGGCCGACATCCAAGACCCCACGAACGTCTCTTACGCCGCGAAGATCCGCAAGGAAAGGACAAAGATCAGTGAGCTCTGTGTCATGTGGGTCATCGAACCAGAAGAAACAGGGACCGCATTCTTGGGGTGGAAAGTATACGATGCTGGAGAGTTGTCCAGAATGATGGTATCTGAGAGCGGACGACCCAGCTGGGAGAGATCCTAGATAGAGTAAGTGAGCGACGAAACACACAGAAAGGATGTGCCCGTTACCTTGACAAAGTCCCCATTGTGGTTATAACAACTCTCTCTGAATAGCCGATGCGACACTGCTTGATGGATGTCCAGCTTATCTAGGACGGGGTCCGCAAACTGCAAATGAAAATGAATGATAGCGCTAAGGTGCATAGAACAACACCCTCAGACCTTGCTCACGCTAGCGGTGAATACCACCACCTCATATATTTCGCCCATCTTCTTCAGGAAGTCGTCCACACCCGGACGCTTGATGACGTTCACATCGTGCCAAAGACACTCGATTTCCACTGGTACAATATAATCCGCATGTCGAAGAGACTGAAGGCCCAAAGGAATGTATCAGAAACAGCATACAATCCAAGGGTGGAATACTTACTCCAAAACTACTATGAACGAGGGTCTCATCGAGGTCAAGAACGAGACATTTGCGCCCCTTGTGTCGGGATGATATCGGTGGCAAAAGCGGGTGCAGTTCGCCATCCTAGTGATTAACAAATATCAGTCGTAGTCTATGGAAATGTTGTCAGGCTCACGGGCCCTGTCTGTATGCCAGTACCTCCATTCAGGATAAGAGCATCCTCCTTCATCGGTTCTACTTCTTCGACTTCAGGTACTTCCTTTTCTCCGTGGCCCTCTTCAAGGTCTATGAAGCTGCCTTCGGAATCTGTCGCCGTATGTAAGATATCTCCAGCATGTGATTTGGTACGTCCCGATGATGTGTGTGATGCGTCACCATGAGATAATTGTGAAGGTGAGAGGATGTCTGTCCCAGTCGATCCTGGAGGTGAGACTGCCCCGCTGGTCATCCCCTCTGTTTCAAATCTTGGGAGGAAGACTTTGGTTGGCATGAGGGAGACGATAAAATCAACTTCTGTGAGGGTGGTTTGCGTCGAGGGAGATGTTTCTGAGTCGATGATCACTGGGATTGGCATTTCCCATTCCGTCTCCTTCAAGTTAACTTCATCCTGCTTTTCACTGAACTCGAGGACACTGGTATCGACTAGTGGCATTGAGCCACCGTTGTCCGAGGCAGTAATCTTGTATCGCATGGGATCGTGACTTTCGACGTCAGCTGTATGCGCGTGACCGGCACTAGGGGCAATGTATGGCATGAGCTTGCGGACAAGTTTCGTCATGAAGAACTCCTATAGTCGGACTTGGTCTTGTCACTGGAGTACTTACTAGAATCAGCAACCCTATCAGTTATTCAACTGGTTTGTAAACTATGGATGCTGGCGAGGCCCAGCTGTCGATGAGCGAAAAGTACATAGGCCAACAATATTAATGACCAGGCCGTTCCCAAGTTTTCTACCGACGGTGTCCTGTTTAGTATACACACTCATCACTGCGCGTCACATAGTCACCGCTACTTTTGTGAAAAATTTATCACACAAGCAGACATCATTATTCTTACAGAAACACTCTTTTAAACAAGCATAAAAAATTGATCTATGTATGTACTAGACCAATTCCCGGTATCTGACGAATTTACAGGTATACTTAGTCTGCCAGTATGCTTGTAATACTATCGATCGGACTTCCAAATAAGTCGCAGGCAAATCGGCAAATCGACCGTACTCATACTAGTACAATCATATGATCAAGGTTACTAACTTTGCAACTCGGTGGTGGTGTGTCACGCGCATCGGAGGTACAGTAAGAACAGAGGACTGATCACTTGTTATAGGTGCCTGGGGATTTCGATCCGATAAAATCCTATTCCCACTAACGTGGGAGTTGTGGATACTGCTAACCTGAGCTGACTACTGAGTCCTTTAAAACAGGCCCGAAAATGCCAATGGGGATACTAGTACGCTTCAGATACGCTTCATCAGCGATTGAACAACCTAAGTACCATGTCCACGATATACTCATTCAGCCACCTTATAGCCGAACGTACTCGCAATTACCCAAACCTTGAAATCTTGGGCATACCAGACAAGGACTTCAATGTAAGTACGATGTGCTACTTAAACTCTGGGCGAAATTTACGCAGCAGCCACGAAGTACATCAAGTATACTCTGGCTGACCTTGATGCTTCAGCGTCCTTGTTTGCCCATCACCTACGGGACAATGGACTACTGAATGGACGTTCCAAAGGGGATGCTACCAGTAGGATGACTGTTGGACTTCTAGGCGTTAGCAACATAAGTTATGTAGTCACCGAGTTGGCGCTTTATCGAATGGGCTACTGTTAGTGCATAACCGTGACATACGGCAGTCTTGCTCTGACTTTGTCAATCCTTCTACAGGCGTACTCTTCTTGTCGCCGAATAACTCTCCTCCCGCGATTGCTCACCTGTTGACCGTGACAAATGCAACTCACATGATAGTGCAAGACGTTCTACTACCTTCCGCAGCAGCAGCTCTTACCCATCTCAGCAACCCCAGTTCTGTGACGATCATCAACCAGCCTTCATCTGACGTCTTCGGCTCAGCCGCTCGTTCTTTGCACCCAGAGAAGACGCGGTGGGACCCTGCATTAAAGTGGGAGGATGAATCTCTTCTCCCAGTTACGACCATCCACTCGAGCGGCTCCACTGGTTTCCCAAAGCCGATTACTGTAACCAACAAAGTGGCTATCAGCAATTGCGTCATGAATTTTGGTCTTACGACTTTAACAACCTTGCCATTGTATCATGTATGTTGCTCGTATGTCTTACCGGAGTTCACTCATTTTGCCTTGAACAGGGGCACGGCCACTCCAATCTTCATCGTGCATTCTATTCTGCAAAACCATTGTACCTCTTCCCAACTGGATCGATACCATTAACATCCCCCAACGTTATCAAGCTTCTTAAGCAAGCTCCGGACGTGGAGTTACTATCTGGCGTTCCTCTAGCATTGAAACTCCTCGCTGAGACCACTGAAGGTCTGCAGATCCTCAAGAGTCTCAAGCTTGTTATGTTCGGCGGTAGTGCATGTCCTGATGAGCTCGGTGACTTCCTTGTCAATGAGGGTGTCCGCTTGGTTGGCCATTATGGTCTTAGTGAGTGTTAAAAGGTCGAGAGAAACTTGACATTCAGCATGCCTCTTTTCAATGCAGCTGAAATGGGTCAACTAATGACGTCTTTCCGGGACTTTGAGACTGATAAGGACTGGAACTGGACGCGTGCTAAGGGACCGCATGTGAAATCGAATGTGAACGACTACCTGCGATTCGAACATCGGGGCGGGGATACCTATGAACTGTTCGTTTTAGATGGCTGGCCCATGAAGGCAAGCATTTATCTACCATTGGATTACGTTGTCTCAATTACCGACGAAGGTTATGACCAACCAACCCGATGGGTCATACGCAACAAAAGATCTGTTTATCAAGCATCCCACCATCCCAGATACATACAAGTTCATCGGGCGAATCGACGACACCTTGGTCATGGTGTGTATATCAAACCAATTCTCGATAATTTTTATTCAATAACATGCCCAGGTCAACGGCGAGAAGACGAATCCTGTCCCGATGGAGCTCACACTTCGCTCATCGCCCTACATTGCGGATGCTGTCATCTTCGGTGCCGGCCGCATTCAAATTGGAGCTCTGATTCGTCCAACTGAAATCGCAAAAGACTAGCTCTCCTTCGGAGCTCGTTAAGCTTGTGGCGCCTATCGTCGCCCTTGCCAATGCCGAGGCTCCCTCGCACTCACAGCTTGCATCGGAAGCCCTTGAGTTTCTCCCTTACGGCACAGTGATTCCCCGTGCTGATAAGGGCAGTATTTTGAGACCCCGGGTGTACAAGGAATTCGAGGGTGTCATCAATGAGGTCTATAAACGACTAGAGGGTGACATCGACGAGGATGGGAAGAGACGACTGACTGATGAGGTGGAGGCTAGAACGGCCATTAAAGATATAATCAGCAAGACGGTCGATAGACCAATCGACAACTTGGAAGATGACACTGACCTCTTCGATTTCGGGCTGGACTCGTTGCAGTCTAGTAGAATACGAAATACCATTCAGAGAGTCAGCTCAAACGTTCCGCTGATTGCTGATTGCAAGCTGAATAACGGCACAGGAGATCTACCTAGGTGGCAAGAAGCTGTCTCCCAACGCCGTTTTCGAACATCCTTCTATCACGCAGTACGTTCATCCCTTCGTATCATACCTGTGTGTGGTCTTGGCTGAAGTAAACATATAGGATTGCTCGACTCCTAGTTGCAACGTCCTCTGGTAATGAAGTTGTTCTGACTCGAAGAAGCTCACTCGAGATCATGCTGGAACTTGTTGAGAAGTACAGCTCTTTCGCTTATACACACAAGGCTCATGTCAGCGGAACAAATGGAGCTGCAAGCATCTCAGTTATCCCCCGCGTTGTGAGGCTACTGTTGTACTTTCCAAAATTCTATACTTCTGATTGCCATGTTGATGTAGGTTGTGTTGACTGGTGCGACTGGGTCTCTGGGAGCATATATTCTGGATGAACTACTTTCGGACCCTTCTGTGGCCACCGTTTACTGTTTGTGTAGAGCCAAGGACGATGCAGATGCATCCAGTCGGATAACAGCTTCTATGAAGACAAGGAAGCTATCATCTCACTATGAGCAGGTTCAATCGCGTGTCAAAGCTCTCGCTTGCGACCTGTCTACCAATAAACTTGGACTTCAGTCAGACGTGTACAATGAGATCGCAACACGGGCCACACTGATCATCCACGTAAGCATCGAAAATATTGCTCAGTTCATTCTCATTAATCTTGTGTGCAGAACGCTTGGGCGGTCAACTTCAACCTTGGCATTTCCAGGCAAGTCCACTTCAATTCGATGAAAAATAACTGACAGAGCAATAGTTTCGAACCACACATCCGTGGAGCTGTCAATTTAATCAATCTCGCCCTTTCATCGCCCCATCCCCGACCAGCAGACTTTTACTTTGCATCTTCAGTCAGTGCTGTCGCAGCTTGGCGTGGACCAGACTCGATCCCAGAAGCCATTACGGACGATCCCTCTGTCGCTCAGGGGTTGGGCTAGTGAGCAGCTCGTGCCTCACGCAGCTGACACTCAGATTTCTGACTTTAGTTAGTGCACAATCGAAGTGGATTACCGAGAAGCTTTGTCAAGTTGCCTCTCAGCAGACACCTATCCGGACAGGCGTGTTACGTGAGACATGATGAAGTTCTTTCACCACGGGGGAATAGTCATTGAACTGCATGCAGGAATCGGCCAAATGGTGGGAGACACTCAGAACGGCGTGTGGAACGAGACAGAGGCTATTTCACTCATCATCAAGGTATGAAAACCCGTTATCGATGATATATCTGATTGTTACATTCTGTGACAGTGTACAGATACGATCGGGATTCTTCCCAACCTTGAAGAGTCAGTTTCGTGGCTCCCAGTGGACTACGCAGCAAAGGCTATCCTCGATCTGGTCAATATTCCCCCTCAACGTTTGCCCTTGGGAGAGTGCCCAGTCTGGAACGTGACTCATCCAAAGCTAGTGCCGTGGACGTCCATCCTCTCGTCTCTCCAACATTCTGGCCTGAAATTTAAAGCCTCCCGAGGCACGAGTGGATTAAGGCTTTGCGTGCTAGCCCTATTGATGAAAGGAACAACCCAAGCCGGAAGCTGTTGACCTTCTTTGAGAACAAGTACGGGCAAGAGGAACTGGCTACGCGGTACCCATTATTGACGGTGCAAACTGAGAAAGCAAGTAAGAGTCTCAGGAGCGCACCTATTGCTGATGTCGAACTGGTGGGGAAGTGGGTAGCTGCATGGAGAGAGACAGGCTTTTTGGCTTGAAAGCAGTATTAGAAATAGACGCTCATGTGTACAATCCGCTTGAATTGACCACTTGGGCCAAGTCACATCTACGAGTCACATGATCGTCGTGAATTGACCGCAAAGCAACTGCAAAGACGATACTTAGTACTTATCGATCATCAATCGGACAGTGATGCAGGCCCCAACGAAGGAATGTCGTGTATATGTCGCAGTGCACGGAGGTGCAGGATATCATGGGGTTGTATCAGAACAAAGTGTCAAGAGTGCTTTGAAACGGTAATGTCCGCATACTTCTCGATATCATGTCAGACTTTCTTATCCGAGTCGTAACTACCCTAGTGCTTGTGCTCGAGCTTTGCGGGGGTCACCACTAGACGACTCCTCTGCCCTTTTGGTTGTAGAGCGAGCCATAGCCGTTCTTGAGGATGATGAATACCTCAACGCAGGTACGGGTTCCCGTGTTCTTCACTTACACATCACAATGGCGTTTACTGTGTCCGATCTTCAACCTTTTATCAGGTTATGGTTCCAATTTGACCATTGACGGCACTGTAGAATGTGATGCGGCTGTCATGGACGGTTTGTCGGGAGATTTTGGCAGCGTTGGTGCTGTTCCAGGTTTGGCGATCTCCGCGACAACTTATCTTACTGGCTGACCTTGGAAAGGCAGGACTAAAAAATCCAATAAAATTGGCATCGGCATTGTTGAGGCACTCCAGAGAACCCGACTCTCTTGGGCGCATCCGCCCTATGTGAGTGAAGGTGCCCCTTTCATGGAATGGGAGTACTGAGTCCTTGCGAGGACTCTTGTCGCATCCGGAGCATACTCGTTTGCATCATCGCAAGGTATCCAGACCGTTGCTCCGAATGAAATGATATCGCCACGAGCGACGCAAGAGTGGCAGAAATGGAAATCGCGACTGGATCACCCTGTTGATGGTGACTCAGGGAGCTTGCCTCAAGATGCCATGCAGGACACAGTTGGCGCGGTGGCCTGGGATAACGAAGGTAATCTCGCTGCTGGTGTTTCAAGGTACGTCCCCAGGCACGCTTCTAATAATTGAAGAGTCACAAATGATACCTAGTGGTGGACTGCTTCTAAAGTACTCTGGTCGTATTGGTGAGGTAAGTCCACAGGTGATATGACACGATGTGATGCCGAGACTGAACTGGACAGGCAGCTACATTTGGAGCCGGGTGCTGGGCACAGCAGTCGCGCAGTGAACGTTCTGGGATGGCATGTAGTATTTCTGGAGCAGGGGAGCACATAGTGCGAGGCGGGCTGGCCCGTGTGCTGGGCGAAGCCTTACAGTCCCAGCAACCAGATGATAGCGAGCTTGATACACACCACGTATTGCTTCGGATATTAAATCAGCAATTTACTGGTAAGCTTGCATACCGCACCAATTCATGTTGCTCAACAGATCTTGGCCGTTATAGAACCAATGCGTCAACGAGGGGAGCGGATGCCAAATGCAGGAGTTTTACTGTTGACAAAAGAACAAGGCGAGGATGATGAAGCAGTACGCAAGTCATCCCCATAGCTTCTTATTCGTTCACCAGACATATTTATTGCACAGCGAGGTTATGGTGCGCATTCACCACAGAAAGTATGGCTGTCGCGTACGCAAGTACCACCAAACCCTCACCCAAGGTAATCACAAAGCTAGCAGTGTACAAAAATGATGGATTGTTGATCATGACAATATGCAGGCATCCATTTTGCGCCGTCCAGCATCGACTGGTTCCACCGTAGATGAAGACAAATCGTCAGTGTTCATAACTGCGCTGCCAATTCATCGGTAGCATTCGGAGGATAATATTGTGTCAACGGACGCGATTATTATCTCGGTACATAACTCTTATTATGGTGCGCCATGATGTGAGGGCCATCTCCCCGTTGTCATCGGAGACTGGACATCCCATTCGGTGGAGTGGAAGTTGGACGAGGCGATGCCGCGTTGTTCAAAGTGGCCAGCGGAAGCCCTGTGCGTGAATTTGCAGGAGTGATAGTGGGGCGAGCAGCATTGAGTCGTTTGAGTGTATTGATTGGAAACTTTGTTCTGCATGTCCGTCAGAATGTGGGGAGCCAGGGAATGAGGGTAGCTAACCTGCATGTGGAGCATACCGGGAGTGGTTGACAGAAAACTGCAGGATCACAGGCTCCTTAGAATTTAGTGACAAAACAGTAAAGATAATGCGTACTAGATAAACAGACGGAGCACACGAAACCGATGTCTACAATGTTCTTGTGGCAGAAGCATGCAGCGCGGAAGTCAATTTTGTCTTGCTTTGGCACAGCTAGAATCTTGCGGATGGATGTCGGTGACAAGAAAGACATCTACAACAATGATAGCTGATGAATAACAGGATTTGGCAGACGACAAAATAAATTTACAATCAGGTATTGCAAGAGTGCATCTCTGCGTTCGAGGTAGATGTAGGACCCGTTTGTCAGGTGGGCTGCTTGCTGCAAAAATACGGTATCGGGCCCATAAACCTTGCACACGTCAATTGTCACTTTCTATTCCGTATCGCAGTCAGTCAAATAATATGTTGTTGAAGGACGTAAGACATGCCAGTTTCTGTGCGGAGAAGATAGCGTTCATAATCGGGATGTATGAAGAAGACAAGTCAGGGGAGACTGAAAGGATCAAAATGCGAGGGTCGTGGACGATCGACGGGTCCTCTGCGACACCGGGCATCGTTGATGAAGGATGGGTGATGCGGTTGATGTCTGCCTATGAGTTAGGTCGCTGATAATGACACATTCCCCCTCACGCACAGCACAATGCCTTCGTCACAGCGCCTACCAACGCACATGGAGCTGTGATGCAGATGAGATGACACAAGGCAGGTCAGATGTCCGTCACTCACGTTCCTCCTCAAGCTCTCCGATAGCATCGAACTCGTTCATGATCCTCTGTACGACTGTCGAGTCCACAAGCTTGAAAGGCAGATACGAGTTAGCATCCAAAGAGGGCGCGTCATCCGAGAGGAGCTCCGTGGATGAATAGAGCAACACACTGTCCGTCAGCAGTTTATAAACTGCCTGCTCCCGAGGATGGATCTCACCTCTTCCCAGGAAGCGCGCCAAATACTACAAGTGAATTCTCATGCTTGGACGCGATATGCGCGTTCAAAAATGCGAGGAGCTGCGAGAGGAACGTCTCGATGGAGAGTGGATACTGGTTTGAAGTTTGCGCAGAGAGGTGCCATTGTGTTGGAGATAGGTCTACTATCACAGATAAATGGGATGCTTTCTCCATGGTTGAAAACTTGAAACAGCAGCTCTAGTACTTTAGTGCATGTTCTGCAGAGTCTCAGCTACAAACTGACTGTCACTGAGTTGTAAGCTGACTGCTTACTACGCGATTACCTTATCAGACGTCATGTGACTCATCCCCTTATATTCCGTCATTCTTGAACCGTTCATACTAGACTCGGGTCTCCTACCTACCATCATCTACTTATTAGTACAACACTCAAAGAATCCACAGTTTTGTCCTGCTATTCTCGTCCGATCCGTTTAGTGTTCCTTGTCGTTTCCCTGGCAAGGTTCCATGAGTCTCGGATTAGCAGTTTTGTTTACGTGACTTAATGCACATTTCCTACTTATCAGTTGGCCTGAATAAAATATTCGTTCATTCCTATCACCAGCAGTTTATCTCAAGTGCACGGTATTCGCGATGAATATGTCATTTTTTATCCAGTGGCAGCGCTGCTGAATTCTGAGTCACCTAGACGTAAAAGGAACTATCGGTCCAGTACTAGATGACTTTCCGCAGCATTTAGAATCCTAGATTCCGGTTCAAACCTTAAGTCGGGGTGTCATCTGGCACCTCATCGCAACCGAACACCACTTGACTCTAGAAGGGGGGTAGGCCCCCTTCTAGATATCACTTTAGAACTGGGTGTTTTTGACATACAGACTGACATTTGACGGCGGCACGTCGGCACGAGGACTTCAGAATATAGATTTAGAACGACGTTCTAAACGCTGCGGGAAGTCATCCACTCATCAATCATTCAGAGCTGATTAATTTTGGTTCGGAAGGCCGCCGCTACGTTGGAGTGGAATCAATGTTATTCCGCTGATGTGCAAAAATGAATCAAATGAATCTAGAACCGCATACTCCCTAAGGCTGCCCGGTATAGTATGCCCTAGCCCTTTCGATTCTAGCTATTTCTTCGAGAATAAGTGGCTCTGGTATCGGTAAGCACCATCAAATAATATCGTCACAACTTTAGAGCCTACATCGAAATATAGTTAACCGCTGTCCTTACCATTCCCTAACTTTTGTGCAAGCTCTACAGTTGCAACGATATTTAGCGCCGAGGGAGCGCCTATGTACAAGTCTTCTGTATCAAGAAGTTGATGTAACATGGATATCGCCTTCTCGTCCGGTATGTGAAGTGCCCCTGTAAGGTCAGTGACAAAAGTGCCAAAATTACTTGTGACGCGACCCTGACTGATCCCTGTATGAATGTGACAAGGACATGATGGAACGTTCAGCCATCACAATCACAGCAGTACACAGGCAAGTCTAACTTTCTGTGACGGAACTTCGAGAACGCTCGATATTTCCACCAGAAGTCACGCATTCGTATAAGACATTTCCAGGTGGATCGACGAGCCATATTTGCGTCCTGCTATTGCTCCTCTCCTTCAGATACTTGCCAACTCCAGCCAGAGTGCAGTACCGGTCGCACATACGAAGCCATCGATCTCATCCATCGACTGTTCCCACATTTCGGGTCCAGTAGAGATATAGTGGGTGTACGCATTCACGGTGTTTTGGAATTGGTCTGTCCATATGACATTCTCGAGCTTTTTGGCGTAATTCGCCTGGTGATTATAGTTCAAAGGGTTCTCGTAGGGAACCGCGGGCACTGGGTAGACCTCGGCACCGAGCATCCGGAGAAGGTCAATCTTCTCCGAGTACCAAAGCATCAGCGACAGTAACCAGATGGTTGTATTTACCTGAATGTTGGGCATAAATATCACACACTCGTAGCCCCTGGGTCTACAAACGTGGGTAAGGCCAATACCGGTGTTGCTTGCAGCACCCTCGACAACGGTTCCACCGGGTTTTATTCTGAATACATCCTCAACACTGAATGCGTCATGAAGCACATTATGCCCCACTCACCGACCGCTACCTCCGGGCTTTTGGAATTCAGCCTTCCCGTATCTTGCACCCTGTCAGCTCCGAAGGCGCCCCGAGATAAATCTAATCACTGTTAGAGGGGTATTTCATTGCCTTCGCGGATGGATCTCCTCACCAATGGAGTGTTTCCTACAGTGCCGGTGAAGCCGTTGACAGCGCTGTTGTTTGTCACGGATTCTCTAGTTTGCTGAACATCAATCCGTTGTGAGCCTAATTCCATCGTGTGATCTAGGGTTAGACTGAGAAGTTATGGAAGAGATGGAAGGCAGACGAGCCAGATTAGACAGATGTAGATGGTGGGAAGCGAGCACGACATGTCGACATCACCATGTCACATTCCTGAAAGTCAGCGGGCTCGCTACGAGTATTATGGTGACTTTCAACGAGTCTGCTGACTCTCGCACACCGTCCGTGAACTCAGCCAATGGCCGCATGTACTTACTTTATCTTGTGGGATGATATCCGCGTTCTAGTACCACAGACGCTTGATCATGATCTTGTGCGAGGGGCACCGATTTGAAATCAAAGTTATTGGATCCGTTTTGTGGAGCATGAAGATTTCGGATCTCGCCCAGAGTCTTCGGTCCATATGTATATGTATTCATGATTCACCATCCAGGGTCATAGAGTTCAACGGACAGTGCCACCACATCCGCGCGAAGGGGGTATGATAGAAGAATGGAACCGATGACGATCAAGGCTCTCAAAGAAGGTGATCATGGGGTGAGACAGAAGCGCGGTGCTGAACATGCCACGTCGTTAGAGCGATAAAGCCAGCTTTGGGACAATCTAGACGACCTGAAAGGGAATCGTCGCAAAATTAGCGTGGCGCGCAAACATTCTTCGTATCATGGGTGTTAGAGGGTCCTCTAGTTAAAGGGGCGAGAAAAAACTCGAAAATTGATGTGTTCATCGTTGGGGTCAGTGAGCAAGCTATATTGGCGACAGCACGTGACCAAGAATTGAATTACAAATAATTCAGCAACGCTGGCGGACCGAGGCGGACGGCCGTGAAGGACCAAAAAAGGCGTTGCAGATCAGTGGGCAGTCCCATCGAAGGTCGGCCCTGGTAGAACATTCGATGCGATGTTACCGGATCTAGTAGGAAAGCTGCCAAGGCCTCGTTCTTGATGGCCATTAGAGGGAAGACCAATGGTTTAGTCACCGTCACGGTACAGTGAGCGGCCGCATGTGTATATTATGTGATGAGCGCCGGTAATGTGGTGAGTGTGACCCAAGATGAGGTATAGGTTCCGCAGCGCGGCGATGAAGGGGCATGCGCAAAAGGCGAGATGATTGTTCATTGGATGACTTGGCACTGGAATTATATGCTTCGCCGAACGCACAGGTGCCTGAGAAAGGTATGGTGTGGGGAAAACGTGTTATACGATTTATTTACTAAAATGACCGCGGTCAACAGGTCCTGTAGCGATCATGACGTGACGTGGGTGTGCAAGATAAGTATGATTATCATGTTCCATTACTGGCTCCAGACATTGGACTCGGCGGCGAGCACTGCAGGCCGAGGAGCGTGGATTTGGCGGAGATTTAGAGGGAATGATGGCCCCTGGGTATTTCTGGTGATGTGGACAAGGTAGGGTTCATGATCAGGCGAATCAAGCTGAGAAACTACGATATCCACGCTTGACATGATATAGCGCAGTCCAGTCCAGGTAGTTGAGCAACATCCTGGACAGGTTAGGCTACGGTAGATAACAGGGATGTGTGCTTGATGCGGTTTATGGGAGCCGTGACCTGGGTGGGATGATGCTGTATTCGTTGGGCGTTGCTTATCCGAAGACCGCCAGGTTCAACAACTATAATTTTTGATGAGAATGGCGCATTAATTTAACCATAAACTGCTCAAAAATATGTCTAGAACAATAGAACTTTTATATAAAATTAAATTCATAATTAAGTTTTTGACAAACTTTACTCCAAAATGTTATGCCCCAACCCGGATTTCACCAATGCCATGAGCGGTGACGATGGGGCCTTGCCCGGCGTTGTCCGTAGCGATGGCCACACGTGTGAACATTTTCGTCAACAAGATCCTTGACGACCTCTTCCCTCCCCTCTCTACCCCCAACCACATCCTCTCCCTTCACTGTCCATCACAGCGTCGACACCATGGCGCTCAATCCCGACGCTCTTAACCTCAATTATGACAGTGATGACTCAATGCAGGTTGATTCTGAAAACGAACAAGTCAACAATCTTCACACTCCTGTCGATAATATTCAAGACCCAGACGCAGATGCTGATGGCGATGCAGAGGACATCGATGACACTACCTCTCTCGCTATTGCTGGGCCATCTTCGTATACCCCAAAAGGCTCCGTAAGTCTCATATGTTATATGTTAGTAATTCCAGTTTATTCAAGATCATCTACATTTTCCAAAGGATGTCGAAGAGTCGGTATGTTATCTATCATATCTTTTCCTTCAGAGATCGTTGACCATTGTACCCAAGGGGTACGAAGATAACGTCGAGGAGGACGAGGAGGACGAGGACGATGGCTCCTATGCAGACGACGAATACGGTAAAAAGAAAGCTCCAAAGAAGAGAAAAAAGAAGTCACAGCCGTCATCGTCGGCACCAAGACCTAAAGGTGTGTACCCTGTTTCCACAGTGGAGCTCGCGCTTAGCTTTTGTACAGCCATCTCTCGGAACAACGACTCAGATTCAGATTCAGAATATGGTTCCAGATCGAAGAAGAAGAAACGGCCTCGTGTTTCTGGAGACGAAATCCGTGTCTCCAGCCGAGGCGGCAAGATTCCCAATTATACTGATGATGTCCAAGCTCTCGCTGAGCTATCAGAAGAGGATGTCGATCAAGGGTACTATGTCGATCCTATCGTGCAGTTCAAAGAGGAAGATGAGATTGAGTCTGTCTTGAGTCATTGCAGAGATGAGGGCCGTGAAGACGATCCTGAAGATATCTGGTTTGATAATGTTGTGAGTCCTAAAATCATTTTGGGCAAGCAGATTGGTGTTGACATGTCACAGCGTTTTCACATTAAGTGGAAAAATTTCTCGCATTTGCATAACACCGATGAGACCTACGAATTCCTCAAACGCTTCAAGGGCCTCAAGCGTGTCGACAACTATATCAAAGCTTACAAGATGTACCAGTCTCGCCTCAGCGCACCAGGCATCTCCCAGGAAGATGCCGAGGCATTACTTCTCGAAAAGGAACGCGAGAAGGAGGAGCTCGAGACCTATAAGGTTGTCGAACGCATCGTTTCGCACCGCGATGGTGCAGATGGCACGACAGAGTACTTCTGCAAATGGACTGGGCTTAATTATGAGCACTGTACTTGGGAAACGCAGGAGGAAGTGCGCCCTATCGCCAAGGCTCAAATTGAGGCATATCGGCAACGGGAGGTCGAGGCAAAATTCCCTTATAAGAGCATTAATTATGCGCGTAACCAGCGGCCATCATTCCAGAAGATTGAGAAGGACCCCGACTACATCACTTCGACGGGTGGTGAGCTGAAGGACTTCCAGGTTACCGGACTGAACTGGCTGGCATATTTATGGAGTAAAGGCGAGAACGGGATCCTTGCTGATGAAATGGGTCTCGGAAAGGTATATTGGTTTTTTTTTGCCTTTCGGAATGCTAAAACGTGCGCAGACCGTACAGACAGTTTCTTTCCTGTCCTACCTTTTCCATGACATGCACCAATATGGACCATTCCTTGTCATCGTTCCGCTTTCCACCATCACCGCTTGGCAATCGCAGTTTGCGGCGTGGGCACCTGATCTGAATGTCATCACCTACATAGGAACCGCCCCTGCACGTGAGGTCATTCGGACGTACGAATTCGGCCCCTCCAACAAACGACTGAAGATGAATGTCCTGCTGACCACGTATGAGCTTACTCTCAGGGACGCAAAGGAACTTGCGGACATCAAGTGGCAGGCCCTTGCTGTTGACGAGGTGAGACAGATGCAGAACATCTTAAAATAGTCACTAATGACGGTTTCAGGCTCATCGGCTCAAGAACTCAGAAAGCCAGCTGTATGAGGCTCTGAGGTCCTTCCCTGCTGCGTCAAAGCTATTGATCACCGGTACGCCACTGCAAAACAATGTCAAGGGTGCGTGTTGCTACAACTAGGTTTGGCGATTTTTGCTGACGCCACACCGCGTGCAGAGTTGCTTTCATTGATGCACTTCCTGATGCCTGAGAAGTGTACGTTTTGTGTTGTATTCTTGTCATTGTGGCTATGGCTGAGGAGATATTGTTTATAGTCGCTTTGACAAACGAATTCGATCTTAACGACGCGGACCACGAAGCCAAGATCAAGGAGCTGCATGAACAACTCGAGTCTCTCATGCTCCGCCGGCTCAAACGTGACGTCCTTACTTCTTTGCCTACCAAGAGTGAGCGCATCCTTCGAGTAGAAATGTCTGCCCTGCAGACGCATTTCTACAAGAACATCCTGACAAAGGTAGGCTTGTGTTTGGCTGGTTATCAACTCTCGCTAACCCTCGCTTAGAACTTTCAGGGGTTGGTGAAGAGTGCAAATGGGAACAACAACATCAGTCTCCTGAACATTGCGATGGAGCTCAAGAAAGCTGCGAACCACCCTTATCTTTTCGACGGTGCCGAAGTGCGCACCGACGTCAGTGATGACACTCTCAAAGGCCTTGTCATGAACAGCGGAAAGATGGTTCTCCTCGACAAGCTCCTTGTACGCCTTCGTCAAGATGGTCATCGCGTACTCATCTTCAGTCAAATGGTCCGAATGTTAGACATCTTGAGTGATTACATGAGTCTTCGTGGATACCAACATCAACGTCTGGATGGGATGGTCGCGTCAGATGCGAGGAAGAGATCAATTGCGCACTTCAACTCACCCGGATCGCCCGACTTTGCCTTCCTGTTGTCAACCCGTGCAGGCGGTCTTGGCATTAATTTGGAGACTGCCGATACTGTCATTATTTTTGACGTACGTGGGTCGTTGTATGACATGGCATGTATGACTGACATCCTTGCAGAGTGACTGGAATCCTCAAAATGACTTGCAAGCCATGGCACGTGCTCATCGCATAGGCCAAAAGTCTCATGTCAGCGTCTACCGTTTCGTCAGCAAGGATACGATGGAAGAAGACGTTCTCGAAAGGGCCAAGAAAAAGATGGTGTTGGAGTATGCCAGTGAGTAATAGTACCTGGATCCGATTCACATCTGATCTCATTTATATCGTGTTAGTCATCAATCAAATGGATACTTCACAGGCACATCTGAGCTCCAACCCAAAAGGCGAGAAGGTCAAGGATTCCACGAAACCTGACAATCTCAGCAAAGATGAGCTCACCGCAGTCTTGAAATATGGCGCTCAGAAGATGTAAGTGACGATGTTCGCCTGACCGACACTTCGCTCACTCTATTTCCAGGTTCGACAAGGACGACTCACAACAGAACCAGAAGCTTGACGAGATGGACCTCGACGACATTCTCAACCGTGCTGAGGACCATGAGACAATGGCCGCTGGCGGCGATGGTGGTGCCTCGCTCGGTGGCGAAGGCTTCCTCGCTCAATTCGCTGCCGTGAGCGACGTCAAGAATGATATGAGTTGGGAGGATATTATCCCTCCTGAGGAGCGGCAGAAGTTTGAGAAAGAGGAGGATGAGCGAAAGGCTGAGGAACTGGTTGCGGCGGAACTCAGAGATCGCAAGCGCACCCATGCACCTGTGTCCTATGAAGGCATGGACGTCGATCATCCTGCACCAGCACCTGCTCCGAAGAAACCCAAAATCCCAGGACCCCAGAGAAAGACCGCTAGTCAGAAGGCCATGGAGCTCAAAGAGCGAGACGTCCGCGTTCTTATTCGGAGTCTGCAGCGTTGGGGTGACATCCGTCAGCGTTACGAGGTTATTGTGAGTAAATTGTTACTTTCTCGCAAACCAGAACTGACGATCCTCGTTTCCTCTGTAGGTCAACGAATCTAAACTTGGCGACAAGCATAAGGGCATGATCATGGACGTCTCCGACGAGATTATCGAAGTTTGCACGCAAGCTGTCGAGCAGAATAACCAGGAAAAGCGGGAACGTATGGCGGCAGGGGAGACGTTGACTAATGCCCAGAAGAGCAAGGCCGTCCTCGTTACTTTCCGCAATGTCGGGAACATCAATGCGGAGACAGTGCTATCACGGTACCGCGACCTTCGCATCCTAAACAATATCTTGGGCGAGTTCACTACGGAGGAGCTCTACAATTGGTCCATTCCGATTGAGAACATCAGACCGACTCTCAACTGGTCTGGGCGGTGGGGACCGCAAGAGGATGCGATGCTTCTTGTTGGCGCCTTCATATATGGATTTGGTAACTGGGAGGCCATGGCGAAGGATGTGCGGTTAGGCCTTCAAGGTAAATTCTTCTTGGAGGAAGGCAAGAAAGGGGAAGATGCGACAACTCGGCCGATCCCCAATGCCATCCACCTCGTCCGGCGAGGTGACTTCCTCCTTGGCCTACTTCGCGAGCATGACGAGAAGCTACGTTCGTACGAGAGCTCTTTACGGAATAAGGGTCATTTGAAGGGTTCGGCCACTCCTCCCCCAACAGCTGTGGCATCGTCCTCGTCGTCACCTCCGATCGGCCGGAAACGGCGCGCGGAGAGCGAGGCCGTTGCATCTATCGATGACGGTGGAGCGAAGCGACGCAAGAGACGGCCAACTCCCACCTTCACGGACTCCGAATCGTCGGACGAATGGTAAGCTTGTGTCAGACTATAAGTAATATATGGGTGCTGACGCAACTTTAGCCCATCGATGGATGAGGCTGCGACGAAGGAAGAGTTGAGACCAGTCAAGAAGCAGCTGGTAAGTAATTCCGTATGATGTTCGAGCCGACATTAACTCTGTATAGAAACAATTGAAATTATCTGGCGAGGACATGCCTCGCGACGACAAGGTTGCGATCCTCAAGGACTCTTTGGCTGCTATTGGACGACGCATTGAGATTGTTCTTCAGAATAAACAAGCCGCTGGGGAGGACCGAGAACGATGGCGTCGACATCTCTGGGCGTGAGTACGAAAACCTACCAGTTGTATCAATGTTCATCTTTGGCCGCAGTTTTGTGACACTTTTCTGGCCTAAGAAAGTCAAGGCGTCAAAATTGGAGGATATTCACGCCAAAATGGTGATGAAGGAAGCTGCGCCACGAGCGTCGGCGGAAGCTTCGACCTCTGCCAAGAAGCCTCGCCCCAGTACAGGTGGCAAGAGCAATGGCGCACCATCTACCGCGACGAAGGCCAATGGCAAAACGCATCGATAGTACTTCATTAATATTTTGCTCATAACTCACTCTTATGCTTTGGATCTTACCCTTGTTCTTGCTTTCACGCTCTCTGGCTATCACAATTAACTTTTTAAGACAGGTTGCAATACTCCTTATCCTTTATGACATGTATCAAATTATCAATTACATTCTCGATTCAGACCGCAATGAAATTTTGATTTTTTGTACTCAAGACTGCTCTCCGCAGCGGCATTAATATTGTAAGTTGCCCCGGCACTGCCGTCACTTATACTGTGACACACCCTCCTCGGTTTATGTAAGCCAAGTCGAAGTCTTATTCTAATTCCGTAGTTCTACGTGGAATCCCCCATGTCCGATTTTCAGGGACGACAGTCTACACAACCGTCCTGCAGTATCTACTTGAAATCTCTTGCAATCATCATGCATGTCCGTCTCTTACCCCCAGAAAATTTTCTCTATTTGTAAAGACCAATTAATACGCCCTCGTGTTACACTTGCAAGGACATGTAGGACATTTAAGGAGCCTGCGCTCGACATTCTTTGGGAAAACATAGATGGGTTCGAGCCACTTATCTCATGCTTGCCTGAAGGTGTCGCCGTTATTACTAACACAGACACGGGAACAAAGTTAGTGAGTACAACATCAACGAGACACAATTCAATTCCACCCCGACATTTTCCTCCCAACTCGATCAAGTCCATATCACTACACCATCGCCTTCCGTTCCGAGCCATTGTCTGAGAAACGTCCATTTTCTCTCCTGTCAATCAGTGAAACTCTTTGTCGATTACAGCGGTTTGGACCCTGATGTAGACACTGAAACAATGGCCCCGTATGATCCACTGGATATACCAGACCCCATCGTCTCCTTTGCGAAGTCCTTCTCTCCTGCTCTTGAGAAACTCGAATTCCAATTCGACTACGAGTTCACCACCCTTTTGGAAGACATACTCGCTAATCCCAGCTGTGCATTTGGCTTTGACGTGGCTGCACCTTTGCTGCCGTTTAGTCGCTTGACGGACTTGCAGCTCGATTGGATGTGCACGTCAGCCATCAATGACGGCTCACTCAAGATAATGGCCTGATCTTTCAGCTCGAGTATCTTCAGTTCGGATGTGCAGCGCGTTGGATGACCCCACCGTCTGCCACCTTCAAAGGACTCGTCCACCTCATACATCATTGCCTGCGCTTATGCCTCATCGGTATGCCCTTTTCCGCATGCACAGTCGACATCAACAGCGAGCCGTTCTCTAATACCATTCCCAACGAGAAGATCACCGAAATTGATGTGGAGAATTCTCCAATCGACATCACCGCGGCCTGTCAATTGCATATATTGCTGCCCAAGTTTATTAGTGTGGACTTCTTCGACTGGGACGATACTAGGTTTTTGGCGCCGCCGCCATTAGCATGATCTGGTGGGGCTGAGTGGACAAGGGTGGATGATTTCCTTCAGGTGCTTACTACGAGCGTAAAAATGAAAGAGATAATGGGCTAAGACCACAGGCTCGTGTCAACGGCCTGACGAACCCTGTACATATTGACTTAGAGCGGCTTGGATACCTACACGTATACATTGGAATATATACCTTGCAACGTCTACATTTGGCCCGCGCCAATACGGAACTTTCTGTATGCATACATGTTACTTAAATGCAGATGAAATGCAATCGCAACTACATACATCTCCAACCAAGATGATATTTTGATTTTCTGACTCGGAAGTGAAGGCTCTCCACTATGCCAAATGGAACAGATCTAATGATACACAGAAGCCCTACAAAAGCCCCAAAGTAAATGAAGCAAAAATAGGCGGTGACGATTGCGGGATCGTAACGTGATCTCTTCACAATGTCAGGTCTAGTCTCAAAGAAGGGGGACTTTATTTACTCGTACTCGTCATGTCATGTCATTATCGTACTTGAAGACGCATTGCAGACTTCAAGTTCCCGGAACTCTGCCTCCGATGCCTCTTTGCAACATCCACTGTAACCGTGGATTGTCTATCAATCACAACCTCCTGTGTTGTTTGTCGAGAGTGATTTGTATGCCGATCAACCTGACGTCTGTCTGAGGGTTGTGGAGCAATTGCGGCAACAGCAGCAGGCTGCAGCTGTTGCTGTTGCTTCATCGCAGTCACTAAAAAAGCAACTACTTTGAACATGCGATCGAAAAGGTGGATGGATGTCCCACCTTCAAGAAATCTAGCATCCGCTTCCCGAGTAAAACTCTGCGTGAGAGCAGTGTACCTTTTCACCTGCCAACTCATCTGAGATACCCGCGCGACGTTCCCCTGCGACTCGGCCCACTTCTTTTCCTCCTTGAACCGCCTCCGCTCACTATCCGCTAGCGACGCCTTTGCGCGTAGCACCGCTAACTCGCGTTCTAGTGGGTTCATGGTGTGGTTGGGATCGATGCTAGAAGTCGATGTCAGCGAAGGTGGCGTACGCCATCGTTGATCTGGCTCGTTTTTGCGGGAGCGTGGTGGTCGACTGGGGGGTATCACTTGGTACTCTGTGCTAGACTGGAATTTGACGAGACGCTTTCGTTTTGGGGTGTATGTGCTCTCTTTGTCACGAGCAGAGTCTCCGTCAAAGTCGTAAAAATATCCGTCCTCGATGAGTTGTGATAGAACATCGGTGACTAGGACACCAAGGGCAACACCGAGCAAGGTGGTTGCACACCTGGAGACGTCCTGGAGCATCATGAACTCGATGACGAGTCTGGCAGCGATGCCGAACGCAACGACGAACGCGAAATCAGGATATTCCATTAAAGCGTAATATAGCGCGACGCCTTGGACGACGCCGAGAAGGATGACATCGCTGATGACACCCTCGTCAGCACTGGCGTCAGCAGTGCTCGAAAACTTGTTGAGGGCAATGCGTACGCCCAGACCAAATAGTAGAGCAGGCGCTGTTGAGAATGTCATGGGAAAGACTTAAACAGTCATATGCATGACGGCGTCCCGACAGCTTTAGTATTCGCTTATTGTTCAACTTCGTGTGAACCGAATGGGAATACGTATACCCAAACAATGTTGTTCGACAAATACAAAACAGGTGTCAGTCTTTCTGCGTCCAGGATGCAAAGAATATGCTACAAAAAATAGGAGAGAGCAAGGAGAAAGCAAGGTAAAATACATCATCGCGTATATACATCTTCGCTGTCCACGTAGTTTGCCATGGGATCTTCAGCGTTCCGGCGCGTCATTCGATAAGCCTCTGCAAGATGATAGGCTATATCAGAAGGTGCCCAATCGCAAAGTATGAAAGATTAAACACATACCGAGCTCCTCCTCAGTGACATCGTGGCTACCGCTCTGCAAGCCTTTCATCTTCTTGCTAGATCGATCATCATCCTTGTCTCCTCTGGCTTTCCGCTTCTTCTCCTCACTGATGGCCTCCGCTAAACGATCTTTATCGAGAGAGACGTCCCCTTCGCCTACTCGCTTCTTCGAGTAATTCTGCTCTCTTCGGGCTCTCGCCTCGTTGTTCTGGGCAGAGGGATCTGATTGAGCCTTTGATGAGCCAAGCAAGGCTTGGGCCGTCGAGGCTTGTGCGGCTTCCTTGCCCACTTCACCAGCGCAATATGAAATGTGGATGGTTGAATGGCAGCATGCATAACCCCAGGTACCGCTTGAAAGGTCGTACCACGAGCCCCATACATCCGTATGATTATTAACGTAAACTAAAACTCGTGTCAATACCACATTTCACATCTATCAGAAAGTAGAAGCTCACCATCCTCTGGATACTTTGACCGCGCTTTAGCGCGTTCTTTCCCTTTAATAATTTGGCCAGTCCGCGAATATTCCACATAGTCCTCCGTTTGCCCATTTATCAGCTCCCTCGGCACGTGTTCGAGGTACTCCTCGCCACCATACTTTGCCAGAATGCTGACTTTGTTGACGTCCTTCATCATTTCCTTCTTCTCCTTAAATTCATGATGAAGAAGTTGACCTTGCGTGGGATTGGCGTTAAGATGAACGTCATTCCCTCGAGCTGCCGCTTGCCACGCGAAAAGCTGCAGTTCTTGGACTTCAGGAGCCTCGCCAGAGAATCGAAAGAAGTTATCTCCGGCGAATTTCGCCTGTCATAAAGGTCATTTGGGGTCGAATCGAGGATGGAAGCGTGAATACATACATCCTCTGCAGGCACATTCTTTATGGGAGCGTCACGCATCGAACGAGTCTTTGGATCGTAGTATGCGCTCTCTGGGTCCAAGTTTATGAGATATTTGGCAGTATCTTCTCGGATGCGCAGGTTCCGAACTGTAATGCGAGTCTTCGTGTCAAGTTTTTGTCCTACAGCATCTGCAGCGTCGGCATATTTGTCGTCGTCGGCGTCTTCTTCATCGCTCGAACCAAAGTCAGGATCAGCTTCCTTTCCCTCCTTCTTTCCAGCTTTCGCCACCTTCCGCACCGCAGCCAAATCTGTTGTTGTTTGGTTGTCAATCTCTTCCTCCCTCAGTTTCTGACGTGCTGCTTCAACAGCTTCGTACTCCTCATAGATTTTCTTGTGCTCTGCAGGATCGTACCCGTTCCACCTATCCCTCTTCGCATCAAATCCCGTCGCTACGTCATGTATGATCTCGTCCGCTTGGATATTCTTGTTCGTGAACTTCGCCCCCTTCTTCCGAGGACGCTCGAGACAGTCCTGCCTCTTGTGGGTCATTGCGCCGCAATTTTCACATGCGCCTTTTCGGTACTTCTTTGCAGCAGGTCCTGCTTTCGCACCACGGTCATACCAGTTGTCGAGTTTGTCTGCGGAACGATCGTCGAATGGCCGACGTTGATGGCTTAGTGACGGTGCGCCGGTGTCAAGATACCACGGAGCCTGGGAGATGTATTCTGTGATGAAGAATAAGATTACTCGATGGATAATTCTGGATAATATAAACTCACGAGGAATGTGAGGATTGATAGGCCGTCCCTCCTCGTCTAGAGCTGCTGGAGCAGTTCCAGCTTTTCTGGCAGCATCGAGGTCTTTTTGGCGTCGAAACTCCTCACGAGAAAGCTTTCCGACAGCTGAAATGAGTTACTTTGAGATGGACCTACTTCTCGAAGAGTTTACATGCCTGAAGATGAAGCCATTTTGTTGTGATTCTTGACGGTTCGTGAGGAATAACTTGAAGTGCTTGTGTACCTAAGTCGATATCTTACAAATTGATTATGGAAGCAGTGTCTCACGCTATTGGTGGCAATGATCATCTAAAACTCTTCCTTGAATGCTTCTTTCGAGGGAGGCCGAGTCCAGTGTCCTTGTCCGTGTTGCGAGGATAAGCACGATACTTGATTACGTGCCTCGAATTGCTCGCCCTATGATGGAATTCTGTCCAGAGCCCACAGGAGAAGCGATGTCTGGGTCCACCCAGAAGAGGCCAGAAGCCCTTACTTTGCTGTTATCATATGAAGACTTGGATTGTTGTCAGCCCAAAGCTACCTTCGGTTCCAATACACATACTTTCTCGTGTGATTTAAGTGCTGGTTGTTGCTGTTGAGTTCTCGCATTTAATCAGTTGTTCTGACTTACAATGTTTTGGTGCAGCAAGCCGTCCTGTGCGCTATCCTCTCGCGGTAAATAAGTTTTGGGATCGGATGAACTTTTCAATGTCATCAAACATCTCATATTCACACTGTCAGTACGTCCTCAAGAAGGTATAGTCACTACTGCTAATACCGTCCGATGAGTCGGTTTGGAAACTTGGTATGCCAATCGGCCATTCGTACAGGTATAAATATCAAACTAGGTACCTTGTATGTTTGGCGTTCAGTAAGTGGATTGCGAGCGCCGAACGGTGGACTTACCGCCGATGAATATCTGACATACAGAATATACTACTTAGCTATGACGTGCAGGTCGCCGGGAATAGATCTGTCAGCCAACGATCATCGAGCAGTCCATGTCAGCCACTGAGCTCGAGACATATAAAAGCTCGCTCTTCGCGCTCTCCGACCCAATCCATTTTTGTCCTTCGACTTCGACTCGATTTCTTTTCTTACGCTTGTTGCTTGCATCTGCTACCCCACATTCGTTCATAATGCGCTCCCTTTCAATGCTCGCTCTCGTGCTCCCTGCCGTGCTTGCAGTGCCTCTTGAAGTCACCACCCATCACCAGTATGTAAGTGTCTAAACATCCATTATTCATCAAAGTGTACTGTTGATTCGACTTGCCTGCCCTGCTAGTCACCTTCCTCCTGTGTCATCGCAGACGTCGCTTATCCAGACCCTCGCCATGCCCTCGTGCTCCTTGGCAGACGAGAACTCAGCCCTCCCACCGGACTATCCGAGCATACTTTCACCGACCTCCTAGTCTGGTGCCACGAGTTTGGTCGTTCATCCACTAGTCTACTCGTTGCTCGTCAAGAAGGTGGCTGCTCTTCTGGAGCTTTCGGTGGTCCAGTAGGGAGTGATAGCTCGGCTGACAGTCCAGGAGGCGCTCCACAGAATTCTTCAGCGTCAGGTGATCAGAGCGCAGGCTCTCCTGCTGCTGGATCTTCGACGACCCCCGCAACTGTTGCACCTGCCATTTCCCCTGACAACTCTGTCGCTCGTCCCGCATCTCCGGGGGACACACCTTCAGAGACGCCTGGAGGTGCAACTGGGCCCACCACATCTGGAACGTCAACCGGTAGTCCCGCTAACAGTGGCGCTTCTAACAGCGACGCTTCTAACAACGCCGGAACTCCTGCCGACCCTGCGGGAACCAGTCCCTCTGGAAACGCACCTGCGACCACCGGCCCTGCGGATGGCAACGCATCTGATAACGGGAGTGCATCTGCGGCACCACAGTCTGCTCCACCTACATCTGCCACTCCCTCCGGTGCGACGTCCCCGATTATATTTGTCGACGGCACCAGCCCTGTCGCAGACATCAACGCGTCGGACAGCCTTAACAACGCGCAGGCGAACAGCATAGCAGCGTCATCCATACCCTCAGGTGCAACACCCCAGGCTCCCCCAGATGGTACTGTCAACGGTGGAACGACGCCCCAGACCGCCCCTGATGGTACTGTTAATGGTGGCATGACGCCCCAGACTCCCCCTGATGGTACTGTTAATGGTGGCACGACGCCCCAGACTGCCCCCGATGGTACTGCCAACGGTGGTACGCCCGCTCCTACCAGCCCAACAGCGTCTACCCCTGCAACACCGGCCGATTCTCCTATTGCTGGAACGGATATTTCTGGTTGCCCGTCTGATATAGTGGATGTTATTGGCGCGGTATCTGCGAGAGTAGGTGGCGCGGCGACTTGTGATAGCGTATAAGTTCCTGTAGCATTGTAATACAGATGCGTTTCTTGCCACCACTACCGGCGTTAAGGGGTGTCCTTAAATGGCAGTTATGCCCAAACAACACGCAAACAACGCGAATAACGCATCTGACTCTGATCGATACCACTGCAGTTTTATACCAGCAAGTAATACATATACCCGGGCCCCACTAATACAATACTAGTCCGTCAGAGACTCGTTCACGATGTCGACTCACCTTGCGATTCTACCACTTGGTAAGCTCTTCGCCTTGTCCATACTAGCCTCCATGTCGACTTGTCTTGCCATTCCGTACAGACATTATTGACACACTGACTGCGCGGCTAAATCAAGAAGACTGCCATCCCGACCATGCGACTCGATTTCTAAGACTTCCGCACCCGCGTACAGGTCAGTGGATACACGACTACTGTCGTTCTCAGCGCTTACAGCGACAAGGTCTCGCTTCACTGTTTCTTCTTCACGATCAACATGCACAGGGTGATACCACAAAGACGAGTTCCATATTGGAGGTGCAAGCCATATCCCCAACAAATGCACGGACCTGGTTCATAGGAGAGGAAGTCGTCGCTGGTGCGTTATGCAGATATTGGTCTCAATCGTACATACTTCTGATGCACAGGCGTTCAGATGGAAAGCTCGTGGTGATGACGCCGATGGACCCCATGTTTTTGCTCTTGTATCTTTTACGCGCTCCACAAGCGGTATGTTATCATACATGTTGTGCTAGTCCCCAAGACAATGTTCGTTTCACAGCGTGACGGCTCGAAAGGAAACTTCCGGCCCATGCAGGATATCATAGAAGAAGTCGCTACAAGGATTGCTGATGCTTCCAAGAAAGATGCTCAGAAAGACCCATCATTAAACGTCCCCGCAGACGACATTGTTTCCTTTCTGTCTCTGGATTTTGTCCAGTCCTCTGTAAAGCGCGTCTGCGACGTTAAGGGTAAGTGTTTCGAGTGTCGCACAACCATTTATTCACATGTCTGTGCTCAGTCATAACGGATGAGATTACCGTATACAGATACTCTCATGACGTCGTGCTGGAAAGTCTTAAGGGAAAAGTGGGACGCTTATCCGACCCCAGGGTCGCCGAGATGTCTCGCACCCTGGTACGGAGCCTTGCGAAGGATGGCCTGATGGATGACGGAAAGGAGGAACTACTTGAATGTGCGTCATTTTCCACCGCTTATCTCTTGCTGACATATTTTCACCAGCGGGACGGATTAAGTTAGCCTGTGAATTGATATCGCAATACCTCCCCAGGGACATATTACAAGACTTGATTGCGTCTTACGAGTATGTATCTCGTTTACTGCGGCTAGCAGATATTGATAGGTTATCAGTCTCTCCAAACTGGACGCCCATGTGAAAACGGTCAGAGATGAAGAACTCGCCTTGCTCGCCGTAGCTCCTGACACCAGAAGAGAGCGAAGCCTGCAAAATCCGTTGCAGCCGGCGATAAAAATCAGAAGAGGAAAAAAGACGCCGAGGCTACTGCGAATGCTGACGTTGACACATCTGGCGATGGAGATAAGAAAAAAAGAGGCGCCAAGTCGTCACATGGCGTAGAGAAGCTGAAGAAGGCCAATGTAGCAGGGATGTCGAAATTGTCCACATTTTTCACGAAGAAAGCTGCATAAATGCAACTTCGAGTCATGCGCCTCACGCTTGGCGACCTCATGATACTTTAGCCGTCTGACAGATACACTTGTTCGACCCGTTGGCTTAGGAAGATAAGATGCTATTTATTTTCTTCCTCCGATCTCATGACCTCCCCTGCAAACTGCGAAATTACACATTCACATTGCAGTTACTATTCGGGAACGCTCTCTTGGAAATATGTATATACTGGATACCCATTGAGCTGCCGCAAGGGTTTTTTGTCTCGAGTAAGGTCATCAACGATATATTAAAGATTATTGTTAACGAGCTACAGGCTAGTACACTATGTTGGGATCGAAACAATATAGCGAGGGACCAGCATTTATGCCAATACTTAGCACTGTCATTTGAGGGACACGTGTCGAGATGCACATAAAAGTGTCGGACTAGGCCTAAGTAAACGCGTTCACCTATCCAAATATTCCCAGCATTCTGTTCCGAAACCGCACCAAGGCGGGTGCTGATCAATTCGACGTGGACGGGTGACGAGCATGAGGCATGAGAATGGCAATCGTTTCACGCATTCAATTGACACGAGTCCTTGCAGGTCTGCCAGAGTATCTCGCGACACGCGGAGTGCCCCAATCCCTAACTTCCATTGGTGCCAGCACAGGTTTTTGCTTATCCGTTCGATATTTGAGAAGAATGCGGATACCTATTAAATGTTTAGTGTGACAAATCATGGCTTATGTAACAGGTCCCAAATTCAACTACTTCTAATATCATGGACATTGCAGCGGTACACATGGAATATCCAGCTATCAGTTGCTCACGATTGCGTGATATCGTCTCATCGCAGATCACATTATGACGATGCTTCATAAGTAATCGCCGGGGTTTTCGCTCACATGTAAGCCCTTAAACACTCGTCCTTTACTCTCTAGTGACATACAGTATTAGAAATGGCTACCCCTCATGGCGGAATTTTGAAAGTACGGGTTTGTATTTGCGCGCTCCACGCCATCTAACATGTATGGATGATGCAGGACCTTGTTTCACGAGATGAGTCGATATCCGGGCAGCTCAAGGACGAGGCTGCGACACTCAAGGACATTGTGCTCACCGAGGTTCGTCTCTCCAGTGACAAGAACGTTAACACTAACTTGAAGCTGAATGTAGCGTCAACTCTGTGATCTCGAACTAATTATCAATGGCGGCTTTAGTCCATTGGAAGGGTTCATGAACGAAGCTGATTATACAAGGTAGTGGCAGGGATATCCAAGTCACAGAAACCAATGCTGAGGTGTTTTGTCAGCGTCGTCGATACATTACGACTGTCTGATGGCACACTCTTTGCAATGCCTGTCACCCTTGACGTGTCTTCTGCCGATATCGAGCGTCTCACCATAGTGCCTGGCGCTCGCATTGCTCTCCGAGACCCTCGTGATGACGAAGCACTTGCAATCATCACCGTCGATGATGTTTACACCTATGACCGTGTCAAGGAGTCTATTTATGTTTTTGGCGCCGATGATCCAGCACACCCTTCCGTCGCTTATCTCCGCAACCGCGTCAAGCCTTTCTATGTAGGAGGAAGGGTACAAGCCATACAGGCACCCTCACACTTTGATTATGTTGCTCTTCGATGTAAGTTATATCAGTCTTGAAGTTACTTGCCTTGCTAAAGGATTGGCAGACACCCCTACTGAACTCCGTGCCCACTTTAAAAAACTTGCATGGCGCAGAGTCGTCGCTTTCCAGACCCGGAACCCAATGCACCGTGCTCACCGTGAGCTCACCGTTCGTGCTGCTCGCCAACATCAGGCGAACGTCTTAATCCACCCTGTCGTCGGTCTTACGAAGCCAGGAGATGTCGATCACTATACTCGTGTCCGCGTATACGAAGCTATCATGGCCAAGTACCCGAATGGAATGGGTCACCTTGCGCTCCTCCCTCTTGCAATGCGCATGGCAGGTCCCCGTGAGGCAGTATGGCATGCAATTATCCGAAAGAACTTTGGTGCAACACATTTCATTGTCGGTCGCGACCATGCTGGACCAGGAAAGAACTCACAAGGCAAAGATTTCTACGGCCCATATGACGCACAAGAACTTGTTGAGAAGTACAAGGATGAGCTAGAAATAGAAATGGTTCCATTCCAACAGATGACATACCTCCCCTCTACCGATGAGTATCAACCGGTGGACGAGATACCCGCTGGAACGCAGACTCTGGATATATCTGGCACGGAGCTGCGGAGGCGACTAAAAACAGGGGCACATATCCCTGACTGGTTCAGTTACGAGTACGTTCCCATTCTTGGTATACTACACATCAATTTAACAAGTGCACCAGGGCTGTGGTATCGAGGTTGCGAGAAAGTTACCCGCCAAGGAACAAGCAGGCTTTGTTCTGTGTCTTACTGGCTTCTACAACTCTGGAAAGAACATCATTGCAAAGGCCCTCCAAGTCGCACTCAACGAACAAGGTGGTCGCAGCGTATCCCTTCTCCTGGGCGAGATCGTGCGAGATGATGTTAACGTCAAGTTGGGCTTCACACCGGACGAGCGTCACGAGAACTTGCAACGCATATCCTTCGTAGCAGGCGAACTTGCTCGTGCGGGGGCAGCTGTCATTGCTTCACCTATAGCCCCTGAAGAACGGTCACGAGCGCTGGTGAAGGATACTGTTCTTCAAAGTGGTGGTGCAGGAGGGAACTTTTTCCTGATCCATGTTGCGACGCCTCTCGAGCATTGCGAAAGCACTGACCGCAAAGGCATTTATGCTCAAGCGCGTCGCGGAGAGATAAGGGGTTTCGTTGGTGTTGACACCGAGTATGAGGTGCCAAAGAAAGCAGATCTGGTTGTGGACGTGACCACGCAGAGTATACCTTCCATCGTGCACAGTGAGTCCAACTTGATTTTCCATCTTGATGGTGCTTACCATGTTCTTAGGTATCGTTCTCTTACTTGAGACAACTTCGTTGCTATGAGTGCTCCAAATACCATGACGATTAGAGTATACCACTGGTTATTACCATCGCATTACAGTATCGTTATACTTTGATGCTACCAAAGATAACTTATAGATTAGCATACACAAGAGTTTTATTCGTCTCTCAATCAAATACAATAAAACATACACAGTGAAGTTACAACAAAGGAGCATTCTTTAAGCTTTCTACCTCAAGTTTTGGCACGCTGCCACCCCATAATCAAACGCATCGATCGCATCACCTGCCGCATCTGGGGTGTCATCTAGGCAGTCCCATCAATTACATCACTAGACTCAAACGATGGTCGACTGACTTGATAATTTTCCTCATCGACAACCCTATTGACATGGCAGACCAGCCGCGATCCACGCATCATAACCGCCCACTATATCAGTCGCATTCCACAACCCAAGTTCATGCAAAGACGCCGCAGCCAATGAGCTAGTATACCCTTCACAACAAAACAATATAATCTTCAAATCATAGCGATCTGCAATTGTCAATCGCGCTTCGCAGCGTGGGTCAAAACGCCACTCCAGAACGTTTCGCTCGACGATGAGAGATCCGCAGATCTCGCCTTCACGATCGCGTTGTGCAGCAGGGCGAATATCCACGAGGAAAACGGGCACCGGGTATGTAGGATCGTGAAGTGCGTCGTAGGCTTGTTGGGGCGTCATTCGCTCGAGCCTGGCCCGGGCGTCGGAGAGAATTTGGTCGATGCTGCGAGATCCAGGGGGAGGAGAATGAGGGTTGTGAGTGTGCACGGAGTTGAACAATACATCCCACAAGGCAGCCTCGTGGTATGACGAGGGGCCAATATGTTGTATGGATGCAGCTTGAGCTATGACAGTGCCCGTGTTGTCGACTGCATCCACTCGTCCTGGAAATTTGGAAGACGCGAGAAGTACAGCCCGCTGCATATCATCCGCATCTGACCCGCAGATGACGAGTGCGTCTGAAACACAACCATCACTACCAGCATTGGTTAACGACATACCAGTGATGGCTATGACAAAGAGATATGGGGATAAAGGCAAGCAGGCGGATATATGGGAAACGACAAGTCGAAGAAAGTCACTGTCGTCCTCCTTCGAAAAGTGGATACCGATGCGGACACCGTCTACTGTGCACGCATTGGTGATCATGCGAAGTGCGATGTTTTGGGCAGCCTCCTCGCTCACATCCAAAAAAATTTGACGGTTGGTGGAGGAAGTGGGGGATAATTGGATGCGTTGGTGCTCGAGAGCAACAGTGGACGATACAGGGAATGTCATGAAGAAATGTTTTCGTTGCAGAATCTTTGGCTAAACAATCCTACGTGCGTCAGATGGCGTTGAAAGCGAAAATGCAACGGAGAAGATTGAATCAGCATATACAAACGGCCCTGCAATATAAGCACAGCATTGGGGCAACACCATCATGCGTCATGATCCGTGTGCGCGGTTCGCGAACGCGATTGTTTTCATACCACTGCGTTGTGCAACGTATGCGTGGGGTTCTCGTATGCGGCATTGCTGGCAGAACACGTGTGCTTACCAGGAGGGATGATCATCCGGTATGGTTCTCCGAAATTTGTCCTTTATGAAATAACGCTGTGAAATACCGGCCAATTTGTTGAGCGACTACTAGTTCCTTCGTGCCAAGCAAAGATCATGAACTTGTGTCGATGTCAATGTGCTTGATAGTCTGTCCTAGACAGGCCTTTATAGACGAAATAGGACACTTGGTCGTTCCTTCTAGTAAAGATGGGCTTGACAAACTCGCCAAAGTCAGATAGTGAGAAATATTAGATAGAGACAGCTGTTGCAAGTCTCCTGTAGCTAGGTCACATAGAGGAAGACGGCCATTCCTTCGTATCACTTTCCAAGCTTGACGATGAAATAGTCATGTCTACGAAGCAATAACTTCGTTGCCCTCGCGTCGCCAAAATGAGGGTACGCGGTGGTCTCCTCTAGGGCCAAAAGAGAAGACAGTCGTTCCTTTTATGATACGGTATTGTGGTACGCAGGCTGCTAAAGGGACATTACTAAGATCAAGGAAGACCTGTGAATAATGCGTACTTCACCCTGCAATCCGTTTGCGAAATGTGCGGCAGCGTGCGCGGGTTGATTTAGAGATAGTAGTGCTCTGATCACGTTGTTCAAATTCTTCAGGAAACATGATGTTGGTCCGTTCGTTTCAGAGACAAGAAGCGCCTGGGATCGTATAAACATGTGTTTCCGTTACACGGTATAGCCGAACCTATTGCCCACGGGAAGCGAGCACTCAAATTCGTTGGACCGATCTGCAACCGTGACCGTCCTTTCTTCCTTGCTCAGTAATGTTGTCTGTATTTCGGCGTGTGCCACGGCCTTTCAACCGGTCGATTAATGCTTCCATCTCTTATCGATCATCACTTGGAGTCCCAAGTAACCTAGTCCTTCGAGCTGCCGCACGCGCCATGTCTGTTCACCACGGAGAATCTGCCATTCGACCAGAGCCGGACAAGGTCTTGAAAGATATTGCAGACTATGTTCACAACTACCAGGTCACTTCGGACCTTGCGTTCGAAACTGCACGACTCTGTCTCATAGATACTATCGGATGCGGACTGGAGGGTTTGAATTTCCCAGAGTGTACCAAGCTCCTTGGACCCGTTGTGGAAGGCACTATCGTGCCTAATGGTACGAGGTTTTGATATGGATAAACGATAAAATGCTGAACTGTCGGAATCCTGGATGCAGGTACCAAGGTTCCCGGAACGAATTACCAGCTGGATCCTATTCGTGGCGCATTCAATATTGGCACCATCATTCGTTGGTTGGACTTCAATGACTGCTTCCTCGCTGCTGAATGTGAGTAAGACAATAACGAACAGTTCGCTATCAAGCCAGACGCGTAGATTGGCACATGACTGTCTGTCGAGCAATGCGAACGCGTGATAAATCTTACACATGAGCTCACTCCACATTTTAGGGGGCCATCCATCAGACAACTTGGGTGCTATTCTCGCGGTTGCCGACCACCTCGCTCGCCAGGGACAACCTCTGACCGTTCGCGACATCCTCGAGGGCATGATCAAAGCACACGAGATTCAAGGTGGCCTTGCCCTGCTTAACTCTTTCAACCGCGTTGGCCTCGACCACGTCGTGCTCGTCAAAGTTGCTAGTACCGCTGTTGTCTCCAAACTCCTGTAAGTGCACCTCACTTCGGAGTCGAATGCAACAACTAAGATGATATTTGTAGCGGCCTTTCACACTCTCAAACGATCGACGCCGTTTCGCAAGCGTGGGTCGATGGTCAATCTCTCCGTACTTACCGTCATGCACCGAATACCGGCCCTCGTAAGTCGTGGGCGGCAGGCGATGCCTGTTCCCGTGCCGTCAATCTCGCTCTTCTCGTGAAGAAGGGCGAGCTCGGTCTCCCTTCAGTCCTCACCGCCAAGACTTGGGGTTTCTATGACGTCCTCTTCAAGGTAAGATGCCCCCAAAGTACAGCAGTTCCACCCGCTGAACTAGACCTCCAGGGAAAGCCATTCGAGTTCCAAATGCCCTTCGGCTCATACATCATGGAAAACGTCCTTTTCAAGATCTCGTATCCCGCCGAATTCCATGCCCAAACCGCAGTCGAGGCCGCACATACCATCCACAAGCAGCTCAAAGCACTCGGCAAATCCTCAGACGACATTAAGAGCGTGCGCATCCGCACACAGGAGGCTGCCATTCGCATCATCGACAAGCAGGGTCCCTTGGACAACTTCGCTGACCGAGAGTAAGCATCCTAATTTATTCATGACGGCGCAGACTCGCTCATGGGTCGCTCCAAAGCCATGCGATCAGCTACATGGTTGCATACCCCCTCATTTTTGGTGAGCTAACCTCGAACTCGTACACCGACTCCTCTGCTGCCGATCCCCGTATCGATGCGTTACGCGCCAAAATTCACTGCGTGGAGGACAATGCATTCTCAGTGAACTATCATGAACCGTCAAAGCGCTCTATTGGAAATGCACTCCTCGTCGAATTGAACGACGGCACAGTTCTTAATGAGGTTGAGGTCGAGTACCCTGTTGGACATAAGCGTCGCCGCGAGGAGGGTATCCCTCTTCTCATGGAGAAGTTCAAGAGGCACATCTCCGCGCACTTCAATGAGGCCCACCAACAGAAGTGAGTCAGCGTACTTGATGCAGTTTTTCGAGCACTGATCCGTCTCACAAGGATTCTGGCCACCGTAACTGACGCGCAGTCATTGTCCAAGTTGCCAGTCGACAAGTTCACTGATCTCTTCGTTAAGGCGTGAAATGGTACATGTACAAGTAGTGCGATTCGATGACAATTGGGAAATTCCGTGAAATTAATACACGCGTGTGATCTGTCCAAGTCTGTCCATCAACAGCATGCCTGCAAAATGAATGTCTATGACCGTCCCTGAGTAATCCGCGAAAAAAGACATGGAAAACGATACTTGAAAGAGACAAAAGCGTAGTTAAAAGAACAAATGCAAAACCGCAGTCCAGTAGTAGAGACTTCATCGAGCGGAAACTGTACATGCGTCACTCCTTGTTTTCCTCCCGCGTGGCTTCTTCTTGAGTTGCTGGGATGTGCCCACAACTCCCCCTCCTTTGGGCCGCGATTGCACGCGACTTTGATAAGAGTACTCTTCCTGTTCCTGCGCTGAAGGAAGACGGACTTTTGCGGGCGATGCTCCATGAGGGAACGAGTACGGCTGGGCTTCATACTCGTCAATAGAGTCCGGGCTAGGAACTCTCGCATGACCGACAGCAGGAATGCCAAGGCGCTGTTCTTGGTAGTACCTACGAGGGGTTGTACTGCCGTCAGAATGGTCACAGGAGGAGAGACTGCGTTGGTGACAATCGGTAGACCGATAAGCAGATGTAGACGAGGTGTCCGCCAGACTACTGAGTTCCTCTTCCGGTACAGAAGACAGTCGGCGTTGTATCAACCGTGCAAGGGGAACGGACCTGGGTTGCTGATAGGAAATACTGCGAGGTCGTGATCCAGGAGACTCAGGCGAGGGAGGAGCAACGGAGACAACGGTAGGACCAGTACGGACGGGGTGGCGAGCTGCCGTCAGAGGAAATTCAGTGGTACTAGCATAACGAGGCTGCTGAGAAGACATTGCATGCAAATCACGCAAATAGTTGGCAAGACCGCCAGAAACATCTGAAGGATGCCGATTGATTGCCGAAGGGACGTCCCTATCGTGACGCGAAAGCATAGAACCACAGTCGCCATTTCCATCGAAGAAACGAGTCTCGACATTATTATTCTGATGATCGTACAAGAGCCTGGCTTGATGGGAGGCATCCATGAAGGGGCGTTGTGCTTGCTGGGTGTGATGAGGCAGACCTAATGTGTTCTGAATATCCATCTCCGGAGATACGGAAGGATACTGATAGGGCGAAAAGTTTGATGACCACTGGGGAGAGGAAGAACTTGGCGGGGTAGGTAGACCAGCCTGTTGCTTGAGACGGAATTCCTGACGTTGACGATACTGTTGAGCAATCTCCATCGCAGACAGACGTTGTGCTGCATTGACCACCTCATTGAGACGCGGTTCCACGAAGATTTTCGGGTAAGCCGGAGTGGCGCGAGGATGGTTCGAAACCGGAAAAACTGGCTTGAGACCTTCAGGGTAAGCTTGATTGAGTGCAGTGTTCTGAAGCGACTGCCGAGCGAATGCAAACTGCAAATCCAAGAGAAGTTTTTGATCATTGAACGAGGAGCCAAAGCCTCTTTCGTAGGCCTCTGATTCGCGAACAGTTGGTATACTGGTTTCTGACCGCCAAGAGCCTGAGAAAGGAAGACCGCGAATGGCTGGTTCAGCTTTTGACTCATGTAGATGGGATGCCTCTGAGTGTTCATAAATGCGACGTTCATGGTCAGGGTGACGATGAACAGTGGGAATTCCTCCGCCAGCGACCCCTTTGAATGTTTTCTTGTTAATCGCGGCCGCTCGTACCTGGTGAGGATTCTGGAGTACGTGTCTTTTTTGTGTTTGCGGTGTGACCTGGGAGTGAGGGAAGGCTTTATGATGTGTTTCGTCGTCCGTATGCTCACTATCACCACGATGTTGACCAGATTCGTCTTGGCCTAAGCCCCATATCATTCGAGATACGTTGCCTGGCTCCTCGATGATCGTTCCTTCAGCTCCCCTAGAAATGGTAAGCTACTTTGCGTTCATTACATATTTCACTTACGATGGACAGCGAGCATATGGGAGGGAAAGCGGACCGTGAAGAGCTGGGATAGGGCGGGGAGGAGAAGTCGCCCACGCTGTCCAGCCTACATGGAGAAAAATAAATCTCAGCGTGGCAACTGTTAGTCAACACAAACCATTTCCGGGCGAGGCTGTCTTTTTGGAATATCTTCGTCGAAGGAATCCATCAGGAAGCTGCGCATGACTGTCAATGATGAGAATCGACTCGGGAGACGACGGTGGAGAAGGCGTGTGCGGAACGTCCGAGGGTGGGGGACAAACTCTGACTCGATGACGTTTCTCAATAAACGACGATCCGAAGGATGCGCCTGCAGAGGGAGACTCGATCGAATCCAGAGACGGGTCAACAGCAGCCGCGAGATACTCGGGCATGGAAACCACCCGCATGTCATTTTGAGGGTCCAACTTGATACGCTGCGCCGATATGTCGTCCGGCATAGAAATCACGCGTCTTTCGACGGTTTTTCCTTCCGGGCGACGTTCGACTAGGAATAATTTGCGTCCAGGAACGCAACGAGACATCAAGGGTGCGCACATGGGGCTAACGGGGCTATGTTGGAGATTGGACCGACTATATGCGCTGTTATCATCAACAGAAAAAGGTGAAGGAGGTAGTTCTGGGTCGACTGATAGCAACCCAGTTGTAATCTCGTGTAAAAGCGACCCAGAGTCACAGTCATCGAAGGGAGTTTGAGGAACACTAACAGCTGACAAGTCTGATACTGCTGCTGATTGTGGGGAACATGAGGTTTGCACTCCTCGATCGACATACTCCTTCAGATATCCCATGGTTCAGAATCGCGAAGAGGCTCAGCGTGTCTGTCTAGGGGCGACTCAGTGAGGTTGTTCAAGTAGCAAGCAAAGATAAGATAGGTTCAAATTTATATATTCATTCAATTGCATCGGGTAATATTTTTATCATTGTTTACGTAAGCTGGACAAGGTACTGTAGAGTTACGACCGTAGCTTCGCGCCCTTTCGGGTGTGACCATGTCACACTTAGCTTCGCAGCTTCGTAGGCCCTTGCGACGTGTGACCTATCCAAGTTAGCTTCGCCCTGGCAGCTGCAATCCATGTGAGTTGGCCTTTTCTCATCATGCCCATCAATTTTGACCCTTCAGAATGAATCTCGTGTCTAACTGTCCGTAGCAATTTTTGGTTTTTTTGTTGGCGATTTTTCCTGTTTTACTGCGTGTCACAAAATAGCTTCGCTCCCCGAAATTTAGTGTGACCGTCACATCAAATAGGTTCGATTCGCTGTGGGGTGGGACACGTGACGAAGTTACGGTCGTAACTCTACAGTATGCTTGGAAGAGCCAGAAGCATCCAGCAGCTGGAGCGTCGCGAGGCAGGCCACGTCCTTAGCGCACGCTGCAGTTACCCGTCTCCTCGGATAAGGGTCTATTAATTAGGGCAAGAGGGACGCTAGGTGGTGGGGATAGCAGCGGTTTCGAACCTGCAAAAGTTCTCGTCAGGGGGCTACCCCAACCATGCCGACATCTCGTTATAAGACTACAGAGCCTATCACAACTGCAGCCGCGTTCGGTAACCGGCTAGCTGTCATGGCCACTATGACTCATCGGGGAGGTAGGGCTAGTGGGGGCTGGGAAGCTTCAGATCCCAGATCCGGTGGCCTTTAGCTTCAGTACATCCGGACCCTAAAACCCACCCACCGAGGGACCCTAATGTTCCGCAAAAAGTCAATCAAACACGCTGAGCACCAAATAAAGAAAATGATGGCATATCGGAAAATGCCGGCTCGCTTCTTCGAATTTTATCTCCGGTAACGCCGCATACGCGGCAAGTCTCCGACTCCGGCCCGCTTGCACTTTTCTTTCTGCGATGAGATCTAAAACCAGAGTACTATTTGATGGACATTGAATTCCACAACGTCTGCTCCAAAACGACGATGAACAGGAACTGGTTATCTGATGACGTCTACATAGACATACTTGACAACGAAGAGGCAGATGGACATCCCGCTCGAGGCGAAACATCAGAACAGCGAAAATTCCGCGAATTTTTTTGTATCACAGATAGAACCCCCATATCACTACTGAGCAGCAAATCCGCACTCAAGCAGACTTTCCAGAGCACGATTAAGAACAAGGCATTATCTGTCACTGAAAAATCCCCCAGATGTGCGAAATTCAAAGAAATGGACCATCTTTCACTTCGCAAAAATAGTAGACGAATTCTCCAGATGCCTGATGCCTCACTATTGATTCAACTACGCACAGGACACGTCCCCTTCAACACACACTCAAAGCGAAAGCCCCCTCCCCGCTATGCCCGTCATGCCAAGAACGTGAAGAATGAGTCAGTCCATCACTACCTGCTGGCATGCCCAGCGTGCACAAGACAGCGAAACACTATCCGGGCGGAACTGGGAACTAGAGCGCAGCAGCTGAAACACCTCCTGAACGACAAGAAATGCATAAAGCCGCTATTCAAATTCATCGCACGTACTCGCCGCTTCGTGAACATTTTCGGGGATGTTATTGTAACACCTAGCACAAACTGCATATATTTTACTACATAAACCTACATACTGTACATTCTGTCCAGCATAGGGCTACGCCTCGCCGGACAACAAACAATGGAATGCCCGCTTGGAGAATGACATCTGTATCACTGGGTGATTTCTGTTGGTAAAGCTTCACTGATGACGGGACTTTCGGTAGCGCTTAGGGGAAGGTTATGGGAGCCTTTTTCATCGGCAGTGTCCTCTGCTTGTTTTTCGCTTGCGAGTCGCCTGCGCGTGCCTGCCGCAGACTCCAACCATAAAAGTTTGGTACGACCCTGACATTGATGTACAGTTAAGCGAGGCGAATACAACCGCAAGAAATGAACGCACCTCTTTGAACTTCATGCGCACGAGCGCTACGACTACCATGAGCCAATAGAACACGTAGCTCAGCACGCTGCCCTGGGTGGCGCTATTTGTCCACCCCAATATAGCATTGAATATGCCCCATGACAGGTCAGTCTCAGGATTGCAGCAATCAAGATGCCACACGCTCCCGAGTACGTTGTATGATCCAGGTCCATTACCTCCTGAGTCGTCGACATCCGCGCCAAGCAAATCGTTGAAGGCGTTCTCCTGAAAAGACCAGACAGCTTTACTAAACAGGCCAGCGCCAATGAGGAGGATCAAATTTGTCATAACGATAAGGAAAATCGTTAGAGCTGGTGTATAGTTGGTGAGGATTGGTGTAACATGATGATTAATGAAGACTTACTCGAGCGGCTAGCGAACTGGTAAATGAAATAGCCACAAATAAGTCCACAAGCAAGGCCCACGATTGCAGCGATGGGAATCGATTTTGCGGGCTGTCCGAGCGCGACACCGCCAACGAAGACGACAGCTTCAATTCCTGCGAAATGTTACACATTAGTTGAAAGTATGGTGATAACATTAGGTAAAGACATTCAGGGATAATACTAACCTTCACGCAAGACAGTAATCATTGGAAGGATGAAGAGTACCCATTTCCCAGTCCTTACACCACTATCGACATCTGACGATGAAAAATAATTTGTAAGTACAAGAACAGAGGCAAAGAAAAGAAGGAAACTGACGTTGTTCACTAAACGCGCGCTGGAGCTTTACGCGCCATTTAGCTTTGGCCCTGTCCAACTTGAGCATGGTAATGCCCATGACAAAAATCATCAGGGATGCAATAAGTTCGAAGATGCCTATTTAAGAATATGATGCGGGTCAGTTTAATCGCGCGACATAGTGAGAGAAAGGATTTTGGAAACGAGTGAGGAGTGAATGCAAAATACAGACCTTCCCAGAGATTTTCGGCCTTGAGCCAGAGATCGGACGCCTTAGTGAACCAGACTGCAATGAATGCAGCACCTAAGGCGAATGAGACCAACAAGCCTATGCCTGCACCAGCAAAAACCTTGTTGCTCATGAGTCGATGACACTTTCAACATTACTACTGCAGTAACCTACCTGCATTCTAAGTTTGCGGATCAAACGTCTCTTGATGGTAGCATCCGATTCTTCTTCTCCTGGCGTAGTTATTTCACCGTTGTTGTTGGCGGGTTGATATTGCTCCGTAATTTGAGGTGCCGAGAATTGCTCTGTGTCGCCATGGACGATCTGTTCGACGAGGCCAAGGAGTACAGATACGATGATGACGGCTTCAAGAGATTCTCTGAAGACAATGAAGAATATGCTAACACTGAACAAATTCTGGGCTGCCATTGTCGTGTTTTCGACCTTGGTGCATACTGGATTTATCTGATATGAACCTGACCTGCACCTGACAACGAAATTTCCGAATGTGGAAACCTAAACCAATATCTGATACCAGGGTTCGCCACCATCAATCCAGTGGAGGCTTATCGCAAGCTTATCAGATGGTGTTTTGCTTGCCGACACCCTAGTTCTCACTCGGATCTTACTCAGTTCCTGCATTAATCCCTGAGTGAACAAGGTACTGACACAATTGCTCAGCTCCGATCGTCGTTATCAGATATGGTTGTGTCTGCGGCGTCGACACTGTCAGCGATGTCAGATCCAGGATCCCGTATGTCTAAATTTCCAATAGACAATTGATGGACAGAACGCGTGCGACGTGTTCCAGACGACGATATAATTATCTCAGTAGGATTGTTCAGACATCGTAACATGTTGGCACACAGATAAAGTGAAATTGTATATTATACTATCCCGTTATGTATGGAGGCAGCCGTAGCTTGAGCCTGACACTCAGCCACATGCACAGAGTTAGCAACCTCATCCGACAGGTGTGTGATATTCCGAAAAATAGCAACTGACATTTATGAAGAGGAAGGCCTTCTGTTAAAGTGTATCTCAGGCGTGATTAGAGTGAAGAACATACCGGCATTGTTTATGGCCCTATGGCCTCGAAGACAAAGCACCCGAGTCTCAGGTCGATGTCGAAGCCGGTGATGATGATGCGGAAATCCCTTCAAATTAGCACAGTTATGTAGGGTGCTCTGGACATCAGCTCAGCTGATGTCTTGACTGCTAATCCTGCAAAATAGTGTGTTGCTGATGTACAGAGAGGTAATTTGCATGGGCCGGTGGCTGCGGGAGACCACAATAGGCGCAGGTGCTAGATGTCTCGTAGAAGGAGCTTGTAGTTTTTTTTCCTTCAAAATCTTGAATTTCGTGACATACTTTTCACTAGCAAGCCTACCAGTCCCATTTAACGCGTCACCGGTGGGTGAATTAGAATTTAGCAATGTAACCAAGGCTGTCTGGCACATCACGGTTCGGTTACCTCCATACTACACAAAGCAATAGTAGTGTACTACTTATACAATATAAGCAACCTGGTTCACCACCATCGAGGCAGCAGGATGCCAATGGACGGGGAAATACCAAGCAAAGCACGGAAAGCATATCGTGAACTTGAGGTAACGACGAGAGCACGATAGTGGAAGTCCCAACACGAGAATAGTGGTGCGTGAACACCAGCAATGAGCGGGGCTAGGCAGAAACTCAACATGAAGAGAGTGGAAGCAGAGAAGTGGGTTAGAGAGCTGTGGTTGAGGGAGCCGCTCGAGTTCTTGGCCCCAACACAATCCACACTTGCGCGAAAGTGTCAGTGCCAAAGGCCCATGGTACCAAGCAAAGGACTTGGAAAAAACTGAGCTATGTGTCGTTCGTGCGGAGGGGAATCAACTTAGTCTAATTAAAATGAGCGTGCTACGTGTGTACATGAGTATGATTAAGAGAGTGTATGCGAAGAGAGATGGTGAGTGTTTTCAGGCGAAGTTTGTTGTTCGCTCAAAGACTTACAGCTGTTTGCTGAATACTAGGCCAAGCCGCAAAAAAAAACACATGACAACGTTGTTGGAATTTTAATGTCCGATCGGATCTGCAGGATGTTCCCCCACAAGGCTCTTGAAAGTAGACGGCGTGGTCATTTTCGTCCCATCGTAGATCGTGATCGGCGTCATATGTAAGGACCGACATTGTCCTGCGGAAGCAATTCGAGTGACTCCTATGTTACTCCACCTTCCATGTGCATCCCACCACTCTGTCAGTATACTTATCTTACATGTATCATGTAGATACAGACATATTGCAGACGCACGAGATATCTATATCATATTATCAGGTCAGGATGTTAGTGACATGACCGGACGGCGACCTGTCCATGTCAAGAGCTGTGGCGCAGTGTCAACAGTGGTGGTATCCCGGTCGAGCAATTTTTATATCGATGGCATCATTGCAGATGAGATGGCGAGCGGATGATGATAAATCAATGAATGGAAGTGAATAGTCGATGGTGTATTACAGACTCGAGCTCCATCATTGGTTGACGGTATGTGCGTACAGCATCATTAATTAACGTCTGACATACAGCTGTCAGCAACCCTATAATGACATATCTGAGATTTGAGTCTTCTATAACCCAGAGAAACCACATATTCACACCTGAGCAAGGAACTCGGAGGATCACTTCATTAAGGAAATGCGGTTTCTGGTACGGACCTAGTGTCGCGTCGTACCCAGAACTCTGGCATTCTGCCACATGACGGGGCAGAACTGGCACTGCCAGGCAGATGGTTGAACCTCCCGGGCAGAAGTCCAAGACATGCAGCTGTGAAGAACCGCGAGAGCAGTACAGGATGTACTATACAGTGTCAGTCTTCAGATTAGTGTATCATGGCGTGGATTGAGGTACTTTTCAACTCTCTACAACTTGTACGACTAGCTAGTAGCAAGTTTGGAGGCTGGCTTCCTTGATACTGAAATATTGAAATCAGCACATTTGAGACGCTCGGCAAGGTCTGCGCTAACCTTTGCTTGATCATGCTGAGTTTGGGAATATATTCGCAATATTGTGAAACAAATGATGGACACAGTGTTTCAAGTTGCCTTGGACTGGGACAGGAAGGACATGTTGGGATTCGACTTTGCGGAACCGAGGGGTCAACCGGTCTGCCGCCGGCGCCACCTGCAGCAGATGGGAATATAGTCACGGATCATAATGCAAACTGGAACAAAGTTGACTCGATGTTATTATCGGGCCTTCCATCCTTCTAGTACTATCAAAAAAAATCTGCGATTCTACCATATGCTACACTGGCAGAACTACTACTTTAAAATAGTTCTGCCCACAACACTACTGGCCTTGTTATCACTCGGGCCTTCCTCAGCTCCTTCAATCCCTGAGCAAATAAGGTAATACCAGTACCGATATGAGGGTTCATATCCGTACCTAGTTTGCTCAGGGATTGTAGGAACCAACCAAGGTCCAAGTGATATGAACTCTACTTGATGTGTGAAGCTGTTCGCCACTGACAAGATCTTGAAATTTCAAATCTAGTTTGGGCTTATCAGATACAATTTTAACGATGAAGGGTCGTCATCACCCCCGTTTGACCGGTAGTGGAGTTCTTCCAAGACTACTTAGAGGCGAGGTAAATAGTTCTCCACGATCCTTTAATTTTCCTCTGAGGACCGACTTCGAACTGACCTCATCTAGGCATCACTATCCCTAACGTGTTACCATTGCCACGTCCATGTGGTGCCGTCAGTTACTTCCCTTGCTTGCGCTCTTGTCTCCTGCACTTGCGGGTGTACAGGAGCTTTGGTGGAACGTCACCTACGTTCAGAACGCAAATCCAGATGGCCTCTTTGAACGCCGTGTCATCGGTGTTAACGGAACTTGGCCGTAAGTCTCTCACATCTTATTTTATCAGCTCGTGGAGTTAATAACTTGCTTGGTCTAACATATTTGACTTCTCAAACTAACATTTCTATTCACTACGAAACCCCCAAAATTGGATCTCATGCCTGTCGACTTCTTCGGTACTTATGAAGACCTCCACCAATTGAGGTATCCACGAATGACTCATTGCTTGTGCATGTAACGAACAACATCGATCAACTTGCAACACTACACCACCATGGCATGTACTTCAACTCAACATCCTGGATGGACGGAGCAATGGGAGTGTCGCAATGGTATGTATACTTGTGTTTCATCTGGTCATGCTGTGGTTGCATTGCCTGCGCCAACTGCCCCCGTCTTTTGTTTGACGACTTTGTACATGCAACTAATATTGTGAAGTATTTTGCTAATTATTTTTCTCGCGCAGTGGCATACCCCCAGGCCAGACGTTTGACTACGTTGTGCCCATCAACACCTCCGGCCAAGTCGGAACATACTGGGCGCATGGTCATTCAAACGTAAGTTAACACGGTCTCCTCACTTTTCTACTTCACATGCTCTCTCGAACTAAATTCTGTATCTATCCATGCAGGGAATATATGTAGATGGTCTGCGCGCGCCTCTCCTGCTGCATTCTCCAAATGAAACTTATGGCGCGGATTACGATGCTGAGTTCACTATTTCGATGAGTGACTGGTACCATCAAGAGCAGCCTGCCCTCTCGAAAGCCTTTATCAACATAGCAAATCCAGGGGGGGCGGAGCCTATTCCTAGTGAGTTGCATCGTCCTATAATTCATGGTGGTATACTGATGAACGTTTATTTTTTTTCGTTCCATGTTCCATTGGCTTGCAGATTCTGCCCTCGTATATTTCTCCCAAAATGGTTCCTACCTGCCACCGATCCCAGGGAGTAGCCCATCCCCGGTGACCAGCGCGGTGGGTTTCAACGAGAACGCGACCCTTCCGTTCGAACCTGGTAAAACGTACAGACTGCGCATAATCAACTTGGGCGCGTTCGCAGGGTTCTACTTCTGGATCGACGGGCATGATATGCGAATTATCGAAGCTGACGGTGTGCGTCTGGTTCTACCTGCTTCTTACAACTCTGTAGACTCATGTTACCGCAGACAGACATACAGGAGCAGCCCGTCGATATGCTGAGTGTGTCAGTGGCGCAGCGTTACTCTGTGCTTGTCACCGCGAGGAACGATACGTCGTCAAACTGGGCCATCCATGCAAACATGGATACAACCATGTTTGACAAGGTCCCCAGTAATATAAATCCAAGTAGGCTATACCCTTCCTGAGCATTCGATCCCATCACTTATTAGATTACCTTTCAAAATGCTTGCAGATGTTACCTCCTCCATCACGTACTCCACCTCCTCTAACCTCACCATTCTGTCCCCCGTATCTTCCTATACCACGACAAACGACAGCGCTCTGGTTCCCATCGATATTGAGCCTGCGATCCCCCCAACAAATACCATTCAACTTGCGTTCAACTTCCAGACGATGAATGATGGGACGAATCATGCGTACATCAACGATGTGGTTTACAATCCGCCAGTGGTACCCGCAATCATGAGCGCGCTGAGCCTGGGCGAAAATGCTACTAGCCAAGTGGCATACGGGCCGTACAGCTTTGTGATTAACTACGGGGACGTGATCGACCTTGTGGTGCAGAACGGCGATACAGGGAAGCATCCCTTGTGCGTCTTCTCTTCTCTACATTCGGCGTTTGACAGAACTGATGTTACGTTCTAGCCATTTGCACGGATACAAGATGCAGATTATGAATAGAGCGACACAATATAACTCCAGCGATCCGTCACTGAACCCACCACTTATCGAAGGGCAAGCAAACCCGATGCGTCGTGACACTGTAGCCATCACTGGCGGAGGTTCCGTCACGCTCCGCTTCGTCGCTAATAACCCCGGCGCATGGATCTTTCACTGCAAGTCTATGGACCCTTCAGGGGAGATACTTACTCACATCATTATCATCCAGGTCACGTCGAATGGCATCTTGAATCGGGCCTTGCGGTCCAGTTCATAACAGCTCCGCTTCTGATACAAGAACAGGCACAGGGCCGCGTGCCAGCGTTTATGTTCGAACAGTGTTCTGCAATTGGGGTTCCCACAAGCGGCAACGCTGCAGGACACGCGAGCGCAACTGACTTGTCGGGCCTCCCACTTGGCCCGTGGTTCCAGGAGCTCGGTTGGCTGGCTAAAGGTATATGGGCGATGGCTGGGTGAGTTCGGGCTGAAGTAGTTGTTGCGACATACTGACGATGCGGGGTTTGTAGATGTGTGTTAACAACCGTCATTGGCATCCTTACTGTTGTATGGTATTCGGCTATGGGAGGTACTATCTCTGAGGAGGAAATAGAGGAGCAGGTACTTCAGCGCATCGAGGCAAAGAAACGCAAAGGAAAGTTCTTTGGCCTGTTGAAGAAAAAGACTTGAATATCCGCGCCGTTTGTTCATTCTCCTCGGCCCCCCGGGTAACCCAAGTCCCGCCATATTTTTCTCGTTGGCTCAGACTTTTTTGTATTACTTATGTATGGTATTGACATGCTTGTGAAGTGGGATTCATGTTCTACCAATCTGGGCGTGGCTATATGGTATTTCACTTACACTGTAACAAATAAGAAAGAATCGATCTTTGTATCCCTGCTCCTGCACACTCGTGATCTCCGAGGGACCACACGACGACCGATAAATCGTGCTGCAGTCGCACACATGTTCACTCATCCGGAGGCTCAGAGACTTCATACGGATCGTTAAGATTTTCCTCCAACATTCTGCCGTCTCCTGGGAGGTGACACTTCTGAGCTAATGTTTTGCCAGGTATGCTGCAGTCCACGTCACCATCGACACTATCAAACACAGCATCCATATTCTTTTGGCTATAAACAACTCCACTTTGCTGATACCAAGGATTATTATTCAACAAGAATCCGATCAGCTCTCGCATATTGCTTTTCGTAACTAAGACTGGACGCATTTACTTAACTATTTCCCGCATTGGCACTTGCTTATGCAGAGCATTTGAAAGACAAGAATTGCACAGATATAAGTTTGATTTAAACCGACGGCCTTGCAAGCCTTTAGGATACAGTATGGTTCTTTCATGCAGTTCGAAGTCATACATCTGTGGTAAAGGATGAGAAGTACCTGCATCAAGCACCACTGAAAGCTGCGGCTCGAAGGCCCGGCTCGGGGCATCTGCATCTAACCGGGCCTTAAGCCTCCGTCTTCAAGGCTCGGCCCGTCCCGGCCTAAACAGATTCGGCCCACGGCCTGAAGGCGGGCCTGCAATGCAAATCTCTACTGACCAAATAGACTGGTGCCTGTCGGTAGTACCCGGCGACCCTAGTTGCCATCAAGTTGCCATCACGATCATGACGTTACATTCACTTACGTAGATCGAAACTTGGCCTCAACTGGTCATGGTCATGAATATGATGCTGTGCCATTCAGCAAGGAATGGCATGTAATACAAGCCTCGTAGCGATGCGGCTCATGATATATTTGCTGATATGCCACTAACACGCAGATCAGTACTCAGTGATGGGCCGACCAAATTGGAACATACGTAGAATGCGCAGCATCGGTACGTCCAGAACGTTTTAAAGTCGTCTACTCGCCTATTTCTGCGAAGTTGACTGCGTGTGTTTGACTTACAGGGCTGCATACATGGCACTTGAAGCCTGAGATTGTGGGAAAGAGAGTGGCCGATACGTTGTAACTAGTAACAGGCCGCCGCAAATTCTCAACGCCTTGTTTCTGTTGAATATTATCTCAACATAATGTTTACTACTGACTCGGACGTGCAGCAGATGTGAGTGATACGCACATGGGTTCACCATGTATCTGATGTCAGTGGCTGAATAAATATCTCCAGATTGTTGTGCATTTACGCCGTCTTCGCGGGGAACAGTAAGTTCTAGCGCCTTTTATCTTTAGCGCTTCAAGACCGTGACATGATATTGTAGGTATCCTGATATACGACCATGTGATGACTCTACCAGAAGAAATCGTTTTGATCTGGCGTCGTCCAAAAGGACTGTTTGCAATGTTATTTCTGCTTAATCGTTATCTCGCTCTTCTCGGCATCATCTGCAGCATGGTTATGCAACCCTTTCTTGTTTCAGATGAGGTTCTATATTTCGTTATGCATGTACTCAACGTGTGGGCTCACAACTTCTTTCTGTAGGTGTTAGTTTCACACTGGTTCCTTGAATATCTGTTGTTTTGCTCAACAAAGACTTAGTTGTTCGAAATATACGATATCAAGACAACTGGATATCTTTTTCCAAGCAATCATCATATGCAGTGAGTGGAAGTTTATTACGAAAAGTTCACATGCTGAAAAGTTCAGTCATAATGGCCATGCGCATTTACGCTCTCTACGGCTGTAACCAACACCTGCTTACTTGGATGGCCATCATCATCATTGCTCTTGTGGGGGTAGCTTGTGTACGTATTTGCATAACATTTTGGACTCTTGGAGTCTATCAATCGTTTCTAGGCTGTCACTTTTGCACAAGTTTCAGGTGATGCGGCAATCTTGCCGAGAATTGGCTGCTATGAAGTGTATACAACAGAGACGTATGTCACCTCTTCGCATTCTGCATACCTGCTCAAAAGTTGTTGCAGAGCTGCCCGTCAGTAAATTCTAGGTCCCATTTCATACAACTTGATGTCATGACCTTATCCAAATACAGGAATTGGGCTGGCATGGGTGGCCCTGTTTGTCTTCGATTTACTTATATTCGTCCTCACAGTGTACAAGATTTACAAAATAAGGGGTTTGCCGCGGTTGTCTCTGATAACCAGGAGAAATGTTATTGATGTCATATTTCAGGATGGTAAATCTTTCGTTGAATCTGTACTGTGAACGCTGAATCAACGGCACCCAGGTGTAATGTATTTCGGGTAAGGTTGCTAGTGAACTCATGATCTGACCGAATTTGATCTGCATTCCTTTAGAGCTATAGCACTAATCAATATACCAAACATCCTGACATACTACGTGAGTCAACAAATTGATATCAATGGAGCTGCACGGCGCTCACAGCTTGAATCAGTCTGGTTCAGTGAGAATACAAACTCGCACCTTACGTCAACTATTTTCCTGACGATTAGCAAGGTTGCTATCAGAGGCAGTCTGTGCAATTTCACCAGCTGGTGAGCGTTCAATGCGACAAATACGGGTTGGTTCTAAATATGGCTTCCAGTATATCCGTTACTCTCATCTCTCGGCTGATGCTTAACCTGCACAAGACCGCTGACACTGATGTTTTCTCCACCACCGTCGGGGACGACGACTACTGCCTCGATGTCCTTACCACCAGGGTCGACGTACAGTCTGCTATTTCCTCTCACTATTGGTAGGCTAGCATTGAATTTTGTATCTGGATATCAAGTTGGGAGTGAAAAGCTATTCCAAAACTTTTTTCGAAGGCAGCGCAGCGTGACAGGGTGATGGATGACGCTGCATCCCGCGCTGAAGGCTATGCGTGCTTGAATTATGTCGAATATTGACACTTTTGGCTAATTATTGACTAATGGATTCATGTATGCTTTCGAACGTTATAACCCCTGATCCCTCATCCTTCATAGACTTGACAAAGACGGGCTGTTTCTCTCATGATATATGTCGTTGAGGAGATATTGTTCTTTGGAAATTTCAGTGGTTTGCGGACGAGCATGTAGCAGGAACTGTCCCTCTTGTCTCAGCACCATATACTAAGAACGAAGTGCTTACTCCCGTTGAGTGTGTCTAGCACTGTCCAACTCCCTGGGTCAATTAACTAGGTAAGCGTATCTTCGATTTCTCGAGTTCAAATCGCATGTAAGCTAGACCATGTTCCACAGTTGGAAAGATGAGGACTAGAAGTCTGTAACTTCGACGCAGTGCACCAATGCCGCCCTGATCTCAGTGCGAAGCCTAAAAATCGTGTTTTTTTCATAAAGGCATAGGGCATAGAGGAAAAAGTTGTATAGGGCATAAGAACTAAGGGACAAGTGGCCAGGGGGTTTCGTAAAAGAATGACAACGGTTCTAGTAAAAATGAAAGGTAAACGGAGTATATGTTGAAGGAATGACGCGGATTGGACCATACATAAGAGGAGAGAGAAAGGAGAAATGGGTATATGAAGGAGTGACATGGGTCGGACGATAAATAAGAAAGTGTCGGAAGTCGTAAAGTATCGTAAGTCATAAAAATGTCATAAGGTATAAAGAGGCATAAGATGAGTCGTGGACGAACCAGATATGGGTATCATAGAGTCTCGAATGAACAATGTTGCGGATGGAGTTCCGTTCGAGGCGAAGTGTCGGTGTGGACAAGAAGTCGTAATGTAATAGGCTGGAGTCGCGTGTAAACTGTGGTGCGCGAATAGGCGAAGTCCGGGGCAGAGATGATGAAATAGGCTGGAGCTGCATGTAAACTGTGGTGCGCGAATGGGCGAAGTCCGGGGCAGAGATAATGAAATAGGCTGGAGCTGCATGTAAACCGTGATGCGCGAATGGGCGAAGTCCGGGGCAAAGATAATGAAATAGGCTGGAGCTGCGTGTAAACCGTGATGCGCGAATGGGCGAAGTCCGGGGCAGAGATAATGAAATAGGCTGAGTATGGAGCCGCGAGTAAATAGTGATGCGTGAATGGAGCAGTGCAGGCCCTCGGGCTTCCAGAGTCCGGGGCAGAGTGAGAGAGTGACCTGGCGGGCGTGAGGCTCGGAAGAAGAGTAAGAACAAAGAGAAAGAAGGAGTGACTTGGGTCGGACGATAATAAGATGAAATGAAAGTGAAAGGGATATATGAAGGAGTGACTTGGGCCGGACGACAAGAAGAAAGAGAAAGGTGAAACGGGTATACGGAGTGATTTTGGTCAGACGATAAGAAAGAGAAAGGTGAAAGGGGTACATGAAGGAGTGACTTGGGTCGAACAATATATGAGAGGAGAGAGGAAATGTGAAACGGAAGGCACGTCCGCGATCCGGTAGAAAGAGCGACGGCTGTCGGACGACAGGCTCGCGGTGTAAATAGAGAAAGAACGGGGAGATGGTGACGCATTCGTCATCCAGTAGAAAGAGCGGCTGCGGTCAGACTAAAGGAATGATGAGAGTTGGATTGAGGTTCAGAGAAATCGAGAAAAACAAGACTTACTGATGCCACACTATCAAGCTTGAATGCAGAGTCACTGCACGTCATTCATTATGCTTGGAGTGCCCGCTGTGCGATGGGTGCATTTGCTGCGTGGGCGGGTGAAACGGTATCAGACAGAGATTAGGTAGTAAGAGGTAGGCGGTAGGGATGCGGCGGAAGCGTGCGAAGGTCCCTGTTTCAGAAAGAGGCGACGCCAGCGAGGGCGAAGTTCGAGAGTGGGCGAGAGAAGGATATTTTTTGATCAACGCGGCCAACGTTGAGCTTTTCTATATTCTGGAAAGAGAGATGATGAGAAGGAGGTTTTGTTGGCATAGGGCGGTAACTCACTTTTAAGCGGAAAGAACAGATCTGACATTGCTTTACCGACGGTGCGCGACATTGGGTGAGCGAGATCGGCGAGAGAGCAAGACGACGAGAGAGCTAGATGAGATAACAAGCCGACGAGGTAGCGAGAGAGCAATAAACTGAGAACAACAAACGATCAGTGACAAAGCCAACGAAATATAATCGTCCGCGACACGCAGATGAGGGTCGGACGTGACGATAAAGGATCGTTGGCACTCGGGGGGAGGTCAAGGCTGATAAAGAAGAGAAAGCTCTGGCGGGCAGGTATTTATACGTTTCGGCCTCATTAGTACTCTCGAGACCCTACGTCACAGTGCGTCATGGGTATTTGGCATAGCGGAAAGCGACCGACGCGCCTGCCAGTGTTAGCCAGCCTCAAGTTTATGGATGACTTGTGATCTAGAACCATGCATCATTCGTGACTCGGAGTAAGGAAGAGGTTGACGCGACGTGTCTAGGTCACGTGCTAACATAAAGGTTAAATGTTCCACTAGCTGTAAGCCAACTTTAATTCCTATCCCCTGCTATGAGTCGCAGTTTTGACTCTTACTTTGGACCACCATCGCAACCTATCAATGTCGCAGAGTTTTTACAGCAAGCAAACTCTGCACTCCTATCAGGATCATTTACCAATGCCGCATGGGAGCAGTTAACTCCCGAGCATAGAAATGCCGTCGAAGCAGAGATTAACGAAAGGTACTCTTCTCCCCCACTACATCATATCAGCGCTCATTGCATATCAGCGTAGCATTTCAGACCTCAAGTCATCTCTTGATCAAGTATGGGACAACCCTGTATTATCAGCGCACGTACTGCGCCAGCACGAGTCTACAATAGCGTCTGTGCGCGGCCAAGCAGACGCACCGGCACCAAAAGGAAGAAAGCGCAAACGCGATATCGCTCCAGAAGGTAGCGAATCTACCCCAGAAGTACTACAGCTCCAAGAGAAGCTTGACGCTGTCAACCTCAGATGTTGGGGGTGTGTATCTCCCCTTGCATATCACTCTTCTCTTACCCTTGTGCAGATTAACCGTGGAGTCAGCGCTTTGTATGCGTTCTGCTAAAAATTCTGACTACAATGCGCTCGACGCACCCAAGAAGATGGAACAGGCGTTCTTCATGCCTTTGACCACGGGAACGTCGGCGCAACGCGTAGCTCGACACCAGATTCTCTCAGGGGCCCAAGCCCCGATGCAAATTCACATCCAAACGCTGTCATCTCGCTTACAGTTTACAATCGCATTACTTATCTTCCAAGCTGCCTGACGCGCTCCTCACAACACGCCGTACTGTCAACCCAAACATTGGCTGACCTACTACGCGTCTTGCCATGCGCCTCCAGTAATATGCCAACAGAAGAGCTAGATGCCGAGGGAGATGTATCAAGCTATAATGTCACCGATCAAACAGGAGAGCATTCCGGGTGTTTGTTCTGCATCGAGGACCTTATCTACAGGGACGGGAGAGAAACCCCCGATTATGCAGAGTATGTCAGAATAGCACCGCCGCCAACAGATTCCTAACTAACCTTCTACAGAAAACTAGTAGTCCATTTCCACAAACTCCCCGAAGACAAACGTCCGCAAATCAAAATAGCATCAACCTCCGCCAGTGAAACTACCTTCAACGCCCTCACACTAGGAACCCACAAACCTTACTGGATACTACACCAAGGCAACTGTGAACACTTTTTCGTCATCGATCAGATCAGGCATGCACCGTTCCGTTTTAACTCCATAATATCCCTGAATATCATACACAGACTCGCCCATGTTTCAGATCCGTTATCAGGTTATCCATTGATGCTCCACCTCACTCCAACGGTCCAAGATCTCTGCCGTGCTTGCGGGAAAGTCCCAGCCGTACATTCGATCGTGGGTGACATGCGTCTCGGTGAAAGTCCATGCCTCCTGTGCGCACCTTGTTGGCGGATGATGGGTCCTCCTAAAAATGATGAAGGCGTGGTGGTTGTACCCCTCGTAATACCTTTCGTAAATCACTAAAACGGTCGACACTTGAACATGCATAGACATGATGACGTACATAGGTTGCAGTGTCGCAGTGCACAAGTAACCCTGAAAATTGATAGGCCGACGCCGATAACTCAAAAGATCAAGGTTCAGAATAAACGGCCATCAACGAGTCATGATCCATGCATCATGGGCGGTTCGGCTTTTGGCCACTTCTATTATGTACGTTGCTAGGTATGATAGTCAAATGATAGTACATGAAGTGCAAATATGTGCAAATACACATGCGATGCCAACAGAAGATCCCAGCATCTCAAACGAGCGATATGGCAGATCAGTGAGTGGTCTGTGTATGTGAACTACAAAATCCAAGTGAGCTCCAAAAGAAAATGAGAAGCGGTGCGGACCTCAACCGTCAAAAAACAGAGTGCAATTTGCGATCGAGGTCTCTACGACCACTTCACCAATCTGTTCCTGGAGGAAGTCCCATGAGTTTGGTCCCCAGCCTATCCAGCCATATGTCCGTGTGTCAGAAACGTAATTCAATAAAAAGTTCCGACCCAAAGTTGGATCGAACGGATCCAAAGAAGAGGCAGTGCCCTGGATCACTGACACAATGCCTAGTTTTGCATTGGCTTGAAAAAGGCCCTGAAAGTAGCGATCAAACATGACATTGACTGGACCAAGGTCATTCTCCAGGCGCAACTTTATAGCTGTTGGTGGTGATGCCGGATCGTGTACGAAGCTCGCCGTAGCTTGGCCATAGAAAGTACGCATATTCGCAACAAAGTTCGGACGCTGGGGAGGACTTCTGTTGGGCGCGTTCAGCGTGACGTTGGCCGTCAAGTTGCTAAAAAAAAATGGTGTTTGGTCGAGAAGAAAACTTTGAATCTGAGCCACGAACCTACTGCCAGTGCTGACTTCAAGATATGTTGGGAACATCAAGTCAGGATCATTGAAGAGGGAGGCGTTAATATTGATAGGGCTATAATATATCAGTCGTATCTTTTTTCAAAAACGAGGACAAAACATACGCTTGTATCGTGCTCACAGAAAGGGTGCGTGAAGCCGCAAACTGACCGAAAATTGACTCTAAGGATGTTTCAACCAGTATGTGGTTGGCTTCGATAGACTTTAAAGCAGATGGAAAATAAAAATGAATGAATGGGATATAAGCATGACCACTTACACTGACAAAAATTCTGGAAATAGGACCTTCTATAGAAACTCTCCCGAAATTGACATAGTTACCAAAATCGCCAAACGTTTGGGCGAACAAAGGTAGGTAGGTAGCAAAAGCGTCAACTTGAGCAGTTATAGGTGATTGTGGGTACAGCAGTGTGATGTTAAAGAGCAGTTGATCGTTGAAGGACATGTTATCTGGTATCTGGTTTATGTCAGCATAAGATTCGCTGTGACAGAATAACGCTACACACATAAATAGCAAGGCCAGTGGCGTTGTTCGACAATGTAAAGCAAACCAGTGTCTGGTCAAAGAGGTCAACATTGGATGCTTGCATTCTGACCGATATGGTTGTATTGGTCACGGAGGTGTTGGGGTTTATGCCGACGAACAAATCACCCAGGACAACATTCATGTTGCTCATATACGATGCATTCGACGTGATGCTGAATCGACCATCGGATGATACGGTATTCAGAACCCTAAGAAAGAGAGTCATGATTGTTCAGCTAGGGACTGAACGTGGACGTACTCTCCAACAATAGAATTTTGCGCGTCGTCGAGTTGTCCGATAGTTGCCCATACGTTGCAGACAGGTGAAACTCCATTGGCAGGGAAGTTCGAGAAGTTGTTGATATTCGTGACGTAGCGTGATGTAGGGGTCTTTGGTATCCAAGGAACGACATAGTTAGAGGGGTAGAATGGTTGCTCGTCGTCCTGATATTTCTATGTAGTTTGAGAAGACAGGTAACGCACACGATAAACATACTAACCTTAACAATGAGGGGGATGCCAATGATGATTGAAAGGATAATATACAAGCCCAAAGCAATTATGCCAGCCCTCCAGGACCTGGAGTCGATAAGGCGCCGCTTTGGAGGAGGTTTGTAAAGAGTGATCAAGGAGTCATTGTTCAGAACATTTAAAGCCAATGCCTGTGAAGTTTCATAGTCAGGCAGGGGACTGAATGGACGACGGCCTGCCGCGCGCTCTGGATAACGAAGGGCGGGAGTTGTGACGGGAGGATCCTTTGACTTTAGGAGGTCGTCTTCGTCCTGTATGATCATCCCTTCGAATTCACATATGGCATTGACGAAGGCGAAGGCGACGAAAAGAACAACGATGCGAAAGGAAAGGTGCTAACTTACTCGGGCGTGGGAGTTCGCGGCACTACCAAAAGCCCTCATAATATTACGTAATAACACCGCGCATCTCGGCATGCTCGAACTAAACTAATAGATCAACGCGCGATACCGACATCACTGGAAATTTGATAGCGTGATCTGTCATGCTCACTCGGAGAATATATCAACCCTCAAAGTAGATATGACGACGGCGGCCACTCGGTCTGACTTTGAAGAGGTATTGAGCGTGAAGGTCACTAGCCGAAGGCGGGATAGTCACGTTCCGCGCGTGTCCCTTACCACACTACGGTGCACCGCTGTTCTTGCGCTGGTTCTTATACTATATCGAAATTCAAACCTTCAATGTACATGCGATATATACATCATCCACGTCACGACCCGCACACCGGCATATGAAATGAAAAGCTAGATCATATTGGGTGATATATGAAACGCGACGGCATACAGTATATAACAATCTACCCGCTCATAGAAAAGTATTTAAAACATTGCAGGTCAGTTGAAGACCTGAGGTGAAACCGAGACAAGACATGATTCGGTTGTTGAAACCAGGTTTACTCAATCACAGCCAAGAACAAACGGTAGGCGTTTACCAGATACGAGTCTCCAAGAGCAGGTCACTGTTGCCCTCGAGCCCAATACACGCCTTCAGGAAACTCTCGAGCGCGTTACGCTGCCTGCCGAGGCTGTTGACAACATCAGTGACCTGAGAGCGAGTATTAGCGTGATGATAGACTATAAGTGGAACCGGCACTCACCAGGCTTTACGAGAGGCGCCTTGCACATGTACGAGAGCAGCGACAAGACAGCGTGGAGGGGCGCAAAATCAGTTTGGCCCTCTCCGCGGTACTTGACGCGAGTAAGCAGCTCAGTAAGGATAGTCAAGTCGAGAATCAACGGTGTCGCAAGTAAAGAGTCCTGTAACAGCATTGAGCATCTGGTGGCATATCAAAAACGTGTCCCATACCTCACACTCGTTGAAGATGTTGATGGTTTGTCTCCCGCCACAGAAGATCTCAGAGTAGTACTCGTCAATTGCTCTCTTCGAGTCACCGACTGCAGGCACATACTTGATCACAACAATGTGATCAGGGTGCTCGCCTTTGGCCGCTTTGCCCGTTGCGCCCAGAACAGGAGGTTTGTAGAGCAAACGGTTGGCATCCACCATATCATCCACAACGCTGCTCTTGCTGATTTCCTTACTCTTGAACTGCGGTTCCGCGCTCAAATTATGCCCATCATTGTTGCCAAGATGGTTGTACGACGCGATAGAGAGCGGTTTGATACCAGCGTTCACGAGGAACTCTGCAAGCACGGATTTCAGCTTGGTTTGACCAGACTTCAGGTCATCACCGCCAATGAAAGACTTCTCCCGCTCCGCGAGGGCGATGACACCAGGCACGAACGTGTTTTGAGGGGCACCGTTAACGAATGGCTCGCCCTCGAGAATGGCAGCAACAGCGAAGAGCGTCGAGGGAGACACCTCCGAGTGCGAGTTCTTGATCGCAGCAAGGATATTGTCAGCGGTATCATTAACGCCAGGGATAATGTCACTGTAGCGTTCCGTATTCGCAGTCCAGAATACGACGACACGGTCAAGCTGATTCTCAGATTTGAAGCGGCGAATGTCGGCACGAATGTGCTCGAGATGTAGCCTGCTTGTCGGTGCCAGGGACGACATTGTCCGCACGCGCTTCCTGGTTGGCAGCAATGAAGTCGGGATAGTAGATGGAAGGAAGAGGGCGACCGAGCAGAGCCATGTGCGGCTTGACCTGGCGCTGGAGATCATAATCAAGCACCTTCGCACGTTCCATCGCCTTGTCCATGGGTAGGCCGGAAATATCCCAGCCACCAAGAACAAGGTCATTGGGGTGCACCATAGGAAGAACGTCAGAGATTGGGACGTGGACTTCCTTACCGGTGCTCGGTTCAGTGCCAATGCGAACGGTAGATGCACGGAGGACAGAGCCAATGTAGTTAGGCTGCTGAATACCCTCCTTGGTGTGCCAGGCCATCTGGTGCCTGTTTGCGATGATGGTCGCGCAAAGAGTGGAGCCATTGTTACCGCCCAAACCGATCATCATAAGTCTGTTGCGCGTCCATGTCAGATGGTAGTACATTTCGAAACTGATAAATGACATACCCAGTCTTGCCAACCTTGCGGGTGGTTTGGAACTCGTAAGGCTTGGCAGTAGGTAAAATAGTGAACTGGCCGTCTGAGACCACGACATCGGCACCACGGTTGAAGTACTTTGCAGTGATATGATCATCGGTGTAGACGGTATTTTCCGACTGGACGGTGATGTAGTTAGGGCGACGAACGGCGGTCGGGTGAACCGGAACGATTGACTCCAATTCAGAGTCGGGGGTGTTGTAACCCGAAGAGTTTGTGGCGGGAAGTTGAGTAGACATTGAGGTGAGTATATATACGAGTGAAAATAAGGCAAAAACGATGACGAGATCAATGAGCAGCTAGAAAGCCTGCGCAGGAGTGCTTGGAGCCTCGGTGGGGGTTGTGGGGACTACCGAGTTGGTTCGAGTACATGCAAAGAGCTCGGAAAACTCTGAGGATGAAGGTGTCTGACACCAGAAACTACGATGAAGACAACTATGTGGGTGGTTAGAGCTAAAAACGCTGGGGAAAATGTGAGCAAATGCTTGGGGTTTATATAGGGCAAAATGGGGTTAGAACTTGAATGAGCACGACCTCGGAGCAGGGTTAGAAGATGGCCGTTAAGTAAAAAGAGGGTAAGGGACGAGCAAACATGGCAAGCGTCAAATTTATTGCAGTCAAACCTCATTGATCCCGAATGACAGCACATTTAAGCGTTATCTTGAAAATGCTGGAATGGATTATGGGAACAGCAGATCTTGTACGTTTTATCGTCGTTTGCCGCATCAATTTGATCATGGCGAAAGGACACCCAAAACGTGTTTTGGAGTCGAAGTTGTTCTAGCACAACAGCCTGCATTATGGTTTTAGTAATTCAGTAGTACTACTGATATTACCAACGTTCTGCGATTATCTTTACGGACGCGCGCGTAAACCCTCGGAGTATAAACGCGGTATTTCGGAGAATGGAGGGACTACCTAGTAGTAGTACTGGTAGATCAGAAGGCAAATCAGATCTAATTTTATTTGTTGGACACGCTAAGGGCTGCAAGAGGGATGACAATTATAGGGAAAATATCGTCATGCGCTGTCACCATCGTCCGTGTGTGGGCGTTGAACGTTTGACATTATATGACTTGGTGAAACGTTTCAAAGCTCAGCGCTCAGCGTTCAATTATTCGCGGAGACCATCTTTCCTCATTGACTAGATTATCAATCTTGACTTCGAGTGCATAGAGCAAGTATCAACGCTCTCGATCGAGTCTTCGGCAGGTGTCTCTTCCCTGCGCAGGGTCACCAATGTCATTGGCGAAGCCCGTATTGACGCGTGAAACGGCCGCGGTCTTCGTCACTTCGCCAGGGTCATTACACTGTACCTTCAGGGGCACAGAATGCGAGTCATTTGGATCGCAAGGTAACTCCATCTTGACATGTCCCTCAATTCCCCGAGTCCGCCTGCAAGAACAGGTATCTCGTCTCTGCATTGATCAATACCGGCGTCACATACTAGTGTCGTATTGGCTATTGAGCCACAAGTGTCGATGAAGCTCCTCCATTAGCTGGTAATCTGAGATGGGATGCTGCGTGGATCAGCGGAGTAATCAACAGAATCACTCACTGATATAAGCATCCGTGCCTGCATTCGATTCGCAAGGTCTTATCAGCATGGTCGATGGCCTACCTGTCGATATTGAAATACTTCCAGACATCAAGCACGATTCCGCGCCAGTAGACACAGGTACCACGAGTGGTGGCTGCTGAGTATCGATATCGAAAGTAGCATGGCAGGAACCATGAAGATAATAGGAAGTGCCACCTCCAACCAAATGAAAGCGAAGCAATACGTGATATTGCTTATCACAAAGATATTATATCTCGTATCATTCATCTCAAGGTGAGTCTGTATTAGATTAAAACAAATAGGTCCGGATAGTTCATAGTTCTGTCCGCAACGGAAACATGGCATCACATAACTGCTGCCATATCTGCGAGAATATGCTAAAGCAAGACAGGGTGTGTTTCTTGCACCTCCGTATTAATTGTCGGAGGTAACGCTGTATCGTCCCCAGGGATGTTGTGTAAAAGGGTGAAGGGGAGGGTGGATGAGGGGTATGCAATTTTATAGGCGCTGATGCCTGCGTTGATTCGTGCGGAGGTGACTTCCGTGGCTGAGGCAGCCTGTGAGCGTCGCAATAAGAACATAACGAAGAACATACATTGCCAACAACAGCCCTTTCGGCTTCTTCAATGAGGTGGTTGGCATCGGATTCGCCAGTTTTCTTCCACATATCTCGGAAGATCTCTACGGCCTGCAAGCTCTCGCTGAAGCGGTGTAACGTATTAATAAGGGCAACAACTTCTGAACGCTGTAGAAGATTATGATTTTTGCGCGGACTGATTTGAAGGAGGTTAGTTCATGCAAGGGATGTGTTGACTACCTACTCAAGGGCAGTCTCGTCCATCTCAAAAAGAATTTTGAGCGCGGTTGCAAGACCGGTGGTTTGGACTTTGCCCCATAAACGGCACTTGTCACATCCAACGCAGTCCATGATCCTTGAAACGTTCCGGAAATGCATTTTGAACTCTTCTTTCAGGATCTGGAAAGACGGACAAAATTTCAGTACACAAATATTATTTTAATATGTTGCTCACGTTCGCGTTCTCGCCTCTGAACAATACCCGCTCGTCAAACTTACCAACATGCTCTGCGATATCGATGACTTTGCTAAGAGTCGTAAGTGTTGTGGCTTCTTCTTGGATGTCCTCCGCGAGCAAGTGGTCGTAATGCATGGGCATAGACATTGAACAGTAGTCGTAGTCACGTAGGTATGGACCAATGCGCGATACAGCACGTAGGAGAAGCACAGTGTTGAAGTAAATATATTGAAGTCTCTCAGGGTGAGAAGCGACGCGGGTGACGAAGCACTCAAGGTTCGGGCCCTGTCACATATGATGAGCTAGGAGTAGTGAAATTCAACTGGACTGCATACCATCTCTCCGGTTGTTTGATTAAGGTATTCGAGGCAGATATGAGTTGAGATGGATGCATGCAACCCAGATATAATCTTGTAATACACCCTCTTCTCAAGACATTCACCATCTGCGGTTTCTCCGTTAATTGGCTCTCGTAAGACATCGGTAAGAGTGTCAGGAAGTGTGACTTGTGCGGGAGAATGAGAAGTCAACAGGTTCAGCTCTGAAAGGCCGAAGCAATTTTCCTCGTATATTGACTTCCAGACTCGATGCGCAGAAGGACCTGAGTAACCCGTATAACGCTCGGGGACTAGTGTCAGGTCAACGTATTCGCCCTCTACAAAAGAATCATCATTGAACGTAAGAACCAGAATATGAAATGCGCACCTGTCATATCATCGAGGAAACAAAAATCAGAATCGCGATAATAGCATCCAGGAAGACGGACACGCTGTACAAGTTATAAAAACGTCGTCTAACAAAATGCATGGAACCTACCTCTTCCAGAGGTGGCAATTCTATCTTGCTCAGAGCCGCCGCTCTCCACTTTTCTGGTATCTCGCTCTAGAGTGGAACTTCAGCTTAGTGCACTTGAAGGAGATGATTAATTGGGCATACCTCATCTACTGTAGTAATACCACACTCCCTATTCATACAGAACCCGTTCTCTTGCCAGAAAGGGCATTCACGATAGAGGTCTACCTGATAAACGATTGAGTGGTGCTCGAAGCTGTCCGAACCTGGAACGTACCTGGAAATACTTAAAGAATGGCATCTGCACTAACTCATTGAGCGTGCTATATAGTTCCCCATTCACACTCTCTATCGTCTCGTAATCACATAAGGTGGTTTCTATCGGACCAGTTGTCTACGAAGACACGTGGGTGAATGATGTGTTAAGTCGTACACGTAAGTACTACATACCGAATGTTGACAGAGTGGTTCTCCGCGAGCAGACTCGTGTTCAAGAACGTTCTGAACTGGATTGTGGCGTATAAGGCTGTCCCCCAGAAACGAACTTGGGCTGACGCCTACAGCGACCAAGGCGGAGAATGCGAGAGCCAAATATACTCTACGCCAGAGACAGAGCATGTGAAGAGTCGGGAATCTGAGAACCTATGGTGGTGGGAAATATACCTAGGAGGCCAGTAAAGAATGTAGTATATGTACTTTGACGTTTGTGTTGCCTTTGTCGTTAACTGAGTCTCTGAAAGTGATGCTTCATAAGTAATCGCGATTACAAGTTCCACGTCAGATATCCCTATGAGTCACGTGGGTGGAAAAATCATACAGACTCGAGGCAATAATTTGACGTGTTCAAGTTAACTTATGTTCTGACCTCATAATGGGCAAAACGGCACACGAGCCTCATACTCCAGATTTCAAAAAGAGCGATAAGCATCCATCTTGTATGCCTTTCGTCGAAGATGAGATGACTTTGGGTACGCATACTTACACCGCGTTGTGATCGCTGCTACTTAAGTCCCAGTTTGACGGGGTATGGCTATGTGCGATGGCACAGGCACCTCAGGCTCTCCTACTACTGCACCGAAATGGCGCTCTCCTCCCTCAGAATCTTCGAAGAACACCGCAGTAATGCTCGTTCACAGCCTTCTCGCAGAATGCTTTCACCGGCTTTCACCGTGTCACAGGACAGCACTTCAGGATCTGAGAACCTATGGCGAAGCACAATAGCTACATGCTGTCTATCGTGGTTTCACTGACTGATAGCATCCGCAGAAGAGTACTGAGGTTTTCCTCCTGGACACCAAAACTGAGTATCGCAAAGTGGATACTTGTTGTGATTATGAACTTGTATGAATACAAAACTGTACAATGTGTGTTAAAATGCGACGGCCGTGAGCTCGGGGAGGCCTTGATCAACGAATCGAGTCCCTTGCTATTCTACGTCCGAACAGTACGTATCCTAGTATCGTAATAGGGGGTCTTGTTAGCTCCATAAGTAAATAGAAACGGTATTAAAAGGTCCTATCGATATGAAAGCACTAGCTGTGAAATGCTTGGAACGTTCAACGGATCTCTGGCCACTTCATTAAGCTCATTAAGATGGATGAAGAAGGCTCTGCATGTGCGGACGACTCGAGTCAGCAACGCGTGGACATCAAGACGCAAGATGCTGTTTGCACAGCTTTGAAACGCATATAACCCACAGGCCAACTCTATGCACCATTGTCATGTCGCTGTCCCAAGTATGCGGAATCGGAATTTTCTCGGTGCTTGCTCTCTGGAAGATTTTTTGGGGCTCATCAAGAAAATACAATATCGACCTTGATGGCCCTAAGGAGGTCCACTGGTTGACGGGTGCTTGACCGTGGTTACACTCGTTTTATCATACGTCTGACTTTGGGATGCCAGGGAACGTCCGGGCATTGTTCGAAGATGGCCTTGACCACTGCGTGAACCTGGCTGAACAGTATGGCGGAGCGGTCAAGCTACAAAGTTTATATGGAGTAAGCTCAGATGTGAAGTATCGTTACTCTGAAACATCCTTACGAATACTGCTCTCTCCAGGAAGTAGTGTATCTATCTGATCCACTGGCGCTGTATCATGTTATTACAAAAGATCAGCATATCTTTGAAGAACCTGATGTATTTATCATGTCAGTGTTGTATTACTCTTTCACGGCCGCATATATTGACTTCGCGTTACAAAGGAACAACAAGGCGATGTTCGGAGATGGTCTAATATCCACTATCGGTGCGAGGTATTATGGTAGGGGGTTCATGAGAGGTGTCTGACAACATGGATAGGAGAGCAGCATCGAAAGCAACGCAAGCTGCTCAACCCTGTCTTCTCGACCTCGAATATGCGAGAATTACTACCCACATTGCAACCCATTGCGCACAAGCTGACCTCTATCGTTGTATCTAAGCTTCCGGACGATGGGTGTAAGTCGGTTCACACGCACATCGACATGAACGGTTTTATCCAACTCTTTAAACAGCATACAAAGAAATCGATGTGCTGCCTTTGCTATCTCGCAGTGCACTTGACGGCGTTTGTCAGGCGATTCTTGGTTATCCAAGCAATACTCTAGATGCTGCAGAAAACGACGAGTATACTGAAGCACTCCGGAAGATGGGGTACGTGGTATAAAATATAGCAATCCTGTCACAACGGTAGTGATTTTTGACTTCATTTTGCAGGCCCCTGATATCAAAGCTCATGTATTTCCGGCCAATTGTTCCAGTAGTTATGCGCAACTTCTCATCATACTGGATAAGGAAGCTTGTGGATTTGGTCACGATGCCCTGGATTCCCACTGAACGGATGAAAGATGTGCGAGAGATGCGACGAATCGTTGAACTCATGGACAGCAGTAGCAAGCAAGTTTTCGCGGAGAAAAAAGCAGCACTGGAGACTTCAGCTACTTTATCCCCCATTGATGTGCAGTCTGAAGTTGATGATCTTAAACCGGGTCAGAGGAAAGATATGATGGACATCATGCGTTAGTTCCATGACGTTCTGGTTCAATTGTTACTGAGTTATACACAGTCAAGGCAAACTCTGCGTCTTCCAGCTCAGAGCAACTCACCGATGCGGAGCTGTTGGGACAAATGAAGTAAGCCACTGCTCATTATAAACATGAAAATGCTCTAACTCGTTTCATTGTAGCGTTATGGTATTTGCTGGCCTAGATACGACTACCTCTGCTCTGTCTCGTTGCGTTTACCTACTTGCCAAGAACCCACTCGCCCAAGCTCGATTGAGAAGCGAAATTCGTGATGCCATCAAGCCTGTGTCTCTCGCACAAGACGGTTCTTCGTTTTTCGAACACGACAATCCACTTATTTACTTGTCCTACGACGCGCTAATAAATCTTCCATTCCTTGACGGAGTTGTCAGAGAGACATTGCGGCTTTATCCTTCTTTTCCGCACATGGGCCGAAAGTATGTCGTTCACCATCCCCAGAACTATTAACTGAGTATATCGATAGAGTGCTCAAAGCAACTACTCTTCCACTTCAATTCCCTGTTCGTTCGTCATCTGGAGCAGAAATATCTTCTATTGCGGTACATGAGAAAGCGCTCGTTGTCATCTCTATTTTAGCTGCAAACCGCAATCGAACCATGTGGGGTGATGATGCGAACGAGTGGAAGCCTGAGCGATGGCTCTCTTCCCCGGGGAGAAAAGATGAGCCAGACACGGATGTATCCTCTGATGGTGCCGAGGTATTGTCATCGAAGCTATCCGCACCCATCCTTGGGGTCAAAGGCGGCATCAGGTACCCTGGTGTTTATTCCAACATGTCAGTCCTTATCTGCTAGGTCATAGCATAGTATGTTTGCTGACCATACGCAGGATGACTTTCCTCGGTGGCAGTCGTTCCTGCATGTTAGTCAAATGCAAGACATCCGATTATCTGCGCACTGACGTCATATTTACAGCGGGTTCAAGTTTGCCGAAATGGAAATGAGTAAGTCCTTGCACGTTGCATATGGCTGTCTAGTCTAACTAATCTTGATTCATCAGAACAAATTCTTGCCGCGCTTGTACTTCGTCTGCATTTTGTACTCCCAACTGATCCGGATGCCAACGGACATATCAAAGAGATTCAGTGGAAGTTGAAGGCGTTTCACACACCTGTCGTTAAGCCACCAGCTGGGGATGGGGTATCACCTACGGTTCCACTCAATTTTCGACTGGTGCAAGAGGAAGACTTCGAATGGTAGGATTGTATTTGTGCTTGTGATGTGATGCTCTGTGGTTTATTATATGCTCTGACGCTCTGTATATTATTTATTCTCAAACGTTGTACGTGCTTACCAGTTGGTTTGACTCTACCGCTACCACGGTATATACTATTGAATTGATATCAATGTCTACACGGAGGGAATCAATTCGAAAGCCATAGCTATCGACCTTCTCATCGTACGCTCGCATACCGACCCGCAGTGCGAGGTCGCGGTTAAGTAAGTCCTTACTTAACTAAATTAATAGTGATGTGATGTTTCGCACATATATAGCCTCCTATTAGGCGACAACCCATTCGGGCTTCGACACGTTGTCCGTCGTTTTCCGGTTTACCCAAAACCTTTCTCTACTTGTTTCCTACCTCTTAAATTTTTTGGATTTTGGTTTACGCGTTGAGTTTAGTTCAACGCAGGTATTTCTCGTCACAGGTTCTGTGCTTTGGACACCCGTAAGCCTCGAAACATGCAACTCACTGCAGCTGAACTCCAGGTCAGCCAGTTCCTTCATGTGCACCGACGTATTGACCCTGATGAATGTTATTTACAATTTTAGAAGAGACACGAACTCGAAGGAGCTCCTGACCCATTCCCCTCTCTTGGGGAGACGACAACCGTTAAGCCCAAACGTGTCGTCCAGGTCCCTGCTGATGCAGACTCGCAAGCTGATTTCCCCACTCTCGCCACTTCTACGCCTGCTGCTGCTGCACCTGGAAAGTCTGTTTGGGGCTCTGATGCTGGCCCTCGCATCAAGGCCACTGTCAAATCCACACCAGTCATCACAGATTATTTCATGGTCACTCAAGCCGAGCTTCCTGCCAAGGATGGTAAACAAACATCGGTCGGTGAAATCATGAAGCAGGTCATGACAAAGTACAGGGTCAGAATAGAGGCATCGACAAATCAGAGTCGGCAGACTACCTTCCACATGAAGGGTGAGACTCAAAAGGACCTTGACAAGGCTAAACGTCATTTACTAGCCGCTTTGAGCCCCGTGGTACATCACAGTTTTTGAGCTATCTCTTCCTGCATCTTAATTGCTTCATTAGGCTATTTTGACTTTGAATGCCCCCGCATCTACTATCGCAGCTATAATCGGACCCAAGGGTAAGGTTTTTGTATTCAGTAGCATTCTATGCATTTATCGTTCATACTTTTAGGCGCAACTCTCAAGAAGATTCGCGAGGCTACAGGTGTCAAGGTCGATATTCCTCCCAAGGACGGTACCCCCAACGAACATGCAAGCGGAACGAATGGAACTATTACTCCCCTCCCAGGCGACGAGGAAGAGGAAGTTATGGTACCTGTCACTATCACCGGCCCGCGCCCGCTTGCCTTGGAAGCTCAGGGAATGCTCAATGAGATCATCGCTTCTCGGACTTCATATCTCACCCAAAAAGTTCGAGACATTCCGGCTCACATTCTTCCTTTCGTCCTTACTTGTCGCAACCACTTTATTGGGGAAGCCCAAGGTTCCTATGTCAATCTCGCTTTGAACCAACCTGAGCGGGAGATTACTGTTAGTGGAGATCGCGAGGGCGTCGTTCGTGTCGTCGAGACCATCAAAGCTACCATCGAAGGATTCAAGACCAGCCTAACCAACCTCAAGATTTCTTTGCCCAAGCGCCAGCATCGTCTTCTTGCCGGTAAAGCGGTCGACGACATTCTGGGGCAGACCAAATGTTTGGTTGAAGTCGCTTCCCCTGAGGATCCAGGCGATGAGGTCACGGTGTGGGGCTTGGCAGTTGATCTTCCTATTGGTTTGGGTGCTGTCATGGCCAAGGCAAATTCGCAATTCATCCACGAGTTCCCCTTACCTGGCCCCCTGGCAATTTCAAAGCAACTCCTTGCATATATGACACGGATCGACTATGAGGCAACCTTGGCTAACGATCACCCTGATGCTTTGATCTTTACACCGTCTCCTGCTACCATTGCCCAAGCATCAGTTCTCAATATTGACATTGCTGGCGAGAAATCCGTGGTGGACGCAGTGATTAAGCAGATCTCCGAGTTCATTGGGAAACTCATTGGTGCAACGAGGGAAGTTTCGATCGATTGGCTCATCCACCGCGTTATCCAGGGTAAAAATGCTAAGAAGTGCGTATGATCTGTGATATAGCTGAATTATAAAGCTAATCCAATGACTAGATTGAAGCAATTCTACGAGGCGCAGAATGTTCAAGTCTTTTTCCCTCCAGAGTCCGCCGAGGAATCCCAGGTCCTATTGGTTTATGATCCCCTTTCTCCCTCGGCGTCGCCCTCGCCCGTGGAGAAAGTCAAGCATTTGGATCATGCTGTGGAAGAGCTCCTCAAGATGTCCAAGGAATTTGCGGATGTGAAAAGCCAGAAAATCTCAGTCGAGAAGCGTTGGCACGAAGCCGTCGTCGGTCAAGGAGGCACCACTTTGAATGCGTGAGTTCGCCTTACATATGACGAGTGTATTAACAAATATGTTCTAGTATCATTGGTGAGGACACGACGCTCTCTATCAAGGTTGGCGCAGAAGTTGGCGACGCATCTGATGAGGATGTCATCCTTGTCCGAGGCACCAGCATCGACGTCGATCGTGCTGTCGAAGAGATCTCCAAGGTTGTCGAGGACGCCAAGAATGATGCCATTGTCAGCAGCTATGTGGGTCTTGGATGATGTAGTTATCGCTCTGGCTGATCCACACCACAACATAGTCCATTGAATTTGATATTGATCGGGAGTATGTTGGCCGAGTCGTCGGCGCACAGGGTTCAGGCGTCAACAAACTTCGCGATGCTCTCGGTGTTAAGGTAGATTTCTCAGACGAAGCTGATGAGAAGGAAAAAGAGGCAGGCAAGAAGAAGAAGGCCGCTCATCAGAAATCCAAGGTCAAGGTAATCGTTAAACTTGCCTGTCTTTTCTTCTTTCCATTTCTCACTATATTTGCAAACAGATTACAGGTCGCAAGGAGAATGTAGAGGAAGCCAAAAAACGCATCTTGTCACAAGTTGAGAGGCTTGTAAGTCATCACACAGTTCGATGTTCCCGTTTCTGACATTCCCTCAGGCCGACGAGACTTCTGAAGTTTTGAAAATACCCAACCAGTACCACGCCCAGCTCATTGGTCAGGGTGGCAGGTACGCCATTCGGCTAGAAGAGAATTACGGTGTCAAAATCACATTCCCTCGTTCATCCGGCGAGAACGGGGAGGGCAAGACCAGGGAGCAACTCAAACCTGACGAGGTCCTCATCAAGGGTGGTAAGAGGGGCGTTGCTAGCGCAAAATCTGAGTTGCTTGATGCTCTGGAGTTTGAAAAGGAAAACAACAAGGTTCTCACATTCGATGTTCCCACTCGTTCAGTCTCTCGTATCCTTGGCAAAGGTGGTGCCAGCATCCTCGAGATTAAGGATGTTACCGGAGCTCAAATTGATGTCGATAAAACCAACGATGGTATCGGTTCCTTCACGCAAATTACAGTTCGTGGTACAAAGGACGCAATCAATGCCGCGAAGACCGCCATCCTAGCTATAGCTGATCAAGTCGGCGAGGAAACCACAGTATCCCTGGTCATCGAGCGCAAGTTCCACCGTAACATCATAGGTGCTGGTGGGCAGGGTTTGAAAGATCTCATCAACAGGTGTGGTGGTCCGTCTGACACTAAACTCCAAGCTGGCCTTGTCCGTTTGTATGTTCGTTCCACTTGTATCTTGACGTTTTGCTAACATTTTCCCCAGCCCTCGCCCTGATGAAACCTCTGATGAGGTTCGCCTCCGCGGAGAGCCCAAGTTGGTTAACAAGGTCAAAGAGGAACTCGAGCAAATCGTGGCCACATTGCGTGACCGTATTGTTCTGGCTGTGGAGATCCCTGCGTCGCAGCACCGTAACTTGATCGGCAGAGGTGGCCAACATTTGAATGATCTTCAGAACCGAACTGGAGTTCAAGTACAGTTCCCTGGGTCACGCTCATACAATCAATTTGGCGATCCCGAAAATGCAAGTGAGATGGCAGACGTTGATCCGGCCAACATCGTCAAGGTTTCTGGTGGTCGCAAAGCCTGCGAGGCGGCGGTTGAAGAGCTCCAGGTATGCAATATCTCTTTTATAATTTTCAGGTTCTTATGGTGCTCCCAGACCCACGTGAGGCCCGCCACTCCTGAAGGCGTTACGGCGATTGTCTCAGTCCCACTGAAGTACCACCACGCCATTTCACAGCAAGGCCATTTCTTCCGTACTTTGCGCAACTTCGGGGTTTCTGTCGAGCAATCTGGCAAGCCTCAGAAGCCGGCAGTCCCTGCCGCCCCCCCTCAAAATGGCTCTACAACTGCCCGTATTGATGATACTGATGATGCGCCATCCATCGAAATTCACTGGCAGGTCGCTGAAAATTATTTGGATGCTGAGGAAGGTGATTCAGAGTGGACTTTGAAGGGGAGCGACGTTACTGGTCTGGAGCGGGCCCAGAGCCTCATCCAGGAAGCTATTGCGCAGGCTGCAGCCATGACCTGTGTGGGCTTTTTGACTCTCCCTGATCGCTCTGCATTCCCGAGAATCGTAGGCTCAAAGGGGTCCAACGTCGCACGCCTTCGAAACGAAACTGGAGCTGACATTACAGTCGGCAGAGACAACAGTACTATCATCATCATTGGTAAGCTGGTTTTATCCATACGGGACCACTGGTTTGACGTTGTATTTCAGGGTCTGAATCTGCTGTCGATGCTGCCAAAGAAGCGATCTTGAAGCAAATATCTTCGTCTGGCCGCCCTCCACGCCACTGAAATGTTAATCATGTCCATTGATGTTGGGTTTTAGGTGTACATCATGCTGTTGTTTTAAAACCATCGACAGACCACACTATCTTGTTATGATATTCTCTGCAATACAATGGAACGGATATTGGAATATTATGCAAATATCTCAAAGTGGGACACCATCAACATCATCCTGCATCCATAGGCGATCCATCAATGTCTTCCATCGGCTCGCCGTCGACATCAAAGTCCTCGCCGTGATCAAGAGGAACGCCGTCAACGTCGTCATCAAGGGGTGTGCCATCCACATCCAACGGCTCTCCATCTACATCCATATCTTCGATCGGTGCGCCATCGAGATCATTGGTGTCGTCTGCGATACTAGGGGTTGCCTTGGTTACTTCCTGCGCAGGCTGGAAAGACTTCACTTTGAACTTGGAAACATATGAAGATTGTGCCTTGGCTGCAGCAACGCTAGCATCATCTTCTG